TTTTCTTAAGAATAATAACACAAGTTTTTATTTTCTTTCAACTCCTTCCAAAAAGTACTTTAATAACCAGAAAACTCATTTATCAAAATTGGATAAAGTAAATACAACTAAAAAGGCCAGGGGCGGATCTAGGAATCTCTCTTAATATTCGGGGTCTTTTTGCGATTCAAAAAGTTATATGGGCAATATCCGCAAAGCCAAAAAATCAACGAGAACTTTTCAGTTTTTAAAGAATTTTGAATTTTAAAAAAGGAAGCTGAAAAAAGCCCTAAGCTTTCAAGGGAAGACATTGGTGAAGGAGAAGAAGTCTTCAAATGCTCGCGCGAACTCTTTCCCGAAGTAAATCATATTGAATCAGACTTTTCTCCTCAGTCCAGTTTCCTTTCCGACGAACTATTCTCCGGCGTAGAAGAAGAAGAAGAAGAAGGAGGAAGATGGCGAACAAGCTCAAAGTCGACGAACTCCGTGCAAAGCTCGCCGACCGTGGACTTAGTACCACCGGACTCAAAACCGTTCTGGTATTCAATTTTGCCCTGAGTCCATTTTTTTGCATCGAGATCTTCTTCTCTATTAGGTAACATTCGGAATTGACTTTGCTGTTTCGACGGGATTTGCAGGTGGAGAGGCTTGAAGAGGCTATCGCAGAAGACAATAAGATTGAAGAATCGAAGAGCAGGAGGAAAAGAAACCGCGATTCGTCGGATGGTGCTGATGATTCGAACAAGTTGACTGCAATCGAAGAGTTTCGTGGGATGAATGTTAAGGAGTTGCGCGAGGAAGCTAGCAAGAGGGGCTTAGTCACAACGGGAACCAAAAAGGAACTTCTCGAGAGGCTTTGCGATGACGCAAACAACGATTCCAATGCCCCAGTCAAATCCGGTAATGGGTTGTTCATTTTTTTTTAGATTTTGAGAAAATTTTGGTTGAAATTAATTTTCATGCTACTATGAATTTTTGTTGTTGATGTGAATTCCTTTATTGGTATGAAATTGGTTGTGACTGATGTTCTTTATTGCACCTCCTGAAGCGCCGGTAACAGGTTACATTTATCCGTGTTTACAGGGACAGATGGAGCTGAAGATGACAACAATGGCTTCGAAGAAGAAAAGAAAGAAGAGAAAATCGTAACCGCGACGAAGAAGGGAGCAGCGGTATTGGACCAATGGATTCCTGATCACATAAAGAGCCAGTACCATGTTCTTCAAAGGGTACGTAATCCGAGTTTACATCTTACTGTGTAATGTGTATATGGATGTGGTAGAAACTGGGATTTTCCTGACCATTGCATTTAGATTGACTTGAGAGAGCTTTTTTTTTGTTGAATGTTGTAGGGTGATGATGTTTATGATGCCATGTTGAATCAGACAAATGTCAGGGATAATAATAACAAGTTCTTTGTCCTACAAGTGCTAGGTCAGTCACTGGACAGTTTATGTTTAGTTTCATTTCATTTTTTTTTTGGTAGCAATAACTTGCTCGGGGTCAGTAAGGACACTTGGTCTTGTTCTTGAAGAATCTTTCGAAGCTGTTGTTTCTTTTGATATCTCTCTCATAATTCCGATTATCATGAATCTGTGTGATCTATGCGCAGAGTCCGATAACCAGAAAACATATATGGTCTACTTCAGATGGGGAAGGGTTGGTGTGAAAGGACAGAGTAAATTAGAAGGGCCTTATGACTCATGGGATCGTGCAATAGAAGTATTTAACAACAAGTTCTGTGACAAGACAAAGAATTTTTGGTGTGACAGAAGGGAGTTTATCCCTCATCCCAAGTCCTATACATGGATCGAAATGGACTATAGCAAAGAGAAGAATGATTCAGTTGTGAGTGTTTCGGAATCCTGACTTATATCTCTTTATATAATTATTAACAATTGGTGTCTGTTCAATGAGATATTCCTCTTTTTGAGAGACTTTTTTCGTTTATTGCAAATTTAAAGATCATTTCTTTAGTACTTTCTCTAAGTTTGCACCTTTTCTCTCAGGTCAATGATATTCCCAAATCATCGTCTGAAGTAAAACCTGAGGAATCAAAACTAGATCCTCAGGTTGCCAAGTTCATCTCTCTTATATGCAACGTAAGCATGATGGCACAACACATGATGGAAATAGGTTAGTGTCTTTTTACTTCATTCAAGTGAGGGCAGAATTAGCAATGATTGAGATTCCTTTGCTTATACATCGGTACATGATTTCTAAGTCCCATTATCTTGCTTTGTGCTTCCTACCTTTTGTCATATCCAGTTGTTTGTTGTTTTCTTGGTTTCTTTACTTCTAGCTGATTATCATACTGCCTCTTATATATTCTCAATTTTTGGACTTGAAGGATACAACGCTAACAAATTGCCACTTGGCAAGCTAAGCAAGTCCACAATATCAAAGGTAAAGATGGTTAATGGTTTGTTTGGTCTCATTATAGTTTGATGGTGATATCAGATAATAGCTCCTCTTGAATCTCTCCAGGGTTATGAAGTGTTGAAGAGAATAGCGGAGGTGATGGACCGGTATGATAGAGCGAGGCTCGAAGAACTGAGTGGGTATGTATCTAGTTAATTGCTTTACTAGGTGTTACGTTTCGTGGAATATATATCCGTTTCCCACAAAGAAATTGGATCCGAGCTAGTCTAATTTTCTATCATTGTTGATGCAGAGAGTTCTATACTGTGATACCCCATGATTTTGGTTTTAAGAAAATGAGTAAGTTCATGTACATTTTACATCTGCTAAAAAATTTAAGATAAAGAATGATATTATAACTAATCATTCACTAATTCCGAGTTGTAACAGGTCAGTTTGTTATAGACACTCCTCAGAAGTTGAAACAGAAAATAGAAATGGTAATTCTTTCTACTGTTTCCTACTTGACTAGTTTTGGCCATCAGAAAAATAATGTTAAATGTAGTTTTTAATATATCTACTGTAAGGTTGAAGCATTAGGTGAAATCGAACTCGCGACAAAGTTGTTGTCCATCAACCCGGGATTGCTGGTAAGTCAGTCATTCTATGTGGTCTTAATGCATCATATCACTTCGTCATAAAGTTCTATAATGATGTGATGTTATTTATCTGCAACGGCTGTAGGATGATCCGTTATATTATCACTACCAGCAACTTAATTGTGGATTGACGCCAGTAGGAGCCGACTCAGAAGAGTTCTCTATGGTATACTTTTGGTTTTCCGAACTTCGAGCGAACTTTTTGATACATGAGTGTCTCAAAAACATCTGTATTTTTTAAACCTTATGCTGTCTTCTTCTTATACCAAAATCAGGTTGCCAATTACATGGAGAACACTCATGCAAAGACGCATTCGGGATACACAGTTAAGATTGCTCAACTATTTAGAACTTCTAGAGCTGTTGAAGCTGATCGGTTCCAACAGGTATGCTATGGTATTTCAAACTTATCGTTACCATACACAATTATTCTCATGTCTCATTTTGGGACTGTAATTTTTTTTAATTTTCTTGGCAGTTCTCAAGTTCAAAGAACAGGATGCTACTTTGGCATGGCTCACGTCTCACTAACTGGGCCGGTATTTTATCTCAAGGTAACAGGTTTCTCTGTTTTTTTTTTTCTATCTCTGTTTTCCCTTTCATCATTCTCTCTTTTGAGGGATTTTCAATTGCATAGTGATGTGAAACTACTATGAGACACCAAACAGGTCTTCGGATAGCACCTCCTGAAGCGCCTGTAACAGGTTACATGTTTGGGAAAGGGGTTTACTTTGCCGATATGTTCTCCAAGAGTGCGAACTACTGCTACGCTAACAGTGTATCTAATGACGGTGTTCTGCTCCTCTGCGAGGTGTTATACTCTCTTTTCTTCACTCTTGCTTAGCATTCAACATAACTGCATTTTTTTTAATGTTTCCTAATGATCAAAACTTCTCTAGGTTGCTTTGGGAGACATGAATGAGCTTCTATATTCGGATTATAACGCGGATAAGTTGCCCCCGGGAAAGCTAAGGTACACAACTAATCTCATTCATATTTCGAACAAGTTGTTTATGGACGATTAGGGAATTTGGGATGATGATGTTACAATGGGTTTAACCGGCCTAGTCCTGGCTGAACCGGTTTTATAGAGGTCTAGCCCAGTGCTACCATGTGACCATACTTAAGTAGTTGAGGCTTACGCTGATCCTATATAAGCAGGTCTTTTGACCAACCATAACATCCCAAACCGAGAGTAATTGTGATTTACTGGTTTTTTACTATACTGTATGTAAAACTTGGTTTGTGACTGATGGTTGCAGCACAAAAGGTGTGGGGAAAACAGCACCAAACCCATCAGAGGCTCAGACACTAGAAGACGGTGTTGTTGTTCCACTTGGCAAACCAGTGGATCATTCGAGCTCCAAGGTTTTTGCTTATGTTTTGTTTCCAACACATTCCACAAAATCAAACTCCCCAAAAGAAGAAAGTCAAATTTTCTAAATTGAATTTTGCTTTTTTGCAGGGGATGTTACTGTACAACGAATATATCGTCTACAATACGGAACAAATCAGGATGCGATATGTGATCCAAGTCAAATTCAACTACAAGTAGTAGTAAAACTTCTGTAGAGTTTTTTTGGACTTAATTATCAAGAACCAACCACCTCATTTCCAATTGCAAATTGTATTGGGCTCTTTTTTTTTTGTAATCGGCTTGGGATTTAACCAAAGTGGGCTTAAGAAAGCTTTTAAATGTGCGGCTTCTATAATCTGATTTTGGGCTTGATTTTTTGGGTTAAACGAGAATGACGGGTTTAATCGTAAATTAGTCTGTAAAAACCACAAAATACACAATCTTGTCTGGTTATATACACAAGAAAAATAAAGTGTTCGATTTTACTATTTTAGCAAAGAGAGAGAGAGAGAGGGAGAAATTTTTTTCTAATTAAATTATTAAAAAAACCCTCTTTTTGCTATTTATTTTTTCATATCTTAAAAGGGTGAGAAACCCTACGAATGTATCTCAGAATCTGGAGTCGTTGAAAGAAAGAGGCAGTCATGGGAGGATTGAAGAGGAAGTCCAGTTCCAAAACCCTAGGTAAGGCAAAGCAGAGGAAAGGCCCTCACCTGCCCAGCTCGATACTCAAGGCCATTAATGAGAAGCGTCCCTTGAACTCTGACGAAGAAGACGATGAGCTCGATTCCGATGATGAAAACGGCGGCGATGTGTACGAGTACGAAGATGGTGTCCCTGAAGAGGAATCCAGGAGAAACAACCGCTACGACCGCGTCGATAACTACGAATACGAGCTTCCCGAGGATTTCAAGGTTTTTTTTCAGTCTCACTTTCTCTCCCATTCAATACTCCGCCATCGATTTTGTTTCTTACCGCCGTCACTATATGAATTGCAAGTCCAAGGGAAATTGGCGATTGATATATATATGAGTTTGGTCCTGGCTGTTGGGTTTTATATGAATTGTCTCTTGTATTCGAGATTAAGATTAATCTGTTCGTGAATGAAAAAAGTTCTTAATTGTATTGATCGGACAATCTGGCAAATTGTTTTTCCTTGGTATATGCCTTACTGATAAAATGTCTTTATTGCAATGAAGGATGAAGATGTGGAGTCAGAAGATGATGATGTTGATGATGATGATGATAATAGACACACACGGGTGCTGCAAGATGTCAGTGCAAAGAAGGGTGAAGATGTGGAGTCAGAAGATGATGATGATGATGATAGACACACACGGATGCTGCAAGATGTCAGTGGATTGCCGGCTGAAGTCTTTAAAGGTAATTGATAGTGTAAAAACTGAGACTTTCTTCTCAGATTTTTGCTTATATCTGTCGCTTCATTGCATTTGTAAGCTGTAAACATAACCCTATGCTCTCCCTTTTTTGTTTTGTTTTCAGGTGAGGGTAAGAGCGAACGTCGTAAACTCTACACTGAAGCTTATCCAGAGTCTGAGTTCAACCCTACCCGTGATGTTCTGGAGGGTAAAGACAGCGTCACATTTGAGGAGCTTTTGGCGCCTCTTGAAGGAAAACCTGGGTATAACGAACTACGCAAGTCTTTCTCCCGGATGCGGAAAAATACTCAATCTGTTGTTCACGCTCCTCTGCCAAAGCCAGAACGCGAAAGACTGGATCGGAAATCGGTGAGAGGACAAGTTGACAAGGAGTTTGATAAATGGGTGCCTCTTGTGAAGAGGAATAGGGAAGCACCGACTGTTTACTTTGACAAAGATGTCAATCTTGGATACTCTACGGTTGGCGCAATTGCATCAGAGTTCAAACCCAGGACTAAGTTTGAGATGAACATGGCTTCCGTACTCGGTGGTAACGAGGTTTTGGAGGCTCACAGAAATGATGGAGTTAGGCTTCTTGAATCGATGGAGGCAAGCTCTGTTGATCTGACATGTCGCAACATAGTTTATATGAACTTCTGATTGTTAACTGTTTTGGATTGTATTTTGATTCAGGTTTCTATGGAAGACCACATTAAGGACCATAACCGCATTGCCAAGACGCGGAGCCTGCTCTTTCGTCATGAGATAAAATCTAAACGAATGAAGAAAATTAAGTCTAAAACTTATCATCGCCTTAAAAACAAAGACCTGAGATTAGCAGGGGAATCATTAATGGACCCAGAACTTGCTAAGGAAGAGGCTATGAAGCAGGAGATTAGACGAGTAGAGGTGAGTAGCTTCTTAGTATTTTTAATCAAGACACTGCCAAAAAAGTAATAAATGGTCTTATTTGTGCGTATGTCATGCCCTTATGCAGGAACGTATGACGTTAAAGCACAAGAACACGAGTAAATGGGCCAAACGCATGCGAAGCCGTGGACTGGATATGAGATACGATGAAACTCGGGCAGCTCTATCTGAACAACTTCAGAAACATGCCGACTTGTCCAGAAAAGTGAACTCCATGAATGATGGAAGCAGTAGTGATGAGAGCGACGATGAGGAAGAGCTGAATGATGCTTCAGATCAGGACACTCCTGCTAAATTGTTAGCAAAAGCAAAAGAGAAGACACTGAAAATTGTGGAAGATGATGAAGTGCCCAATTCTGGTCTTCTGTCATTGCCTTTCATGGTATTTCTTGGCTGGCTTTCTTAAAACATTAATTGTTGACTAGTTTAGTCTGGTTTTTGTTCATTCACGTGTTCTCTTTTTTGCTTGGATAGGCCCGTGCCATGAAAAAGAAACAGGAGGAAGCTAATGAAGAAGCTAAACGTTTAGTTGAGGAGTATGAAGAGTGGGAGAATCCTGATGGAGCAGAAAACCCGAAAAACTCCGTTAATGTTATTGGTAGAAGATCTTTTGGCGAAACCGCTATAGTTGAAGCGCCAAAAGAGTCTAAAAAGGAAGCAAATAACTTCTATGACAACAGTGACAGTGACAATGATATGGATGGCATAGAAGATAATGACGTAGTGGCTGTAAGAGATAATGCTTCACCTGCTAGAAACACTGGAACCATTACAGAAACCGAGGTATGACTTTTTTTTCCCCGTTCCCGTTCGGTTAAACATAATGGTTCTTTTCTTATCTCGCTTTCAAATCTCTGATAACAATTTTTTTGTTTGATTTGTCCACTGAAGATTGATGATGTTGCTGGAAATTCAGCACCTAAGACAACATTTGATGTTGCCTTATTTGCATCAGGCTCCTGGAAAAAGGTTTGCTTTGAATATTTTGAATCAGACCTCGTCTCTTTTTGTGTGATCTTTTATTAACTCCTTTTTGTATGTTATCCAGATGACAGGCTGCAAAAACGCGGAATCCAAAAAAGCTTCAAAGACCCATGTCCCCATTTCGCAGGCTCAAGATAAAAAGGTTTCTTTTCCTCAGATCTCAGTGGAATTAAACTGTTTTAATCCCTGTTCTTCGCCTTCCAGTTTTAGCTTCAGGTGGTTTTAATGCCTCGGTTATGTGTAATTTTTCTTTGAAATCTGTAAAGGAATCGAGAGATGAAGAAAGCGAAGATTCAGAGAGCGAAGCAGAGCAAATGGTGGACGGGATTTTGACATCTGCTTCAAAGGAAACCTTTGAAATTCCTTCTCAGGCAGAGCTTATAAACCGTGCTTTTGCTGGTGATGATGTTGTGGATGAATTTGAGAAAGAGAAGCAAAAGGTTCTAAATGAGGAAGTTCCTGAACCGGAAAAACCGGTTCAAGTTCCAGGTTGGGGACAGTGGACCAATATCCAAAACAAGAGAGGTTTACCTTCATGGATGGTTAGAGAACACGAAGATGCCAAGAAAAAGAGAGAGCAAGCTCTCAAAACAAGGAAAGACGCTCGTCTCAAACATGTTATCATATCAGAGAAGGTTCATAAAAAGGTCAGTGTCTCATCACTTGCTTAATATCTTAAATCCCTTTGTACATAACCCATCCAATCTCAAGCTCACGTTATCTGTTTTGTGACAGGCTGAGAAACTCCATACAACGACTCTACCTTTCCCTTTTACATCGAAAGAAGCTTTCGAAAATAGTATGCGTATGCCTATAGGACCCGAGTTTAATCCCTCGACTGTTGTTGGAGATCTAAACCGACCTGAGGTTGGTTCCTTTTCATTACTTTGTGAAACTCTCAAAATGTTGCAATTCTTTTGACCTTGTTGCGATTAACCTTTTGTTTGCAGGTTGTGAAGAAGACCGGGGTCATAATTAAACCGGTCAAATTCGAGGAAGTGAATCCAAACGACAAAGCAGATGATGAACACCCTCGAAGCCATCAGAAACAAAGACCCAAAAAGAGTAAAAAGGTAGGCAGAGGTCAAAGCAAAGTCAAGTCCAAGTAATAGACGAAAGCTTCAATACTCGGCAACAAGATTTTTGCATTCTCAATACACTTATTTAGACATAAATTTTGATCCCATGGGAACAATTTTGCCATTGTAACTTGTTGTCTTATAAAAAAAAACACATTGCTATTTAATTCAAAGTTCTTCAAACCCTTGTTCATCTCCATCTTCTTCCACCCTCTCAAACTCTTGTCTCCATTTCTCCATCTGTAAGATTTCGTTAATTCCAGAAAATGACTTTAGTAACGTGTTTGAGTCTTATTTGCGAGATTATAGTTCTAACCTGATCATCTGAAAACCTGAGCTGTTGTGCGATAAACAAAATCGTGTCCTGGTTCTGGTTCTGGTTCACTTGTGAATGTAATACAATGCCCAAACTTTCAGCGATCTCTTCATAGCTAACTATCTTCACCTTAAAACCATTGCTCATAAACAGTTTGTCCATCCATTTTGTCAAATCCGACTGCATCAAGAGTTTTGAAAAGATTATTATAAACTGAAAGATCGATACTTTTGTTTAAAAGTAGGAAGTTGAAAGATAGCTAAGAGATCAAAGTGACCTGGAGTGTGATACTTGTAGGCAATTCTCCTATGAGATAACATTCATTCATGGCTAAACTACTAATTGCTGATAGAATCGCTTCGAAACTCGATTGTGACTCAATGGGTAAACCCTGTTATTATGAATAGGAAGAAGAACTATGTCAAACATAAAAACACTCATAGTGTAAAGATGATGGTAACACATATTATTACCTGCATTGCCCATATACTTGGCCGATTCCCACTAAACCCTTTTGAGCGTAAACCTTGCTCCATGTTTCCGGATTCCTCAGGAATGTGAAAGAACAAGCAACTTTTCGGAATCTTAGCTCCCACACCTGAATCAGTTGTAGGAAAACAATATCAAACATAGAACGTATAACTAATCTCAAACATAACTATGGAACATCTATAGTTAGATGCAAAAAGAGATGTTTTCTTGTAGTGATGACAAAACGGACCTATTGAAAGCAACAACACAAACCTTGAAGCTTGTCAGTCTCAAACATGACTGTAGAGCATCTATAATTAGGTACATCAAGAGATGTTTTCTTGTAGTGATAACAAAACAGACCTTTGAAAAGCAAGAGCACAAACCTTGAAGCTTGTGAGATGCTATTTCGAAAACTCTATCCGGCGATACATCAAAGATCATAGTTGAAGTTGGCCAATTAAGCCTGAAAGGTCGAGTATCCATGCCATCCGTGAACAAGACAACCTGCCAAAAATGTGATATCACTTTACACACAAAAAAATATAATTAAATGAGGCTCATGCTTGAAGATGACAAATATAAGTTGAGTAAAGTAACCTGCTTTAGACCATCGATGCGTTTAGCTATATGTAACAATTTGTCATCTATGAACTTTGTTGCAAGACAATAATATTGTTGTCGTTGTTCATGGATGTCTGAATCCTTGTTCGTAGAAGGAGGTAAAAAGCAAGCCGCATATGGGTCGATGAATAGAGGCTCTGTTTGCAGAAATTAGAAAGCTTTTAGTCAAATTTCTTCAAGAAAGTATTTGATCAAACAATAAAGCGCTATGTGTTCGACGAAATGACTAACAGAATAATCGGATAATCCAAGGATAATCTGATTAGGAGAGTGTTAGAGAAATCGGAATAGAAAATGAAACTGAGAGAGAGAGAGAGAGATTGCCTGTTCGATTGGTTTCTCGAAGACGAAGAGAAGCGGAATGAATAGCTGATTGAATCAAAGGGTCAGTGTCTTCTCTGAGCTCTGCTTTCGCCGAACGGATGACCAGCGTTGGAATCTGACGGCGACGGAGTGCGGTGGCCGGAAAGTGTAGAGGCGGGATAGATAGACTTTGCATCAGTGATGATTATCGCTGACTTTGGATGATGAAGAAGACGGCAACACCTCTGATTCCGTCAGAGGTTTTCAAGTATATCATAACTGTTTTCTTGTTCACGGTCAACAAAGCAAAAAAAAAAAAAAAACTGTTTTTACGATAATGGCTGTTTTTGCAATTGAAATTGATACAACAAGTCAACAACAGTAACAGGCAAAATATGTATTTTTTTTTTATATACTCTATCGGCTATCCAGTTAGCTTCAGTATATATGCATCGAAATGCTATAAGAACGGACTGATTGTCTATGGTTTAATGGTTCAACAGTTCATCATGAGCTGAGTCAACGGGCTATGAGATTCAAAGAGCTACCGCACTGCCTATATCAAATTGAAATACCATCCGACTATATACTAGAGGTAGTCAGACCGCCTGCATTTTTAACTACTAAGTAAACTAATTGGGCCAAGACCCAACCGACAGACTTCCCAACAAAATATTGATAACAGCAAAAGAGAAAAATCGAACTTGGATGTGAGAGTTTCACCATTTACCAAGTCCGCCCTACCACTAATCCATCACCTCGCAGAAAGTTTTCGTTTTTTTGTTTGTTCTATCATTTTTATAAATTCGACCGTGAGTTTGGAAACATAAACAATTTTACAATTCGAGACTCAACAAGAGTCAAAAATAGAGGAGACACGTTATGATTTATTTAAATGCTATCTTTTTATTTATTTATTTATTACAACACTTGTGAAATCCTTTATATATTAATTTGCTGGTCAAAACTTGTGAATGATCAAAGTTGTGAAGCAACTTTATAAATTAAACCAAAAAAAAAAAAAATTTATATGTATGATTTTCAAAATTTTTTACATGATTTCAATAAATTATAGATAATTGTTCTCTATAATAAAGAAAAAATGACACTGTAAAGAGGAATAAAATATGCAATATTCAAAAATTTCATATTGTAAGCACATTAACATACAAAAAAAAACACCAAAATAGCATTTATTCAAAGAGTATTCTGAAATCTGAATACTTTGAAAATGTAGATCTAAAGAAGGGTAATTTCGTCAACTTCTGAATGGGACCCTATCCCATTCAATTTCGTTAAGAGCGGTGAGATTTCGATGATAGATTTGAATTTCAATCTACGATCTATTTTATTTGTTGGGAGGCGAGAAAATAAAAAATATATAAAAGAGTGAGAGTGACCTTATAAAGACAAAATAAAGGAAAAAAACCCTAAATCCGCAACAGACCAAAAACTCTTGAATATTTTTGAAAATGTGTTATCTATTGGACCGCGGGATTCTTCTTTTGTAAATTTCCGAGTCCAAGCATTGCTTCTTCATTCATTTCTTTTGCTTTGGACTCACCAAAATCTCTCAAGCTTGGATCTTTTACCGTCAAAGCAAAGTCTCAGCTCCACTAAGTGGTACGGATCTGTTTCTCCGAGATTCACGGTTCTGTCTTATGTAATTTTGTCTGAATTCGAATTAGCTGTCTAGTTCTCGGTTTCCTCGTATATGGTCTTTAATTCTAGCTTGACTCGAGTTTTCTTCGGCGGAAAGTTCAGGGCTTTATCACCAATAATCATTTGCAGAGGATTAGATTTGATAAATGTAACTAAAGTTTATGACTTTAAGAAGAGATCTTGTGTTCTCTGGAACTTGTCTGATTTCTGTATTCCTTCCCTTTTTTTTTGTCAATCAAATTAATTCTGTATTTCCTTCCTATTTGGTCTTAATTTCGGCGGAAAGTTTAGGAATTTATCACTGTTAGGATGAGATTTGAAAAATGTAGGCTAAAGTGTACGACTTTCAGAAGAAATCTTAAGTGGTTTTGTCTTGTGTGTTTGCAGCTGGAGTAATGGGTTTGAATCTTAACCCAATTTTGCGACAAGAACTGGCTAATCTTGACAAAGACACAGAGAGCCGTAAATCAGCAATGAAAGCTCTTAAGTCATATGTCAAGGAATTGGATTCAAAGGCTATTCCAAGTTTCTTAGCACAAGTCTTCGAGACTAAAGAGACCAACTCTTTGTCTGGTGAATACACGATCTCGCTCTACGAGATCCTTGCTCGTGTTCATGGACCAAACATTGTCCCTCAGATTGATGTAATCATGTCCACCATTGTCAAGACCTTGGCTTCAAGCGCTGGCTCTTTCCCTCTTCAACAAGCTTGTTCCAAAGTGATTCCGGCAATCGCTAGGTACGGGATTGATCCGACAGCCGCAGAAGACAAGAAACGACTCATCATCCACTCTTTGTGTAAGCCTCTTACAGATTCTCTCCTGGGATCTCAAGAGAGCCTCGCTTCTGGCTCTGCACTGTGTCTGAAGGCTCTCGTGGATTGTGACAATTGGCGGTTTGCTTCGGATGAGATGGTGAACAAGGTCTGCCAAAACGTGGTAGTTGCGTTGGACTCGAACTCAAACCAAACGCATCTTCACATGGGTTTGGTTATGTCACTTGCTAAGCATAACCCTTTGATCGTTGAAGCCTACGCAAGGCTGTTGATACACACGGGACTGAGGATTCTGAGATTTGGCGTATCTGAAGGAAACTCGCAGAAAAGGTTATCAGCAGTGCAGATGTTGAATTTCTTAATGAAGTGCTTGGACTCGAGAAGCATATACTCTGAAGTTGATTTGATAGTCAAGGAGATGGAGAGGTGCCAATCCGACCAAATGGCTTATGTAAGAGGAGCTGCTTATGAAGCAATGATGACTTCGAAAAGAATAGCCGGAGAGCTCGAGTCGAAGATGGAGAAGAAAGGTTGCCGCTCTGTTACTGGTTCGAACTTCGGCCGGAGAAGCGTTGTCAATGCTCATTCTCCTGATAGCTCGTTATCACCTGAATCGCAGACTCTAGGAGGCTCCTTCAGCGGATATGATTCTCCTCCGCTCGAGTCCTCTTATACTTCTTTTAGCTCTGAGTTTGATCAGAGGAGTGTGAATCGAAAACTTTGGAGACCTAATGGAAGGGTTGATATCTCTTTGAAAGATGGTCTTTTCTCTGGAGAGACCACTGTCTCTGATTCACCTCTTGTCCCTTATGATCATTGTGAAAATGGCAGCGATGAATTCGAAGGGTTTCATATGGGAAGTTCGAGAAACAGGCGGATGCAAAACTCTACTCCTACTAGCCCACAGGTGAGAAACTTAAGAGTATCATCATCAATCCATCTTTGTTGTTATGATTGCGACTTGCGAGTTTGTTTTTTTTTTGTAACATTTTTGAGTTTTTCTGAATGCAACAGAGACAGTGTTGTTCACGCATGAATCTTGAAGACTTCAGCATCTTCAGCACCCCACGGAAGCTAATCAGTTCTCTTCAGTATCCTGATGATCTGGACTTGGATCATTCAGACATTCAGAGTCCAGTACGGTCTCGCCAGAGCATTAAACTCAGAAAGCAGTTTCCAATCATGGCGGCGGAAACGATGTCATCATCAACCGTCGTATTCAGTGAAGAAACAACACCTCAATCACAGATAATAATGGGCGAGACGAAGAAGAAGAAGAAGATGAGCTATGCCAAACTGGTTATTGCGATATCTTCTGTCACCGTGGTGCTCTTTACAAGTGTGATGATGTTGATGGAGAATCAGGATGACGATGTTGGTTACTACACTGTTCCAACATGATGATGCACATCTCTTGTAGGTGATCAGTTTAAAACGCTAGTGTAATAGGGAGAAGGTAATTTAGTTATCCAATTTACATGTTGGTTGGTTGTAACTTGTAATGTACTTGGTATTACAAGATGTAGAGTCTGTTTCTTCATCTACTCGTTGTTCTCAATTTGTTTCGTATTGGAAATCTGTGGAATCAGCTTTAGTATCAATTTAAATCACTTGAATGTGTTAATCCATCTGATTGGCCAGCTTTCACTTCAGAGTTAGACTACTTGGTGGATGGGTTTCGAGTACTGTAGTTTACATTTGATACGGCTTGCTCAAAATATCCGTACCAATGGCCTAGAAGCACGAGCACAAAGTTTATATTTTTTTATGTAAATCATAATGAACCGATTTGGTTGATTCTTAAAGACTACCACCAAACCGGTATATTTTGATTTATTTTATGGAGCAAAGAATGTGTTAGTCCCCCTATAGTTTTTGCTGTTTCTTGTTGCTATAGCCATCCTTTGCACGGTTTAGATATATGTTCTTCATTTACCAATTAAGGGCCTCTTATTTTCTTTTCCACCAGGTCCCATATCTGCTGTACCAACACTAGTATGACTATTTCTTCAGAAGAATTTTAGAGTGGTATGTTTCTTGTATTTACTAATCACACAGAAATTTCAAAAGTATTTGAATATTGTTTTTTATTGATTTGATGGCCTCGGTTCTTATTTGTTTGTTTCTGATGTGTTTGTTCCTATCACTTACCCAATACCCCCAATCACGCAGAAATTTCGAAGTGTATGACTATTGTATTATTTGTTTTTGTTTTTTAATTTGTGACCTTAGTTTCTTATTTGTTTGTTTCTGTTGTGTTTGTTCCTATTAGTTGCCCAATCACACATAAATTTCAAAGTATGATCATTTCTTCAGGAGAAGATTTGGGCACTGCAGAAGGAACGGAGGACCAAACTCTTGAAGCCTACACTGGACGATAATGATGTGCACTGACGCTAGAGTACCTGATTTTAGTACTAGACCACCAGAAGATGGGACTGCATATCTTCGACTAACTCTTGGAGCCTCCTACAATTATATCTCTATCTTTATATAATAATGCCAATTGCATTTTGAAAAATTGTGTCTTTAGAATTGATGATTGTGTCTTTTCATTATAAATAGTTGCATATTTTCACAATAAATTGTTGTATTTTTTCACCAACTATAATTTGTGTCTTTTCAAAACTATTTATATTGTTCAAAACCACAGGAAAAATCATTTGGATCTAACTTTTATTTTTTTACCATAGTGAGTTTTTTTTTTCGTAAACTTGTTTATTTATCATAACATATTATCAAGATACAAAGTGTTTAAAAAACTTGGAAGTTCAGATATTAAATTTGAGTAAAAGATTTTATTTGGGGGTCCAATTTTAGCTAAATGTGAGCAGTTTTATTACAAAATTGTTTTACATTCATTACATAAGAAAAATAAAATCTTCAACTAAAATCAAATGTTATTTTTATTATAAAGAAACTATAAGTGTTTTACTTACTGATATATATTATGTTATTTTTTTTTTTTGTTAACAATCCGAATAAATGCCATTTACACTTTAAAAAGTTGTGTCGTTTCAAAATTTGTGGTTGCGTCTTTTCATTATGTATGGTTGCATCTTTTCATTATAAATGATTGCATTTTTTTCATTACAACTGCTATTTATGTCTTTTCAAAACTATTTAAATTGCTCAAAATTACAGAATAAAATTATTTGGGTCTAACTTTTACTTTTTTAATATGGTGGGTTTTTTTTATCGTAAACAATCTGAATAAATGCTAATTATACTTTAAAAAATTGTGTCATTTCAAAATTTGTGGTTGTGTCTTTTTTATTATAAATGATTGCATCTTTTCATTATAAATGGTTGTATTTTTTCATAAGAACTGTTATTTGTGTTTTTTTCAAAATTACTTATATTGCTCAAAACCAGAGAAAAAAATTATTTGGATCTAATTTTTACTTTCTTACTATAGTGGGCTTTTTTGTCGTAAACTTATTTATTTATCATAACATATTATCGGGATACAAAATGTTTAAAAATCCTGGAGGTTCAGATATTGAATTTGAGTAAAAAATTCCATTTGAGAGTCTAATTGTGGCTAAAATATGATAAATTTCATTACAAGATTGTTTTATATGTATTATATCAGAAAAATAAAATTTATTCAACCAAAATCTAATGTTATTTTTATTATAAAGAAATTATATGTATTTTGTTTACTAATATATTATGTTATTTAAATCTTTTTGTTAACATCTATATATTTGTAGTTAATTGTGTTATTTTCAAGTTTTAATATTCTTTGTTAGTTGTTTATAAATTTAAAGTACCTAATATTTCGATTCTTTTTTCTAATTTCATAGAAATATATTTATGTATAACAAATTCACATATATTTTATATATGTATTTTTAAGGTATCAAAGTTTTTTATATATTTTAACTAATATATTTGTAATATACCTTTTTAATATTGCGAATATTTTTTGAAACCATGGTAGTCTTAGAAAATGTATTATAAAATCTCATTACATCATTTTATTATGTATATTTCCTGTAGTATTTTTTTTTTAAAATATCAAAGTTTTATCATAATTCTTTGTTTCTAGCTTTTTAGTACTAAATGTATAGTTTTATAAACTATTTTTTGAAAGATTGCCTTATTTATTTTTTACTTTACACTTTTATGCGAATATAAATTTTCAATAATTATACAAATAGAAGATCGCATATATATATGATATATCTATATTGTATATTTTCATATATAACTTTTTAAAACACTTAAAAAGTTGTGTATCTTATTACTTTTCAGTTTTTTTATTTGTTTTATTAATAATTAGTAATTACAATCATATAAAAATTTATATATTTTTATCATAATTAGTTTGTACATTTCCATTTAGAACTTATTGTTAATAATTAAAAAAAATTGAAAAATATATTTTTGTAATTTAATAATTATAAGTTATTTTCAATGGTTGCATTTTTATTATATATATTTTACTTATAATTATTTTAAATAAATTTCTATTAATTTTTAATATACCGTATATTGACCCCGCGAAGCGGGGATCCTATTCCTAGTTTGCACAACAACAAACTCTTTTAAAGCCTACAATTTGCTACTACGGCTGAGTTGTTTTCCTATTTTTAGGTGGGAGGCTAATCGAATTCCGAATTCATAAAGTTTCAGTTATTTAATTTAGAGTATTTCTACATATGAAATGTCACACAAATGTATTAATATCACCTCCCGCCGGATAGTATAGAATCAACATTTGAAGATCCACCGGTAAACATGCTTAGCTCACTAAGTCCGTGGTGGATTCCCAACATCATCCTCCCGCTCCCACGCAAGTCCAAAGGCAAAAAATCTGGCAGCACTGCATCTCCCCTTAGATAATGTAGCACTTGTCTCATCGTTGGTCTAGTATATGGGTCGGAGTGAGAGCACAGCAAACCTAGCTTCAAAACCATTTCGACCTCTCTTTCGTCAATCTCTGTTCCAAGATTGGGATCCTTAGCATCCAAGATGTCTCCCTCGTTCCATAACCCCAAAACCCAATCCACGAGAAAGACCCTCTCACCACCATTCTCGCAGTTCTGAACCTCGAGAGGACGCCTACCGCAAGCCACTTCTAGTAGGAGCACCCCAAAGGCAAAAACATCCGTTGCGGTCGTGGCTTTTCCTGTCCTGATGTGATCGGGGGCTAGGTATCCTCATGTTCCAGCGACAAGCGTGGTTTCAGGATCCGTACCATGACCGCACAACCGAGCTAAACCGAAATCCCCGAGTCTTCCATTGTGCTCTACGTCTAGCAAGACGTTGCTGGCTTTGACGTCACGGTGAATCACCACTTGTTCCCAGTCCTCGTGAAGGAAGAATAAGGCGGAGGCCACACCTCTAATGACTTTTATCCTCTGGTTCCAGTCGAGGGTTACCTCCGGACTACTGTGCAGATACTTGTCTAAGCTTCCATTGGGCATGTAGTCGTACACCAGAAGAAGCTCGTCTTTTCGGAGGCAATAACCTACGAGAGGGACTAAGTTCCGGTGACTCATCCGACCAATACTCACGATCTCAGACACAAACTCTTTCAACTCTTGTTGGGATTTGTTCGAGACTCTTTTCACGGCGACCTCTTTCTTCGTCTTGGGCATGACACCTTTGTAAACGCTCCCAAACCCGCCTGATCCGAGAAGGCCCTTCTCCTTGAACCCTTCGGTGGCAAAGTATAAGTCCTTGAACTTGAGCCGGTTCTTCCCGTCCATTGTTTCCCAATCTTCGAGCTCCTCCGCGAACTTTCTCCTCCTCCTCACGATGAAGCGCACAAGTGTTGAGAAGTAAACTTGATTTTGGATCAAGTTATAATAATTGAGCCAAAATCCAATTATACTTAATTCAATGTTCTAGAATGTTCTCTAGAAAAATCAATACTTCCACCTCCTTAAAATGTTCTAGAAAATTATAGAAAATAAATATCTAGAGAAATCTTTAGATAATTGTAACAAAATAATATAGATAATATGATAGAACTCTCTAGATTTATGATTAAAATATTTTAGATATTTTGTATTTTGAAGGCTATAAATAGCTATCTCCCCTCTCATTTGTAATCAAGAGAAAAACTAAGAGAAACTAATAAGAAGTAAAGTTCTTAAGTTCTTATCAAAGCTTTTCTCTTCTTAAACTTGTCTATTTGTCTCTAAAGTTTTAAAACACCTTCTCCATCACTTACTAAAGTTCTTTCTTTCCAACAACAAGGAATATGGGGGAGCAAATAATCAAGAGGGCAATGATCAAAAGGGTGAGAAGCAATAAGAAAGAAACGGTTAAACTCAACGACTGTCCATACATGGACTCCAACTCTGGAAGGTTCGATAAGGCCAACGACGGAGCTTTCCCCTTCACCCGGAAACTCCACCCAAGAACAATAAGTTCCGATTTAGCCGCACCACTGGTTGCAGACGAGAAACCTACGAACATATGTTGCAAAAAAACCGAGGATAGATCTCTGACAATAGAAACAAGCGGCTCTTTAGGTTTATCCTGTTTGAACGGAGCCATCGTTACACTGATCTGATGGGCATCCGCTTGCATCCGCTTACCATCGATCAACTTCAGTTTCTTAAACTTATCTTTATCCTCCCAGTACCCAGCCGGTGAAGTTTTCACCGATTTCAAACTGTTGATATCGATTCCCACATGGTTGTCGTCGGGATCGTCGGTATCTTGGTTGGTGTCAAACTCAACAGCCAATACATGATGCGTATCATTACCGTTGTTTATGATATTGAAGAGACCGAGGTATTGGCCAGCGCTGGTGATTGGGAGGCCAAAGTTAGGAGCGACGACAAAGGCCATACCCTCGCCGCCATATTCAGTTAGCAGAGATTGAATAGCGAAGACAAAGGTTGTAGAAAAGGACGAAACGCTGTCGTTTGGAGAATCTTTGAACCGGATTGGTTTGGTATAGAAGGCATGACTGGTTTTCCGAGCGGTGTATTTGGTTAGCTTCAAGAGACCTTTGTGTGTGATGCTGGCGATTCCTTGCATGGATAAGTCAGTCACTGGAGGACGGAAGCCATTGAAGGTGAAGCCGAGATTTTGGGAAGAGGATTTTAGGGATTGAGAGAGTGGGCTAAGGAAGAAGACGATGGTGAGGAGCTTGACCAACATGGCTCTATAATTCTATTTTATTTTTATTTTTAGATTGGTTTAGATAGGAGAGACTATAAGAAGGAGAGACAACTTATGGTGTAAAGAGAGTGGAAAATTCCTCGCGTCACAGTCACAGACATAGAGTCAATGGTGGAGACTCACGAAAGATTTGGATGTCGTTTTGATATTCCCATATGAGATATATTTTCATTTTTCACGTACGTGATTGTGGATGTTATGTGAAGTTTCATCACGCTCAACTAAAACTTAACTGTAAAGTGAAAACTCTGTCAATTATCCGCGCGATGCATCACTACAAGAAGCTACTAATTTTGTTACAACTTAATTGAAGTTATAGCTTTGTTTTATTACAATTATCGACACATTTGTTATAATGTAATATAGATATATTGTTTTGTAGCAAATTTGTTATTTTTTGCATCTACAATTTGCTATGATTTGCGATGAACTTTGTGTTAACGCAAATTTTTTTTTTTCAAAAAATACGTAATAAAGTTAGCCATAAAGATGACCATAACTAATTTGTAAATTTCTATATAAAATTTGTTATAAGTTAAGAGAAAGTTAAATTTGTGATTAATTTGTTCCAAATATTGACAAACAAAAATGTAATAAATTTAGAAATAAAATAGTTTGTAATAACTTTGTTACTTTTTATATACAAGCTGATATGATTTGTCATAAAATTTATATTATTAGAAAGTAGTTACAAAAATCCACAAAAAAATTGTAGCAAAGTTGTGTCAAATAGCACGAGCTACACGTGATTTTGTAGCAAAGGATAACTAGTTGTAACTAATAGTTACTACGTTGGCATTTCTGTCTATTTGTGGGTAATTGGTGTGAAAGCTTCAAAAAGTCTTTGTAGCAAATAGAGTACTAGTTGAAAGTTATACATCGAAAGTTATACATTCGAGACAAAAAGAATCGCTCATATCGGTGGTTGTTGTCTCAGGAAAACAGTAAATTATTGATAGCCACATATTAATTATAACCAGTAGATGTGTTGCCTATAAAAGAAACTCTGTAACGAAGGGTTTCATGAGAAAGGAAAGTAAAAACTTCAGTAAAAATAATTATAACCGTAAGTAAATGGTTAGCCTGCATATATATGTATATGATGATAAATATATTATTGATGTGTCTATTAATATATTTATAAAAAAAATTAGTTTGTGAAAAAATTATTTTAATAGATTTTAAAAAATTATATATAGTAAAAAGATTAAATATACACCAAATTTAAAATATTTTTTTTAAAAAACATAAAACAAAAATGATTCTTCTTTATTTTTTATTTTATAATAATAATTCTGCAAATTTTACACAAAAAATTGAATTTGTAAAACAAAAATATTATCTTTAAAATAAGATTCTAAATTGTTTCCATCAAAATCTCGATTTTACAAAATTTCTGCAAAAATGAGAATTAGTCAATTTCCAACATAAAAAAATATGTCAAAAATATGATTTCAAAAATATTTTGTCAAAATTTCGATTTTATGAATTTTCCGAAAAAAGTGAATCTATAAAATTCACCAAAATACTTATATTAGAAATGTGATTTTAAAAATTATCATTTAAAATTTTGATCGTGTGAATTTCCAGCCAAATATGTGAAACCATAAATTTTTGTTGTCATGATTGCTTTAACATTTTTGAGTTTTTTCTAAATGGAACAGAGACAGTGTTGTTCACGCATGGATCCTGAAGATTTCAACATCTTCAGCACCTCACGGAAGCTAATCAGTTCTCTTCAGTATCCTGATGATCTGGACGTGGATCATTCAGACATTCAAAGTCCAGTACGGTCTCGCCAGAGCATTAAACTCAGAAAGCAGTTTCCAATCATGGCGGCGGAAACGATGTCATCATCAACCGTCGTATTCAGTGAAGAAACGACACCTCAAACACAGATGATAATGGGTGAGAAGAAGAAGAAGATTAAGAAGATGAGCTATGCCAAACTGGTTATTGCGATATCTTTTGTGGCGGTGGTGCTATTTACAAGTGTGAGTGTGATGATGTTGATGCAGAATCAAGATGGTGATGTTGGTTACTACACTGTTCCAACATGATTTGATTCACGTCACCAGTCCTGAGTGGTCAGTTTAAAATGTAATAGAGAGAAGGTAATTTAGTTATCCAATTTACGTGTTGCTCTGTTTGTAATGTACTTGGTACAAGATGTAGAATCTTCTTCTTCTCAATTATTTCACGTTGAGCATATATTATTATTTAATATTTAGTTTCTTTTTTTACATATACAATGTAAGACATCAATCTCCTGATATGAAAATATCATCTCCCGCCGGAGAGTATAGAACCAACAATCGAAGATCCACCGGTAAACATGCCTGACTCACTAGGTCCGTGGTTGATTCCCGGCATGCCTAACTGACACAAGTCCAATGGCGACAAATCTGGTAGCACTGCATCTCCTTTAAGAAAATGTAGCACTTGTCTCATAGTTGGTCTAACATGAGGGTTGGAGTGAGAGCACATCAAACCTAGCTTGAAAACCATTTCGACCTCTCTTTGGTCATACGCTGTTCCAAGATTAGGATCCTTAGCATCCAAAATGTTTCCCTCGTTCCATAACCCAAAAACCCAATCCAAAAGCAAGACCCTCTCACCACTCTCGCTATGAATCTGGCTAGGACGCCTACCGCACGCCACTTCTAGTAGGAACACCCCGAACGCAAAAACATCCGAAGCGGTCGTAGCCTTTCCTGTCCTGATGTGATCGGGGGCTAGGTATCCAAATGTTCCAGCTACGTGCGTGGTGTAAGGATCCCTACCATGACCGCACAGCCTAGCTAAACCGAAATCACCGAGCCTCCCATTGTGCTCCGGGTCTAACAAGACGTTGCTGGCTTTGACGTCACGGTGAATCACCACTTGTTCCCATTCCTCGTGGAGGTAGAATAAGGCAGATGCCACACCTTTGATGACTTTAATCCTCTGTTTCCAGTCGAGTGTTACCTCCGGATTATTGTACAAATACTTGTCTAAGCTTCCATTGGGCATGTAGTCATACACCAAAAGAAGCTCGTCTTTTCGACGGCAATATCCGACGAGAGGGACTAAGTTCCGGTGACTCATCCGACCGATACTCACGATCTCAGACACAAACTCTTTCAACCCTTGTTGGGATTTGTTCGAGACTCTTTTCACGGCGATCTCTTTCTTCGTCTTGGGCATGACACCTTTGTAAACGCTCCCAAACCCGCCCGATCCGAGAAGGCCCTTCTCCTTGAACCCTTCGGTGGCAAAGTATAAGTCTTTGAACTTTAAACGGTTCTCCCCGAACTTTGTTTCCCAATCTTCGAGCTCCTCCGCGAACTTTCTCCTCCTCCTCACGATGAAGCGCACGAGGAAGATGAGGGAGGATATGAGCAAGAACGGAAAAAAAAATATGGATGCCATCAGCATCCAATCATTGTAGAAGATGTCGATTTTCTTGGGATCCCATTTCGGAATTTTAGGAAGTTTGGATAATGCCAATCGCGGAGCTTCCCCCTTCACCCCGAAACTCCACCCAAGAACAAAATGTTCCGACTGAACAGAACCAGTCGCAGACGAGAAACCTACGAACATATCTTGCAAAAGAACCGAAGATAGATCTCTGACAATAGAAAGTAGCGGTTTTCTAGGTTTATCCTTTGTGAAGGGAGCCATCGTTACATCGATTTGATGCGTACGACCATCGTAATCAACCCAAACCTGTATCCGCTTACGACTGATCAGAGTCAGGTTCTTGAATTGGCCTTTCTTGTCCCACCACCCAGCCGGTGAACTCTTCACCGATTCCAAGCTATTGATATCGATTCCGACATGGTTATCGTCGGTATCATCGAACTCTGTATTCCGGATCGTATCCAGTTCGACAGCGAACACATGATTTGTGTTATCACCGTTGTTTGCGATGTTGAAGAGACCAATGTATGGGCCTGCCGTTGCGTAAGGAAGGCTTGCGTTAGGAGCGATGACGAAGGCGATGCCGTGGCCGCTAAGTATCGGGATCTGAGAGTGAATAGCGAAAACGAATGTTGTGGAGAAGGAAGAAACGTGCCGTTTGGAGAATCTTTGAACCGGATTGGTTTGGTATAGAAGGCGTGACCGGTTTTCGGAACGGTGTAGTTGGTTAGCTTTAAGAGACCGTTGGGTGTGACGGTGGTGATCCCTTGGATGGAGATGTCAGTCAGTGGAGGACGGAAGCCATTGTAAGTGAAGTTGAGAATTTGGGAAAAGGATTTTGGGAATTGAGAGAGTAGGCTGAAGAAGAAGACGATGGTGAGGAGCTTCACGAACATGGCTCCCTACTTTTCTCTTAAAAAAACGTTTGCCTTTGGTTTAGAGAGTTTGTGAGAAACTAAGTCAATTTATGGTGTAGAGAGTGTAGAAAATTCGTAGTTTTTTTCCGTTAAGGGAAAAGTCGTCACCATAAAACTTGATTTAGAATCCATGGTAGGAGACCTATTAAAGACGTCGTTGCTTGACCTCCTCGTTTTGCAGTCACTGATGATAGTAACGGGAGATCAAATCGAGTTCGTTATTGATAATTCACCAATATACTTTGGTAATAAAAAAGAGTTATTTACATCCAAAAGAACTTTGGCTATAACTGGCCATATGGTGAAGATTACAGAGAAAGAAAGTCGACGCCAAGGATAAGCCTTTCTTTACAAAGTAGCATATCTTGATCGTGTTGTTTGAGTTGTACAGAGCAAGAAGCTTCAAAAATTTAAAGTATAACTATTTTCTTCAGGAGAAATTTGCTATGACTTTTTTATTTATTTGATGGCTTTAGTTCTTATCTGTTTGTTTCTGCTGTGTTTGTTCCTATTGCTTTCCCAATCACACAGAAATTCAAACCCTAATTTTTATAAGTAAGTTCTTCAGGAGAAATTTGGACCAAACTCTTGAAGCCTATTTTAGGTGGGAGGCTATGGGGAATTCCGAATGTAAAAGTAGCCAAGATAGGTACGGAAAGAAAGAGCAAAGATAGTGTTTATATGCCATTAATTCCTAAAATCCCCAAATGTCATATTTTTATATTATTTTGAAACGTTTTCTCTTGTGCTGTAATTATGTAATGCTGAATCCAGTTTCAGTACTCGAGTTATAGAAAAACTACAATTGTTCTCCAATAGCAGTACATATAAAAAGTTTCTCTTTTCAATTTAAGTGACGGATCATCCAGTACACTGAATGTTTACTTTGAATGCAAGAGTAAACTACGTTCATAATGTTTCAATTATTTCACGTCGTCTACGTACACGGAGATATATCAACATTGTCCCCATCTCACGAGTATGCTATTCCCATATGAGGTATATTTTCATTTTTCACTTACGTGACTGTGATGTTATGTGAAGTTTCATCGACGCTCAACTAAAATTTAACTGTAAAGTGAAAACTATGTCAATTCTCCGCGCGATGCCATGCATGGGACGGCATATCATTGAATGGTATATACGGAAGATGATAAAACATTTATTCAAGTTTTTACGTTTTAAAAGTATTATAAAATTGGACCGGTTCCTTGTCAACATGCCATTAATCTCTCAATTCCCTCAATGTGCTGCAACATTCTTGCCACATGTCTGATCATTGTCCATGTATTTGCAGTTCCTCTCCCATCAGTGGGTACCCGCCCCTTCATGTTCTTCAACTATCACACTACGCTTATAGTTTTCCTTTAATTTTATTTATAAATTTTTAAATTTAATTAAGTAAACTAATAACAATGATAAATTATGTAACTTTGATGTATAATTGATTTAGAGAATAATTTTCTTGCTAAAATTTTGATGTTTTGTTCTGTTTTCGATATGATTTCTACAGTTTTTTTTTCTTTAAAATTTATGTGTTTAAATATTTAGTTTTTTTTATCAAATGTCTTATTGATTTTGTGTACCTATACATATATAATCCATGATTCATGTTGATTCATATTTAGTTTTGTTAGGAAACTGTAATGATCGTGCAAATCAGTTTCTTTCTTCTCCATCAGGTCTTTAATGAGTTTTAACTATTATTGACATCTTTTTTTTTGCAGTGTAATACTTGATAATTTTAGTTTTGAAACTTGTAGGATTTTTGTGGTGTAGAATCTTTACATTATCTTTCACTGTTTTTATATTTTGTGTGCTTTTTGAATGTTTTAATTTAAATATTTTATCTACATATGTCAATTTGTATTTGATTTATAACTCCGTTATAATTTATTAGTTAAATATAATTTTAGAATTTGTTATTAGTGTTGGTTCAGATATAAATAGTAGCTATGTATAGAAATCATGTTTTACTACTTGTTAAATTTTGAGTATAAAATTATTTATGTAGTGTTTTTTTTGTTAGTAAAATTACTTATAAAAATCAGATTTTAGTACTTGTTAAATCAGAAACATATAGTGTTTTAATCTTTGTATATTTACAAAATATATTTACTTTAAAAACTCAAATAAACATATCGCAACTTTAGATAGTTATTTATTGTCGATACCACTATTTCAGAAAGTAAGAATTTTATGAAACTAATTTTCAATTAATTTTGTTTAATTTTTTATATATACTTTACATCTTTCAAGAGTAATTTTATATTTTATTATAATTTACACATTTTTATGTATGTTTGATATACTTAAGACTTATATTTTTTATTAAGCTATTTTGTTGTTGATTTTCAAAATATGTAGCATAAAAAAGTTATTTTTTTCACACAAATGCTTTTTCTTTGTTAATTTTTTTTCATATTAACTTTTATTTTAGTTGTAATACTGATTTGAAATGCTATAACTGTTTATTTAAAATTTTGTGTGGACTTCTCTCAAAAACTTATAGCATCCTTTTTAAGTTAATTTTTTTTTATGTTGATTTTTAAAAACATTAGCCTAAATATTATGTTAGTTTTCTTTTATATGAATTTTTCTTTTGTTAATTTACCTCTTTTGAAATTGATTCTTATCTTATTTTGAAAATTTTTTTTACGAAAATATTGAAATTTTACATACATCATTTTCTTTTTTTTTTTCTGTTAATAAGAATTTTATATTATTTTTTAAACAATTAGTGTAAATATCAAGTCAATTTCTATTTAGATGATTTTAAAGATTTTTTTAATTCTATGATATTAATTTTTGTTTTTATTATATAAAAATTTGTAAAACATAATTAAATATTCATTTTTTTGTTTATTTTTATATTAATTTCTTAAATAGTTAGCTTAAAGCTTCATCTTTTTTTGTTAGTTATTTTTTTTTACTTTTATGAGTTTAAAATTTAGAAATTTTTTATTGATTTATTTTTTTATATTGAATTTTTTTATTAATTTAACTTTTTAGTTATTGATTTTCATATTTGTTATATTTTTTTAATTTAAGTTTTATGATATTGAGTTTCTATTTTATTTTGATATACGTTATAAATTTAGATTTTTTTACGTATCCGTTTTGTTAATTAAACTGTTTTGAACTTAATTTTCCACTCTAATATTATAGTTTTTCGTTTTTTGTATTGAAAATTTTGTAAACTTTTTATTAATTTAATATTTTAGTATTCATTTTTTTGTTAATTTAAGTTTTTAGTTATTGATTTCTATATTGATTTTTTGTTTGTTAATTTAATGTTTGTGACATTGAATTTTTATTTTATTTTGATAAACGTTATAAATTTGGATTTTTTTTATAACTTCTTTTAATATATTTTGTTAATTAAACTGATTTATCTTAGTTTTCTGTTTTAATATAATAGTTTTTTGTTTTTCTATAGATTTTAATTTATTTAAATTGCTAATTAAATTTAATTATTTGTGTTTCAATGAAAAACATTAATGTAGGCTTCTTCGCTCATGTGGACATGTTTTAAGTTTTATATAATACTAGGTGATCGGCCTGCACCGTGTGCAGACTATAAAAGATCTAATATGTTTAATTATTATTAGTATAGTAGTAAAAATATTTCATTTATATATAATTAATTATGTATTAATAATAAAAAATGAAAAAATAAATATAATTGAAGATTTCAAAAGAAATTGAAGACAAAAAGTATTAACTAAAATTTTAACATATTTTCTTAGATCAAAAAATGTAAATATGATAACTAAATAAATAAGAAAACATGAAAATCTATAATTATTTGTTTAGTTCTTATTTCTGGCTCGCACACATGTGCATGTATAATTTTTTAGACATAATTAGTTGTAATATTTAAGTATTAATTAATTTTCTTATACTTTATGTAAACGTTATGTTTATATACATATACATTTTTAGTGTTAACCAAGAATCACACAAATGTTTCTTATCTCTTTGTGTCTTTGGAAATTTTTTATTTTTTCTAGCGTTTATATTAACAAATAATTACAAATTTAAAAGTTATATTAAATAATAATTAAATTTTTATAATATGTTTTGAATACTATCTATACTATACTTTCTTTTTCTCCTTACACAATATACTCTTGTATTTTTTTCCTTGACCTCTTGCTAATTAAACCAAAATGAATTTTACCATATTTACTTATCCTAAGAGCAGGTAAATGGTTGGTCCGCACATTCGTGCAAACCAACCACCTCACCCCTCTTAGGACATATAAATATTTAAAAAAAACAAATTGTCTAACAACTAAAATTATAATTAGAGTGGAATCGAGTTTAAAAAAATGTATGCACAACCAATTGGCATGCAAGTTTGACTTTTACACAATTAATATTTATATATACACGCACATTTGTAAAAAAATCGAACTATAGCTTTTATGTGTTAAAAGAAAATAACAAAATATATGTTTTGTAATACATATTTTTATAACGTATGGCTGATTTTTTTTAAATAACAAGTATATTTATGCATTTAGGTATGAGGTAGAAATAAGTGAATTGTAATATTTAGGTGTTGGTAAGTTTTTTTTGATATTTTCCGCAAATGTTATGTTTTTATGCTATGCAGTTATTGGCGTTTAACAACAATCACAAAAACTGTTTCTATCGTTTTGTATTTAATCAAAATTTCTTACTTTTCAGCGTTTTAAGATATATGGTTTCTCAATAAAAATATATTAAATATTTATTATAAAATTTATGAAATTATATTTTGTAGAATTCTCTGGTAACTCTCCGCTCATTCTTCGTCAAAATTTTTAATAATCCGCAATCGCTCACCTTCACAAACTCTATGTAACATAATCGTTTTAGTCAATCAGATCTTAACTTATTTATGTATGATTTAAGGTGTAAAATAATATATTTAATATTTGATTGTTATATTAAAAATTAAGAGTTGATATGTTCCTAACTTTAATATATTTGTTAATACAAAATATAATGGATCACAACATATACAAAAAGTTTTATTCATGAAATAATGTTTTAATATGTTGGAAAAAAATATATGCATAAAATAGTTAATATGTGTAAGATAGTATTTTTATTCATTTAAAATAAAAACATAAAATCGATCAAAACTATTCTTATTTTTTCTTCTCTTCTTTGACTCATATTTTTTTTTAACATTTAATAATATATTTAACATTAAGATCATATCAAATGTATTTTTTTATTTTTTTCTCTAAAATATAAGTGGACTTCTCTCCAACTTATTTCTATTTTACAGAAAAAAAGAAAGATTATTATTTTTCCTCTATAGTTAAAAAAGTAACAACCTTTTTTTTTTCTAAATTAGAACATTTAAAATAAAAATGAGTTGGAGATGCTTTAAATCAAAAATATAACATGAGATTTGTATATAAAACCAAAGTCGTAATTATTCATTTTTACTTTTACTTCTACTTTTTATTCATATATACAATATTATAAAAAAAAAATTGGCTAAGGGGATATTTATAATTTATTTTTCTCTTTGTTTATTTTTTTGTTTCATTTGTAATTTCGAATTCTTGCTATATAATGAAAATTCATTCACATATGATATAATTTTTTTTTCTTATTTAAAAATGAGATTTATTTAGTTTTGACTTAACCAATTAAAACATTTCGTTTATTTTAAAAAATTTGCCATGTCACATTTATGACATGATATTGTTTTACACTAATTTTTCTTTAGATTTTGACACATATGATTTTTTTAGTAAACATGCTTCTCAAATAATAGTTAGGATATAGATTTATGGTGTTAAGAGTGTGGAAAAGTCCTCTCATCTCTATTGAGACAACTAAAGAGTGTGTGGAAATGTCCACGTCACAGATTTAGAATCAATATGGTGGATACTCACGAAAGACTTCGAAGTCGTTTTGATATTCCCGTATGAGATTTTTTCTTCATTCTTTATTTACAGGATTGTGAATTTGTGATGTTATGTGAAGTTTCATGGACGTTTAACTAAAAGTTAACTGTAAAGAGTAAACTATATCATATTGCTGCAATGGAGATCGCATGCTGCAATAAAATATGGAAGCATCATCAGATTGTGCACCCTTTGTGCCAATGCGACAGAATCTCGCAATCATTTGTTCTTTTTGTGTGATTACATAAACCAAATTTGGGAATCTCTCACTCAGGGACTGCTTCAGCAACGGTATATCTCTGACTTGGGGACCAATTTGTTCAGCTTCTTTCGGACTTCATATCGCCTATCACAATAAAACATGGTGAACCTCAATCTCCACCTCAGCTACTAATCCATCTTATTGATAAGGCACCTTGGTATCGAATCTCATCAATCAAACGACTGGATGTAAGATATGAAGAAACTCTTGTTCAGTGGTTCCAAATCCGTGGCTAAATCTCTTTAGTTAAATCTGGCTTTGTTTCTAAAAAGTAGCACAAGTTGTAAAAAGGATGTTTTTTTAGTTGAATAAAATTTAACATTCTCTTCAAAAAAAAAAAAAAGTGTAAACTTTGTCAATGATCCGTGCTCTTGCATGCTATTTTTTTAAAACATCTCTCGAGATATATTAAAGATGGAAAGATCGATTACAAACCTTTTAAACAAAAACCTAAAAGGCCACATGAGTGGATGGGTACAGGCTAATATGACCAGCCTTCTGTAGTATACAAGAAATTATCTAGTGGAAAAAATATTGTTCTCCGACAACAGTACATTGTATCAACCAACTTTACTTTGAATGCAAGAGTAAACGTGTCTTCTACGTTCATAAAGTTACAATTATCTCAATGTACAAAACCTAAATATATCAACATTGTCCCATATCTCAAGCATACAATATATATCTAGTGTCTTTCTACATGTAAAATGTAAGACACAAATGTACTGATATTAAAAGATCACCTCCCGCCGGAGACTATAGAATCAACAATCGAAGATCCATTGGTAGACATGCCTAACTCACTAAGTCCGTGGTTGATTCTTGACAGGCCTAACTCACAAAAGTCCAATGGCGACAAATCTGGTAGCACTGTATCTCCCCTGAGAAAATGTAGCACTTGTCTCATAGTTGGTCTAACATGAGGGTTGGAGTGAGAACACAGCAAACCTAGCTTCAAAACCATTTCGACCTCACTTTGGTCATACTCTGTTCCAAGATTCGGATCCCTAGCATCCAAGATGTTACCCTCGTTCCATAACTCAAAAACCCAATCTTTGAGCAAGACACCAGTCTCGTTCTGAATCTGGATAGGACGCCTACCGCACGCTACTTCTAGTAGGAGCACCCCGAACGCTACTTCTAGTAGGAGCACCCCGAACGCAAAAACATCGGTTGCGGTCGTGGCTTTTCCTGTCCTGATGTGATCGGGAGATAGGTATCCAAATGTTCCAGCTACGCGCGTGGTGTGAGGATCCGTACCATGACCGCACAGCCGAGCTAAACCAAAATCACCAAGTCTCCCATTGTGCTCCGCGTCTAACAAGACGTTGCTGGCTTTGACGTCACGATGAATCACCACTTGTTCCCATTCCTCGTGGAGGTAGAATAAGGCAGATGCCACACCTTTGATGACTTTAATCCTCTGTTTCCAGTCGAGGGTTTCCTCCGGACTATTATACAAATACTTGTCTAAGCTTCCATTGGGCATGTAATCATACACCAGAAGAAGCTCGTCTTTTCGGCGGCAATAGCCTACAAGAGGAACCAAGTTCCGGTAACTCATCCGACCGATACTCACGATCTCAGACACGAACTCTTTCAACCCTTGCCGGGATTTGTTCGAGACTCTTTTCACGGCGATCTCTTTCTTCGTCTTGGGCATGACACCTCTGTAAACGCTTCCAAACCCTCCCGAGCCGAGAACCTCCTTCTCCTTGAACCCTTCGGTGGCAAAGTATAAGTCCTTGAACTTCAGCCAGTTCTTCCCGCACTCTGTTTCCCAATCTTCGAGCTCCTCCGCGAACTTTCTCCTCCTCCTCAAGATTGAGCGCACAAGTACGATGAGCGAGGAAATGAACAAGAAGGGAACAAAAAATATGGAAGCCGTCGGCATCCAATTCTTGTAAAAGATGTCGATTTTCTTGGGCTCCCATTTCGGAAGTTTTGGAAGTTTGGATAATGCCAAAGGCGGAGCTTCCCCCTTCACCCGGAAACTCCACCCAAGAACAAAATGTTCCGACACATAAGAACCAGTCGCAGACGAGAAACCTACAAACATATCTTGCAAAAGAACCGGAGATAGATCTCTGACAATAGACACAAGCGGTTTTCTAGGTTTATCCTTTGTGAAGGGAGCCATCGTTACATCGATTTGATGCGTACGCCCATCGTAATCAACCCAAACCTGTATCCGCTTACGACTGATCAGAGTCAGATTCTTGAATTGGCCTTTCTTGTCCCACCACCCAGCCGGTGAGCTTTTCTCCGATTCCAAGCTATTGATATCGATTCCGACATGGTTATCGTCAAAATCATTGAACTCTGTATTCCGGATCGTATCCAGTTCGACTGCGAACACATGATTTGTGTTATTACCGTTGTTTGCGATGTTGAAGAGACCTATGTATTGGCTTGCCAGTGCGTAAGGGAGACTTGCGTTAGGAGCGATGACGAAGGCGATGCCGTGGCCACTAAGTATCGGGATCTGAGAGTGAATAGCGAAAACAAATGTTGTGGAGAAGGAAGAAACGGTGCCGTTTGGAGAATCTTTGAACCGGATTGGTTTGGTATAGAAGGCGTGACCGGATTTCATACGAGTTGAGTTGGTTAGCATCAAGAGACCGTTGGGTGTGACGGTGGTGATCCCTTGGATGGATATGTTAGTCAGTGGAGGACGGAAGCCATTGTAAGTGAAGTTGAGAATTTGGGAAAAGGATTTTGGGAATTGAGAGAGTAGGCTGAAGAAGAAGACGATGGTGAGGAGCTTCACCAACATGGCTCTCTACTTTTCTCTCTGTTACCTCCGTATTTTTCTCTGAAAAAACGTTTGGCTTTGGTTTAGAGAGTTTGTGAGAAACTAAGACAATTTATGGTGTGGAGAGTGTCGAAAATTCGTAGTTTTTTCCGTCGACGGAAAAGTCGTCACCATAACTTATCGTCCATAAGTCTAACCCGATTTAGAATCCACGAAATAAACAGAAGACTTGGGGTGCTTGACCTCCTCGTTTCACTGTCACGGAGGGTAGTGATAGGAGGTGTAATCAACGATATATTTTGGGTGACTAAATTAGTCTAAAGTATTAAGCGCTTAAACATTTTTAGCAATCTTAAGTAAAAAAAGAATGTTAGCTAGTACATTACATACAAACCTGGAAAGTTTCTCCACCAAGACCTCTTGTCTTGGTATCTGCAAACAAATCCGAAAGAATGTCTAAAAAAACATCATCAGGGCCGATGAGCTTAATCGCATTTGAATTGGACCGGAAAAGCTTTCCCAGCATCCGGAAGTCCGACTCGGCTTTACTTGGATAATGTTGTGTTTTATCTCATGGAATCAACAGTTTTGTAGTCATGTTGTCTTCTGCGCCGGCACCTGAACTGATGTTTACTCTCTGAGAATTTCGTATCACCAGACACCTCCATTGTTGAATCTGTATCTGCTCCAAATCCAAAACCAATCACCAATCACCAAGCAGATACAAATACATTTCGAACAACCACCTAACATGATAAAAACCCAATTCCAGAAAGTAGCTTATTTTGTAGTCCACTAAAGGGCTTTGCAAGGTCTGTGTTTTGGCTCGAAATAGAATCATGTTCCACCATTTCTATCATTCTCTAACCCAAATTTGACAACTTTCTCACTTTTCCTATGTTTTACAGAGACAGAACCATAGAGAAACAGAGCAGATCAGAGTCAATGATCAGAAGAAGTGGCAAATGACACCAAAATAATTTCCATTTTTGGTATTAAAGACACTACTCTAGTTTTTCAAAACTTCATAACATTTGGAGAAGATTCATATTTGATACTTTCAGAGTCTAAGAGACTGAGCTTACCTCCCCAAAACAATGGCTTCACATCTTCTTCTTCATCGTCGAACTCGTCACCATAACCAAACTCGGCATCCCCTCTATACCCAGGCTCACTCCCATACCCAGATTCATTCCCCATCGGGTCGATTCCAACGGCGAATCCGAATCCGGAGGCTTCCTTCTCTCCGCCGGAATCCCGCCGCTCTCTCCGCGAATTCCGCGCCTCGCTCACATCGGAGGCCCAATTCGCTTCGCTAAACAGCTCCCCACTCGAATCTGTACCGACGGCGAACGGAAAATCCGAGCAGGTCCCGTGAGCTCCGATAGAGCAGCATCTCCGAGTCCCGCTGCGATCACTACTCCGACCAGACACCGATCTCGAATTGCGACGCCGCCGCTTCCTCGCCACTAGCCGGAAACTTCCTTTACTGTTATTGTAATTCGAAGCCGATGATAACTTGCCTCCATTGTTGTTGTCTTCGTCGGCGAGAGAGAGACGGCCCATAGCTTCGATGGAGAAGGAAGTGGAGCGATCGGAGAAGCAAGGGCGTTTCGTCGAAATGGAGCCGTAAGGTTTCTGCGACTGGTCAGATGAGTCAAGGGTCTTGGAGCGGTGAAATGGACGCCATGAGAGGAGCTGTAACGTGCACGATTCAATTGAGCTCCTTCGTGATGGTTCCAGATGTTTCGGAGACATTGTTAAAAGCTGAGAACTTTCCAGATCGCAGAAAGTGAAAAAAAAAAAAAACCTTCCAAAACCTCTGGGCAGTCTGATTTTAGGAATGGATCGGTGTTACAGACAAGCGAGAAGCGAATTTGGAGTCGCTCTTTTGGGTTTAAGAGCTTTGATTTGCTTTTGTGATTGAGCAAACGAGAAGCCACAGCAAACTCGGCAGACTATGGTTTTTTTTTATCACATTAATGATCAGGTTATAGAATATACTTTCTAAATCCACGACGTTACAATAATAAAATATTTCAATGGGTTTTCTAATAATCACATGCATTATTGTACAGTATATACTACATTTTTGTAAACGAAAACACATTAGTGTATATCCCACAAATGCGAATCTGTTTTCAAATACATCATATTTTATTTTAAAGTGATTAAAAAATTTGCTAACAAAAATAAAAAAAAAGTCATAGCTTTTTTTGTTTTGTTTGGGTCAACAACTAAAAGTAGTTAATTGCTTTCTATGAAAAAAAAAAAATGCTTTCTATAATGGATGATGCACCACTGGAAGAAGAAAGAAACCATCCACTTGATCATTTCAGTCTACAATCAGTGAAATATGAAAATTTCAAATTTTTAAAATCTACATTATAAATTTAAATAATTATAATATTCTGTTACATATTCTGCCATTGTGTTGTCTACGATATTACCAAACAGGTTAGTCAAATGGCTTAACCACACACAAAAAAAACTGGTTAGTCAAATGTATTAACTCTGTGACAACTATAGTACCAAACAGGTTAGTCAAATGGCTTAACCAAAAAAAAAAAAACAGGTTAGTCAAATGTATTAACACTGTTTAGACTCTAGATGCAATGTATTTTAACTTTAACCGGTTGTAAGATTAAATAAAATGTCACGTGAGTGACGTGATGCTCCCTGCTATTAACATCTCGCTAATTCGAAAACCCTAAGCCAGTTCTCTCTACTTTCGAGAGCTTTTTCGCACAACCCAGATCTCAATTTTCCATTCAGGTGAATCTTACGCCTCTCTTCTTCTTCTTCCGTTCCATCGGAATTTTCTTTTAGGTGAACGGAATCATTACCGGATTTTAATTCAGATGTAGACGATTAATCAAATCTCGTTAGTTCTAGGGGTTTTATTTTTCTTCTCTCGTTTTCTTAGGCTAAGCGAGTTTTTGTGCGAACGCTTCTTCGTTTCAATTATTGACGTTTTTGAATCGCGCTTTTGATTTTGTTAAAGGAAAAAAAATGAGCAGCCGTTCGAGTAGAACCATTTACGTCGGGAACCTTCCCGGCGATATCCGCGAGAGAGAAGTTGAAGATTTGTTCAGTAAGGTAAATTACCTCTTTCTGCTAATTCTTCGATTGGCTTTCACATAGCGGCCACTTGTAATTGGGTTTTTCTTTGATCAATGTTCTTATTTTCACCTCTTTTTATTCAGCGGTTTACTGTGTGTGTCTTGAATGTTGGATTGAATGCATCAATTGTTGGAAATTTTATTGCATGTGTTGGATTGTTATTGTTTCAAGGAAATTAACATACGAATTGTTCTTCCCTGTTTTTGTTTTTTTTTTTGTTTTTGTAGTATGGACCTGTTGCTCAAATTGATTTGAAGATTCCACCAAGGCCTCCAGGCTATGCATTCGTTGAGGTCAGCTTATGATGCAATCGCATGTTTTATGTGGGCTAGTTGTTGATTTTACATGTAGTCTCACTTTTTGTGAGATACATTGAACGATTTATATAATCTGATAATTGTAATTTATAAATGCTTTTAGTTTGAGGATCCTCGGGATGCTGAAGATGCAATTCATGGTCGTGATGGATATGATTTTGATGGGCACCGTTTACGGGTTTGTTAATTTAATCATCAGATTTCAGAACTTTAACACAAACTTTGTTCTTTTAATCGTTGTGATTTGACTGGTTGGCAAATATATATGTTACACGTTGGCCATTGCAGGTGGAACTAGCTCATGGTGGGAGGCGTTCATCAAATGATGCTCGTAGTAGTTACGGTGGTGGTGGTGGCCGTGGCGGTCGTGATGACGGTGGTGGTCGTGGGCGTGGACCATCCAGGAGATCCGAGTATCGCGGTAAGTATGATATGTTTAGGACTAGTCACTAGTGTATTCAAAGGTTTCGGAGAGATATCTAAATTCATATTCTCTCTCTCTATACAGTTGTAGTCTCAGGTTTACCTTCATCTGCTTCGTGGCAAGACCTCAAGGTGACTACACAGTTGTGGACAGATTCCTTATTGTCGTTCCTGTATTTTCGAAGATTTCTGAATCTTGACATAATAACTTTTTTGTTTTCTTCTGTTAGGATCACATGCGTAAAGGAGGAGAAGTCTGTTTCTCTCAAGTGTTCCGTGATGGTAGAGGTAAGTTTTCTTCGAGTTTGTGTCTAATCCTGTTTTAAGGTGACTGTGGCCTCCATTGAAATTCTATATCTTGGGACTATTTATACGCAGGTACTACTGGAATCGTAGATTATACCAGCTATGAGGATATGAAGTATGCGGTAAGATGTTCTTCTTGTATCCATCCTTTGATTATTTGTGTAGGTGAGTCGTTGTTTATCCTTGATTACTCATGCGTATATTCTTAATTTTCTACAGGTAAAAAAGCTCGACGACACAGAGTTTCGGAATGCGTTTTCTCGTGGATATGTCCGGGTATGCTAAAGCCAAGTATTCTGAAAACTGCATTTTGTTTTTGTTTTTTTGCACTAAACATTTCACCATATCTTTGTAGGTTAGGGAATATGATTCAAGGAGGGACTCGAGGAGCCCTAGCCGTGGAAGATCCTATTCTAGGAGCCGAAGCCGTAGTCGCAGCCGTGGGCGGAGCCACAGCCGAAGCCGAAGCCGTAGCCGGAGCAGGAGCAGAAGCAGGAGCAAGAGTCCAAAGGCTAAATCTTCACGTAGATCGCCTGCAAAATCTACGTCGAGATCTCCTCGCTCCCGCTCCCGCTCTAAGTCAAGGTCACCATCTCCGCGAGGGTATGTTTCCTTTCTTCTTTTTATGTGTCTGCCTAAATTCACCAGATAACATCTAAACATAGCATAGGGTTTATCTCTTCCCCTGAAGTCTGTTGGCATTTCATTAAAGGATGTTATTGAGAGTTGTTCATTGAGAATGATGATTGCTTCTAGTTAAGACTACTAATTATTACCTTCCGAAAGTCTGAGACTGGTTCTGTTTCCTGGATATGGATATACATACAATCAACTAAAAATTGGGAATTAGTATCTGAATCATGAATTTCTTGGTTGGTTGTACACAGTTTCGTCAGAGGTATATGCTCTTTCTCTGATGGGCAACATTTCGAAATTGAAACTTTCTTGTCCCCTTCCTTATTTTCTGATATAATATCCGTTGCTGCTTGATGGGTAACAGTGGAGAGACATTGGATCGCATTGATATAGTGTCATCGATTTGGATCCAACAATGAGCTAGGAAAAGATATTTTCATTACCTGCAATTCGTCAAGCGTTCTGGATTCTCATGGAACGGATGCTGTTCTCTGGATTCTCACAGGGTTTGATAGGATTAGGCATTCATCTCTGCCCTCTCTGGTTTTAACTTAGAAGCAGCCTTTGTGTCGTAGTTGATGTTCTGCTAGAAATCATCTAAAGTTTGTCTTTCTTTTTGCTTTCTTTTCATAACATTTTGCATATCTGACATGGAATGAGGCATCAAGGCTGCTCTTGGTGAAAGAGCTATTATACACGGAATCATATTGGAATATTAAAACTGGATTTGTTTCTCGGACTTTTGCAGATCTCGTTCAAGGTCAAGATCTCCTCTGCCTTCTGTAAGTGATTAAGATCTAGATACTCTTTCTATTTTATAAAAACAATACTTTTAGGTTTTTGAGCCATACTATCCAAAAGACAAGATCTATGTACTATACTCATCGTCATGTTTTGAATGTTGCAGGTTAAGAAGGAAGCAAGCAAGAGCCCTAGCAAGCTGAGTCCAGCCAAGAGCCCTATGCGTAGCAGGAGCAAGAGCAGAAGCAGGAGTCCATCTCGGTAAATGCAACATTCTCTTTTACTTGTTTGGAACATTCTGGTTCCCTGTCAGAATCTCTGACCAACTGTTTGTTTACAGGTAATAATTAAATCTCATATCAGGTAAAAAAGCTGGGTTTTGTTGGAAGATTCTCCTAAAGATCATATCGATATTATGTTGTTTCTGTGACTAGAACCAGAACAAGTTGTATTTTCTGGGTACTTTCAAAGATCTCTTTACTTTTGTTTTTTTAATATATTCACCGCAACATTATGTGTTCAAGATTCTCTAAAAAGATATCGTTTCTATTGCCTTGTGGTGCTCATTATTGAATGCCTGATTCACCTAAAAGGAATGGATTAAATCATTCCGGTTTACTCGAACCAGATCAGTCCATAACGGTATAATAATTTAGAATTGTACAGTGGCTGGTTAACAATATATATAATGTCCATAAATCTAAGTGAGGAGAAAAGATTGGATAAGAAAGGGCCGCCATTAATATCAGAGGTTGAGAGTGAGAAAGAGAGAGAGAGAATTATCCATGGCGGAATCTGGATTCTCTTTCGTACCAGAAGACGTTGTCTTCAACATCTTCTTCAAGCTCCAAGACGATCCGAGAAACTGGGCTCGTCTCGCATGCGTCTGCACCAAGTTCTCCTCGATTGTACGAAACGTTTGCTGTAAAACACAGTGCTACTCCGCGATACCCACCGTCATCTCGGATCTCCTCCCTTCACCCTCCGCCGCTTCGGCTTCCGCTTCTTCATCTTCAGCCTCCGCGGATTCGTCTCTTCCTCCTCCCGGCGGTTGGGCTTCTCTCTATAAACTCGCCGTTTGCTGTCCTGGCCTCCTCCACGCCGGAATTCTCCTGGAAAACTCCGATTTCGGTCTAGAACGTGAGCTCGGCCCCGATCAAAGCCTCGATAGACTCGATCCGAAACCTATACCGACGGATCCAGCTCGCGACGACGGTGAAGTTTCGAATCCAATCGGATCTACTTTAGAGACGTCTTCGTTTTGGTCTCTCTATGACGACCTCTACACCGATACTCTTTCCGCTCCTCCCGAAGAATCCGTCGAGGAACAGGACGAAATCGAAACGAGCGAGATCAGACCTGGACGGGATCTCCCGGCAAGGAAACGGCGGAAGATTTGCCGATCCCTAGGGTCTCATCTGGCTTCCGGCGCCTGGAATCTCAGCAGAGAACAAGGCAACAAGCTCCTCGCGAGCAGATTTCGCGGTGATTGTCTGTACATATGCAATTGGCCTGGATGCATCCACGTCGAAGAGAAGCGGAACTACATGTTGTTCAGAGGCGTTTTCAAGGATTTCAAAAGGTCTCGAGTGTGGAGAACGATTAACGACGGTGGTAATCGGAGTAAGGTTTCGGGGTTGAAATGCGCCTTCTGTGTGTGCGACGAGACTTGGGATCTGCATTCGTCGTTTTGCTTGAGAAGAGTCTTTGGGTTTCACGATGATGGTGAACCAGTCGTGAGAGCTTATGTCTGTGAGAATGGTCATGTCTCTGGTGCTTGGACTGCTTTACCTCTCTACACTTGAGATGAGATATCAAAGGGCTTTGATTCTTCTTGCTTCTTCTTCTTCTCCTACGCTCTTTCTTTCTTGAAAAAATCTGAATCTTTTACCAAATTGCTGGATTGTTTGACGTTTGAGGAGCTGCCCACTTGGCGAAATTAATGTTGTATCTTAGTTTAAACTATATCTTGAAGAAATTAATGTAATGGTATCCCATATGAAATGATATTCAGATTTATATTTATCCATTCTTACTTCATAGTAGATGGGATTTGGTTGAGTTTATGATTGAGCACACTATCTTGTTCTCTTTAGTATAATCATCCTTGGACAACTGTGTTTAAACATGTTTTGTGATGGAGGTACCGAAGATTGATGCCATAATGAAACCAAATTGTTAACATTGTTTGACAATATATGAATGCTCTCAGTAGGCCATATATGTCAGTATATGTTTGTGGATCGAGAGGTTAGCCGATTGACAAATATTTCGAGCTATATTTGTGGGCCTGTATTAAGCCCGCTTTGCTAGTATATGACCCTGTAAAAGCCCGCTTTGTTATTTTGTGGGCCTGTAAAAGCCCGCTTTGCTTTTTTTGTTGGCCCGCTTTGCTATTTTGTTGGCCCATTTTGCTATTATATGGGCCTGTCAAAGCCCGCTTTGTTATTTGTGGGCCAATATAAGCCTGCTTTGCTATTTGTGGGCCTATCTAAGCCCGCTATGCAATATAGTGGGCCATAAGCGCGTTTTGCTATATTGTGGGCCTGGATAAGCCCGCTTTGCTATTTGTGGGCGTATATAAGCCCTCCACGCTATATTGTGGGCCAGTATAAGCCCGTTTTGCTATATGGTGGGCATGTTAAGGCCCGCTTTGCTATTTAGTGGGCCCGTCATAGCCCGCTTTGTTATTTTATGGGCCTGGATAAGCCCGTCAGAGTGAATTTTTTATGGTCAAACATAAAACTCTCAAACTATAAAAGAAGACTGGTGGATTGGCACAGCAATAGACATAGAAATAGGTTTCCTCAGGTCAGGAACTCTATGTCAATGCAAAAAATTGCAAGTCCAAGAACACTTAGAACCCATGCAACTACAACAAATGCAGATACTTAAACCGAAAACAAATCCTTAAAAGCAAAACAGAGTAACACCATTCAAAAGAGAAGGAAGTAAAAAGGGGTTTCATAAACATGAAAGCTAAATAATATCATATTGTTTCATCTCTAGAAAAGAGCCTTTCACTTGTCTTCCTTGACAGATGTTGTTTGTTCTACCGGCTTGGCTTCATCATCCTTAACGGCTTCATCTTTCTTGTCTCCAGATTTTGCGGTTTCTTCTGCAATTATTAAAAAAACATTTCATTACGTCTGAGCAAATGTTTCAGAAGACTACCTAACATCTTAATCAATCAATAACGAAACAGAGAAACTCAAAGTCTGAACAAATGTTTCAGAAGACTACCTAACATCTCAAATGCAATGAGATATCTGAATAGCAAAGTCATCTAACTCGGCAAAATGCTCTCAGATCATCAAAGAAGATGCGACTAAACATAAACTAGAAAAAATCTCTATGACCCTTACCTTCATCATCGCTGTCTTCAAACTCTTCTACTCCCGGTCCACCCATACCACCCATCATACCATCCATACCACCCATACCGCCCATGCCGCCCATCATACCACCCATGCCACCCATCATACCTTCAAGTCCGCCCATTCCACCCATACCGCCCATACCACCCATTCCACCCATACCACCCATTCCACCCATACCACCCAAGCTCTGCAAGAAGCAAGAATCGACCATGAAGTCATATGTCAAAGCTAGAATTACATATATATATATATATATATATATATATATATCAAGCAGAAGATAAACAACATTCACAAAAGCTAGAAACAAACCGAGAAATCCATTCCACCCATTCCTCCCATATCCATTTCTCCAGCACCTAAATCAAAACAAAAACACTCACAAGTTAACACCTCCAAAAACCATAGATAAAGAGCAGGGAGTGTACATAAGACTAGATATATAAGCTTCAAGATGAATATGCTAACCAGCGCTGCCTTCGTCATCCTCATCTACCCACTTGTCCCAATCCACCTTGACATAGTGTGGCGCCTTCCCTCCACGGATTAGCTTGTTCCACCTTTCCGGCTCTGCTTTCTCTATTATGCAGATTATGCTTCTTGCTCCAATGTTGATTTTGCTTTCCTGAAATAGACAAAAAAGGTTCAAGATCAAGAACCATACGGGCAAGAAATGAAACGATGAGAGCAGGTTAGTCTCTACGAATCTCACCTCAACATTGACTTTGTCGTGAAGTTCCAGTTTGAGTTCATAGACGTGGTCTTCTGGACCAGCTTTTGCAGTGAAATCAAAGACTCCTTCTGGGTCTAGATTAACTTTTGCGTCCTTGGAATCTGCCAATACTACGGTGAGGAAAATCTTCTCGGTAGTCTCGGCCCACTTCACTTCGGGATGACGACTGTAAAAACAAATGAAAAGCAATTCACTTTCAAGACCAAAAGCATCATAGCAAATGTAACAAAATGAAACACCAAACGAGTAAGCAACTTTCAATTGCTTCTACACTGTAAACTGAAACTTCATTTATAAACCCTAAACCCTAAATCTAACTGCTCAAATCTTCAGGCTTAAACAAGAGGAGACTGATTCAAACAAATTCATATACAATTGATGGTGACAATGTAAATAGAACTTCCGGACCCAGCACAATAAACCCTAGACTCGAAATAAAAACCCTAATTTTTTTTCCCCATTCTTCAGTAATCCAATTAAAGCGCAGCCTTAAATCCACCGGTAGGAAACCAAGTTTACAAGACAAACCCCAAGAGTAGAGATGAAAAATTGAAGTGAACAAAGCGAAAAAAAAAAAACAACAACACACGAATGAATCCGAGAAGCACGATTTATCCAATGGAAGAGTTAGGCAGAGATCCCAATAAGAAAGAGTGATGAAGAGGATTCTTATTTACCTCATGTTTAGTGGAAGCTTGTAGAAGAACCCTAGAGAAGAGAAAACTCAAACGGTGACGCGAAGATTAGATTTTTACTTGATTTGATCGAGAGAGAAAACCTTCTCTTTAGTTGCTCCACATAGATTGTGTTATAGTACTAGAAGCGATTATCGTCTACGAGCTAATGTACAAGAGTTAGATGGGTCACAAAGAATCAACGGTGACAGATAAAAAGGCTGAGCTTTCTAACGATTCAACGGTTAAGATGAACGGTCTCAAATTAGGGTTGGAGTAGACAAATTTCCCGCAGCAGGTTCCTTTACCCAAAATTTTAGGTCAAAAAACTATTGTTTTCTACATGACAACAAAAACAAAAATCATTTAGCGTATTCAAAAAAAATAATTCAAATTTATTAAGAGAAGAAATTAAATTTACCCTTTTATCGATTCTCTGAATTTCTCATACTTCGAAAATAAAAAGAATTTCTTATACCATTTAATCCTCCAAAATAAGTAGGATTTGTCGACAAGAAAAAAAATAGTATAATAACTGGATTTAATTATTTAAAATTTGACTACACCCAGTACAGACCAAAACAGCAATCAAATCAAACCGTATAAAATCCAATTTCATTTGAATTGATTTGGGGATTTATTCTTCCTTTTTAGAGTTTATGGATATTCTTGTCAAGAAATGGTCTTATTTTATTTATGATTTTTAATTCATACATTGCTCACTGTAGATACATGTAGAATGTGACAACTGACCAAGAAAAATCATATCGCATACGGTTACATTATATATTTACAAACTGTAGCTAAAACCGAGTGTACCTCAAATGTTACTTATAAGGATACTCACATGTAATAAATACGTCAAAAGACTTTTGAGTTCATGTCAACGAGATGGCTGCATCATCATCATTGTCGTCATCAGGTAACGTGAGTAAAGGTGTCAAGTCCACAAGATGACGCATGGTTGGTCGTCCGTGCGGACAATTCCAAGGAGATTCCAGATCCGCCAAGTGTTCTACTATCTGCACAACAACCCAGAGAAACCAAAAAAAAAAAACACCTTTAGATTTCTTGTTTCTTCGTCCACAAAGTAAGACATTCAACATATGCAGAAGAATAGTGACGAGCATTTATTTTACATACCCTTCAAGTTGAATTTGGTATTCCATCATCAGTTTATTAAAGAAGAAGGGGGACATTGTTTATTGGGTTACCTTCTGCATCTCGTTTTTTCTGAGTGGATCTCCGATCATCACAGAGGATCTGCATGCTCTAGATGCTAGCATTGCACGGACTCGAGATGGACAAACCGAATCTGTTTTGCTGTTTTTGTAGCTACTGATAACCGAACATTCCCCGTGGTTATCTCCCAGAGTTGAGATTAGGTCTTTAAGATCTGCACAAAAACGACTTGAGTAAACAAGAACATGCGATTCAGGAAAACACTTGATGCAACAGAAGTAAGGAAATAAAAGGTACCTTCGACCCCGAAGGTAATTTTCTTGCTGTAGGGAACCGCTCTCAGTCTAAAGTGTCGTCCTGGAGGAGCACTCGGATTCTCTTCTAGAAGAAAGCCATTCTCCCTAGAAAGTTAGCTGAACAACATTAAATCTCTAAACCTATGTTGAAAATAAGATTATGTTGCAAGGTTAAAAACGGTGATCCTTCACCTGATTACATCCATGTGCATTAATATTGTAACTTCTTCTTCTGCAGAGAGCTCCAAAGTCAATGGCCTGGCTTTCAGATAAATAAAAGTGAATAAATATGGAACCTCGTGCAAGTGAAAGCATTGAAAGGGAAGCAAGCATCTACATTAAGACCACGAATTTACTCACTGGAGTAAAGGTTGCTGGTTCAGGACAGTTGACCTTGCTAAGTGTTCGAAGTTGAACTTCTCATCGGCAGCGTGCTGTCCATACAAAACCAATCATTAGTCTTGTCCATCTATTCAAAATTCAGACTTAGGAAGAAACTCTGAAAATGATGGCTCAACCAAAAACTAAATATATATAAGGAGAACAAAGGAGCTGAAAGCATGCATTTACGAATACTCACCTGATCCACAATGAACAAATCTCGATCCAATTTTGCAATGATGAACCCAAGATTGAATTGCCCAAGTACCTATCACGCAGAACACACGTATAAAACTTTCTCCACAGACACAAAGATAGAGCAGAGCATGGAAAAACACTAAGAATCGATCTTCAGGTGATGAGATAGGCGAAAGACTAGTTTATAAGATAGCAACCTGCATTCTCCTGAAATCCTCTTTTCGGAAAAGCCTCTCCAGCTCAGAAGTAGCTGCAGCTAAAGCCCTTGCTTTTCGCTCTTCATCATCCGGTTGAGATAACTCTAACGTTGCAGCAGCAAAGCACCTGTAGCTTATCATTTTATTAACCATTGCATTCCTCTGACTGCAGACAGAAAACACAAAAGAAGAAGGAGAGAAAATCTTACTTTTTAGGCCGTGGCGCGTTCGTACATTTAGATACATAACATGTGGACTGTAATCTCGACAGCCTTTCAAGCCTCCTCTTCCTGAGGTTTTCAAAAGTAAACTGTAATGTGGAAAACATTTTTGGACCGGTTGAATGAGCTGGGGAGTCTAGCACTGTGGGAACAGGTCGAACTGGCTGACTGCAACGTGGACTGTCCTCCGAAATCCTTTCCGTATCTCCCTCGTTGCGTTTGTTATCTGATGTTGGTTCTTCAAAACATAATGCTTTTTCGTGCTCCTGTAATTGAAATAATGGTTAAATAACATAAACAATCAGCAACCTACCAAGACATAGATAGATTTTACTACAAAAGCCTACTTACTCTTTCGTGTCTTTCAGTGTAATCAGTAGGGGTTCCAGGAGAAATCCGATTTCCTTGTTCAGAGTCCGTTTCGTTTGGCGTCACATCTTCCTTCGAGACGACCATACCATCAACTTGACCTTCCATCAGACATCTTGCACCCAAAGCGCGAACTTCAAATTTGCTCTTCTCCACTCGATAGCCAGGAGCTTGGTTTCTGAGGACAGGTGTTTCAGAGAGGACGGTGCTTATGTTTTCATGTTTTCTTTTTCCCACCGTAACAAAAGTATTCAAAGTTGACTGGGCAAAGCTAGAGCGATTGCTTGAGTCTTTACTTGCATCATGAACTTTCTCAGTCACATCAAAGTGAAGCAAACCTTTGCTAGCTGTCTTGTTGACATGAGTTACAGATAGGGACTCGTCATGGACTGGTAAAGGACCTTCCCCTTTCTTAGTCCCACGTGCCTTGATGTCCAATTTGAACTTCTCTATTGAAGAACTATTATCGATCTCAGCCTCTTCCTTTTCAACAGCTTCCCCATCGCTGGTTTTAGAACCGACATCCAGAACAATCCCTTTTGACCGGAGATTTGTTTTCTCCCGAAGAGATGAAGCTCCAGCCTTATCTGGATTCTCCTCGAGCCTATTAACGATATAAGACGCATTACTAGAGGAATATATTTCGTTCAGGCCATCCCTCAGAGAACCCATAAGAGAAGACTCGTCAGAGAAGAACACCTTTCTCTTATCAGGCGTGACATTCAAATCACACGCTCCACCAGGCACAACAAAATCTAGAATGGCAACTGGATATTTCCGAGAACTTGTATCTTTATATAACTCATTCACCAGTTTGCTGACTTTCGGCATATCTACAGGCCGACCATTTACAAAGAAATACTGTCGATCTGCCATATTGCGCCCAGTGCCTTGTCCAGGCTTTGAAAGAAACCCTTCGACTCTACAATCATCTGATATACATATACTTACAGGTTGTAGACTTGTAAAAGTGTTCAAGCCAAACACTGTTACAATATTATCTTTAAGAGAACCCCTCCCTTGTGTGTTCAGGACAACACACTTTGGGGTTTTCTCAGTCGTGTTAGAGCAGACAAACCGCACTCCTTTCGCAATAAGTGCATAGGCCTGCACAAAGGGAAATTAACAGGAGGAAAAAACCATTAAAGAAGTCACTGGTCATCACTGAAACAGAGACTGATTTTAGGATAAGAAGCTTAAAACAGTTTCCATAGTATATATACTTCCCAGCATTATAGTAATTTGCGTTCAGCTAGAATCACGCCTATAAAATTTAGTAACCATCCACACTGAAGATAGAAAATAAACCTTTTGAAACACAATGTCATTTCAAGATGGAGCATATATATCAATCTAGTAATAGTACATCAAAGAAGCTTCTATAATAAGGAGAGTGGCCATTGAAGTGCCCATTAAGATGTAAGTATCATGTAACCAAGAAATTTGATCAGTTCTAATCCAAAAAAGGTGTGAATATATATATATCAAAGTAATCAGAAAGAGACTCACGTTCAATAAAGATACAAGCTTGCCATATTCTTTGCGTATGTTGCGTTTAAACTCTTTGCTTCGTACAGGTAAATTAGAGAACAGCTTTCTCACAGTGACAGTGGTGCCGATTTGGCGAGCAGTCTTCTTCTCAGCAGTCAGCAAACCGGAATGATCAAAAGTCAAGAGCGTAGCAACAGCCTCGTTTTTGGTTCTCGTCTCCACCGTGAGATTGCCCAAGGCACAGAGAGAGCTTAGAGCTTCTCCTCTGAAACCAAACGTGGTCAAACTCTGAAGATCTGTGAAATCCTCCAGCTTAGAAGTATGGTGCTTGAGCGCAAGAACCTGAAGCACATAGAGAGAAAGTCGAAAAAGGGCTGAAATTGATGAAAATGGAGCCGTGAATTTTACATACCCAGTGCCAATTTTAACAATTACTACGTATCTGAGTTCAGTCACGGGTTCGTCGGAGGTTACCTTGAAATTAGTTGGGGAAATGCCACAGCCGTTGTCGATGACCTGAAAGTAGTCTTCGCCATAGTCTCGGAGGTTAATCTCTATACTGGTGGCTCCGGCGTCGAGACTGTTCTCGACAAGCTCCTTGATCGCCGACGAGAGGTCCAATATAACTTGTCCGGAGCAGATTCTGTGAACCACGCTCCTGTTGATGGGTCTTATCAACGAAGACGGAGTCGAATCTCCTTGCATATTCCAAACCCTAAAAGAATCGATTTAATCGCCACCGTAGTAACCTGGGAAAGTGAGAAGCTGAGAGAGAGGGAGAGAGTAAAATGCCGCCAAAATCGAAGCTGGGGCATATGTGCAAGCGATGAAGCTTTTAACGTTTGAGATTATAGCCTTTGCACATGCGTTGTCTTTTTCGTCGTATCCATGAGCCCATTGGGCTTATGGCCTTCACGTTTCAGCCCATTTTAACAGCTATACAAGCCGTTAGGGTCACGTAATTGTTATTAGGTTAGGTCTAAGGAGAGTTGAGATATTTCGAGCCAAAATTCTTCCGTTAACCATTCTTTAATTTTCTCTAATTTCCTATGGGAAAAAGAAAAGCGAAGAACAATGACCAATAATTTAAATGGGACAACGAATTTTAGGTGATCCATAGTTTTCCCAGGTTTAAGTTTCTGTAACATATGTATTCATTTTCTGGATAAGTTAAAACTGATTCTGGATCAAATTAACAAGAACAGACGAACAAGAAGTAAAGAAATGCTAAGACAGTTTTATATCCGACATACGTACAGTATGTTTGGTTTCATTGAAAAAAAACATAAAATCAAAAACCAGCTTAGAGCATTACGACAGTTTTATAGGGTTTCTTAAGTTAAAAAAATAAAATAAAACGATGTGGCGTATCCAAAAATTAAAATCGGTTCTTAAACAACACTTGTCAATCGATCCTATCTTCTCATCGTCTTCTTCTGCTCCTTTCATCTCCAATTCGTTCTTCTTCTTCTAATGGAATGATATCGATCCATCTTCATCGTTTTCGCCGGCTGCGAATCCTTTCCGATCGATTGACCCTCTCTCAGTGGCGGAGCCGGAACTTTTTTTTACTGGATGCAATTTTTTTTTTAATATATAGTTTATTAATTATTAGAAATAATTAAAAATATAAAATTATCTAATTTAAAATATTAGAAAAATAAACTAGACAATCACTTAAAAAATAATCACCTATACAGTTTTGTATCATTTATTTTGAAAATTTTGTTTTCTAGAATTTACCTATTAGTTATTTTGTGAAAATAACAAACTAAAAAATAAAAAAATTTGAACTCATATATTATAAATATAAACATTAATATCTATGAGTTTAAAATCATATCATATCGTATCAAATTTAATAAATATTAATCTAAAGAAACTAAAGTAAATTAAAAATATATAAAAAGTTAACTCGGATAAGTAATTAGTGAAATGTTTTACTAGTTTTAATTCTTTAGTAAACAATAAAGATTTTAAAAAATCATATGTAAATAAATATAATGACGAAGAGGGAAAATGTTTTGTTGAGATTTTTCTTTTAATGCTTTATTAACTAATAAATAGTCAAAAGTCATAAAATGATTATTTATTTTTGTAAAGTGTGCTCAAATTAAAACTGAACCCAAAACCAAAATAAAATTAATTATCTAATTTAATTATGTTTATGTCTTCTATGTTCTCTTTTTTTACTTATGGGGTCAACTAAAAACAATTAATGGGATCATAAAGAATATAAACTAAAAAAAAATCTATAATCTTTTTAATTAAGTGGGGTCAGCTAACCCCCTCCCACCTTACTAGCTCCGCCTCTCTCATTTACTCCAGAAATGAAAAAAGCTAGCTTCTTCCGTAAGCCCTCGCCGTGAATTTGAACCGGGAACTTCTTGATTTTCGAGAGATGAGAGCTCTAGGTGAAAGCGAAGACGCCGTCATCATCGAAAAGGCGTAGAAGGCCGGAGAAGCGCGTGTTATCACCGTGAATTGTCCTGACAGGACCGGTTTAGGGTGTGGCATTTGCAGAATCATCCTCGATTTCGGGCTTTATATAGTAAAAAGAGGTAATATCCTTCCAGAAATGATTCCATAATCTTTAAAATCGCTTAGGATTTCGCTTACAGTCGAGAAGGGGTGAATCTGATTGTTTCATTTTTTGTTTTGGTGTATAGATGTTACAACCGATGGAGTATGGTGCTACATAGTTTTGTGGGTGGTTCCTCATTATGAATCTCTGATATTGAGATGGTCACATTTGAAGAACCAGCTTGTATCTGTATGCCCATCTTGCTCTACCTACTTGGTTCTCAATTTGATGTCTCCTTGTCCTGCTTCATCAACACCTGTTTTGTTTACTTGTTGAAGTTCTTCTGCCTAGACCGGAGAGGACTCTTACACGGTACTTATCGTCTCATGGGTTTTTGATTTACCTTATGAATGTCAAGACTTGGATGTGTGAGGAAGAAATCTGTTTTGCAGATGTTACTCAAGTACTAGCTGAGCTTGAGCTCTCAATCCAAACCGTGAGGGTCACTACTACACCAGATGAGAGAGTTTTGGATCTTTTCTTCATAGCAGATAACATGTGAGTGAGTGAGTGAGTGAGTTAGACAATCTGCTCTTAAGTCTTTTGAATCTAGCATGAATGATGATGATTCCTTGTATTGATTTCCTACTAGGGATCTTTTACACACGAAAAAGCGCCAAGACGAGACATTAGAGCAGTTTCGTTCTGTCTTGGTTTTGATATTTCTCTGTGTTTGCGGCGAAGGATAGACACAGCAAAGTCGACGGAAGAGGGAGGAGGATCCGTATCCCAATCATATGCGCAGCTCGTGTTTTCCAGCTAACGAGCCACATACAGAACCTTCGGTAAGTACAATCAGTCTTGTGTCAATCATATATCTCTGTTTCGGTAAGTATGATTTCCTCAATGCAAGAGACAAACATGGAGTTTCTTTTCTCGTTGTTGAATAGCGAGAACGAGAACATTTGTAACTGGTTGGATGCTTGGAACAACAGTTCTGATTCCATCGGCTCTTGTTCCACAAATGGGAGGTCGAAATGTAAGTCTCTTCTCTAACAAAAAGACTTGTGCAAATTTTCTTTTTCAGTCTTTTTTTATTGCACTTAAAAAGCTTATGATCCTTGCAGGAAGAGAAGGCAAAGCTGATTCAAACAATACTCTTTGTAGCTGGAATAAACACAAATGTTGTCACCATCGCTAGAGCTATTGAGTTACCTGATGCTATGGAGAATGCTGGTGCTGCTCTTATCCGTGAGGTCAGTGTGTGACTCTGAAAGCTTTTAGCTCTCTATCAATGATAGATTGATTTGGTGCGTTTCTTGTTGTTGTTGTGTAAAAAACTCTATAGAGTCTCTCTCTAGGACTCAAAGGTCTCAAAATTAAGAAAAAGTTAATGAGGTTCTTAACTTAAATTAATAATAAGTTTAATGATATTATATGTTTCAGAACCTCATCTTAAGGTTCACCATTACAATTACGGTTGCTCTTAGAGCATCTCCAATCTACCTCTATTTTAGAGGAAAAAATAGAGTTTAGAGGAAAATTCTCTCCAATCCACCTCTATTTTTACCTCTAAAATAGAGGTTGCTATTTTTCCCTCTATATTTAGAGGAACTCTATTTGTTCCTCTATAATAGAGATGAACTTTTTTATTTATAAACTGGTTCCTTAATTTTTACATCTTTTTATTTTTATTTATATAACAAATATAAAAGTTAAATTAAATATTTGCATAATCTAGTTTGTATATATCCAATAAATAGCTATATATCTAACATATAAATTTAATTAAATTATATAATGTTAAATAACTTTAATAAAGTTTAATAAAATCAACATTATTTCAGACAATAACTATTATATGAAAACAGAAAATATTATTTACTTTAATTAACTATATAATTTATAAATAATAGTGATTAATCCACGATAAAAAAATGAACATGAATAGTAATATAGTATACATGAATAACAATATAGTATACACATGTACAATAATACGTCAATAAAGTTACATTATACAGTTTTTATATGTTATTAAATACAAAAACCTAATAAATAAATAAATTTAATAATTTTTGTTATGGTTTGAGAAAATTTTGTGAACATATAATATAACTAAATTAGAAAATTCTCATTCATTTCAAACTAAATTATAAATAAAATGATAAATTATTTTTTTTAAAAATACAGAAAATTATAGAAAATGATAAATAATATATTGATTTAATATTCTGAGAATTTGCTTCCGAATCCACTGAGATCATGCAAATATTGATCCAACGGAGTAGATGGAGGAAGATCTTATTGATCTTGATGTTGATCACTTTGCTTTTGAAAAATGCGTGCTTGTTCAGCTTGAATGTATGAGCGGATATTTGGATCTTGTATGGAACTCAAATCACAAAATAAAATTTTGTTTTCTTCTTTCAGTTCTTTTAAAGCATAATTCTTTTTTTGAATCTCCAAATGATCTTGTCTTTGTGTGCTTGACTTCTTTAATTGCTCCAAAAATTACTTATTTCCTTCTTCTAAGGTGTTGATAACTGTTGTTGTTAGATCAACAAGTTTTATTTTCATTTTGGATTTTGTTTTATGAAATAAATGTTTAATTTTAATATATTTTTATTATTTATGGAAATTTTTGTAAACAATAATATAAATGAGGTTAATTTATGAATTTTATAAAAAGAATGTGTTAATAACAAATTATACAGAAAATATTCTTAAAATATTCTTTTTTAGAGGAAAAAATAGAGGAACACATTGGAGAGAAGTGCACCTCTATTTTAGAGAAAAAATTAGAGGAACACATTGGAGATGGTCTTAGAAAAATGATGATAAACAAATTTAGTAAAAAATTAAATTATAAATGTCTCTCAAATAAGATGCACAAATGTAAAATTTATATGTAAAAACTACTATTAGAGTATTATTAAATTATTGAAAATTTTCACTTTTAGTTTTTTTTTGTTTTGCACAAATCTTATCATTAATGAATGCATTCAATAAAATTTTAAAATTAGTACATAATAAAAATATTAATCTATGAGCTTAAACGGCCCAGTTCTGTTAAAGACACATTAAGCCCATATTAACATCACTAGGTTAGGCAATATATTGGTCTAGACAGAGAAGTGAGATGATTCTCAGCGGCTCTAAATTCCTGTTTACCGTTTACAATGACGACGAAGAGGAGCTTCAAAGCTATCTCCGTCGCTGCCTCGTCGTCGATGAAGGGTTGCAAAAACCGGAAGGTGAGAAATTTTGGGATTCTTTTCGTTGATTCTGGAAATTGGTGGGTTTCTAAAATAAAAGCTTTAAATTTTTATTTGCGAAGCTAACGGAGAAAATCCTGGAGCAAGCCTATGCGCAGCAAAAGGAGATGGAGAATGAAGAAAACGCCGAGAAAACACCCATGATCGCCTCTTTCAAGCAGGCAGTGTATGGGGTGGAAGATTCTATCGATGATGATGTTGATGAAGAGTCCCAGAGCGAACTTGATTACCAAGTGAGATTCTATGATCTACTCTTTCCCTCTCAATCGATCGTGTTTATGAGTTTACAACTGTAATGTGAACATTAGCTTTAGATTTACTTGTTATTGATGGAAACTGTTGTGATGTTGTTACCAGAATGTGGCCATTAGCGAGACTGAAGAGGAGAAGTTATTACTAGATGCCTTCTTTCACAAGGATGGAGCTTCAATAGCAAAACGTCTCTCTAATGCCATTACTAATTCTGTCAAGGAGCTTCAAGACAAAGAAGATGATGTTGCTACAGGTAGGTTTCGCTTGATATCTATTTGTGTGGGAATGAAATTATTGTCTGTATATGATTCAAGTGGAAAATGATTCGATGTCTTTCTTTTGCCGGTTGTAGTTTCAGCTTGTGGTGCTTCAGCAACTGAATTTTATCGAAAGTGAGCTTCTCCTACTTTCCTTCTCCTTGCAAAATCACTTTTACTGTTTTGAGTTTTGGTCTCTGATATATATATATATAACTACAACCAAACGATGCAGGCTGGGAAAGTTTATGAGTGTATACACAATTGGGAAAATGCCGAAAGCTCTTGACCATGTTACTAGACAGGAGAACTGGGCTGAATTATTGAAGTTGACTGAACCAGAGAACTGGTCCGCTAGTGCCATGTACAAGGCTACAAACATGTTTGCCTCCAGCAGCAAAGCTGGGCGCTTCTATGAGCTTTTTCTTCTTCCTAGGGTGAGAGAGGATATCAGAAAACACAAAAAGCTACATTTTCACCTCTACCAATCTTTGAAGAAGACGCTGTTCAAGCCGAGAGGATTCTACTGTGGAATAGTAATTCCCCTTTGTAAGGTGTGTGTATGTGTGCGTTTTTGTTTCCTTCCTTTTCTCATTCTTTGCATTGCTACTTTTTCTCAAAGTAAGTTGCATGTTTTTTTAGTCTGGGACATGCACCCTCACCGAAGCTGTAATTATAGGGAGTGTAATGCAGAAGTGTTCTATTCCTGAAGTTTTCTCAAGGTAACAAGTATTCACCTTTAGCTTTTCTGAAAGTTTTGCCAGATTATTAAACAAAAAAAACGCAAAAACAAATTTCTTCCTGCAGTGCCGCCTTGGTATGTTTGGCGGAGATGAAGTTTCTTGGCACAACAAGGTAAATGCAGGATATAACTTAGACGTACATATATGCAGGTGTTTAGATACTATATTATTGTTTTCCTTTCTGTGTGGGTGTGCAGTTACTTGATGAAAGTTATTCTGGAGAAGAAGTATGCTCTGGCGCATCTAGCGATAGATGGGGTCGCTGCACACTTCTTGAGGTTTCATAAGGAGACAAGTGTTATGCCCGTCATTTGGCACCAAACTCTTCTCGCATTTGTGCAACGGTAAGGAAGAATAATAGTTCATTTCATTCTTAGTATTGAGCCTCTCTCTGCCTCTCTATGTAAACCAACCTCTGCTATTATTGTGCAGGTACAAGCATGAACTAAGAAAGGAAGACAAAAAGAGTCTCACAAGTCTACTTGAGAGGCAAAATCACAAACTTGTATAAACCGCTTTCCCTTGTCTCATCAAGATCCTTAAAAAAATCTATTTTAATATTTTTTCCATTGAACTCTATTTACAATATTGTTTGTAGATTACACCTGAAATTGTGAGGGAGCTTGAAGGTAGCAGAAACCGCGGAGAGAAGGAGGATCATTCGCATTCAGCTTCTACGATCAACAACAAGCCGATCAAAGAAGACTTGTTTGACATGCCACAAGTTCCAATGGAAGAAGAAGACTAGTGATTATCTAATTTTCATATTGCGATTTTGGAAAGGCTCAGACCGGACAAAACTATATAGAAATTTATTGAATCATACTAAGCAAACCTGAGCTATATGGAATCGAACCGAACTAACTGAAAAGATTGAAACTAAATTTTGCTTGTAGTCCAAGAAAGCTGCATGGAGCCGCCGTCGATCTTGTTTGCCGGTTTGCAGGAATCGGGATTGGATCCGGAAACCCCGAGAGATGTTCCGGCTCAACAACATATATATGTTTTAGAAAAAAAAGTTTCTTCTAAAATTCTGGTTTGAAATATGAAATAATTAAATATAGTAAACTATATGCATTTCAAGTAGCTTAGATTGAGACAGATTTTGCAATAATGTTTGAATAGTTGCAATGTTGTGACATAATTTTAATCGGTCACTATATTAATTATTTAGACTGGGGCCTATCAGATTCTCTCCTAAACAAAGAATACTATACATTTAATATAATTAAAAATAATGTATAAAGCTTTGAGTCTTGACATAACATATAAAAGGACTTACCTTACCATATCACTTTATATTATTATTTTATCTTTGTCCAATCTCTCCGTTATTTATTTTTTATTGAACATATATAAAAGTACTGATTTTATCAATATATTAAAATAATATAAAGTTCCGGCTAGCACATTTGTGATGAAACCAACTAGAATCTCCGTTTCGTTGTGAGACTCTAATATGCCAATATGGGTTATAACCCGATGGCTTTGTGATGAAACCAACTAGAATCTTCGTTTCCTTGTGAAATAGTCGTTGGAGTAAACATATTCGTCTTCCACACCATTGTCAGCAAAGATCTCATCTGATATTAAATTACATTCGATGAATTCTTAAGGCCTTACCAACATCTTCGTCCCTTTGATCTTTTTATGTATCTGCACTGGCAGCACTGCCAGCAACCGTGTTGCCTTCTTCTTCCCCAGGATTCATCATATCAACACTTTATTGATGTTACTACTAATTATTTATATATATCAGTAGTATATACAATGAACTAATTAAATTACTTTTATTTTAAATTATTTTAAAATCATTTTTAGTGCAAAAAAAAGTTAATCTTTCATAAATTTATTTATAGATTTCTCATCATACGCATGATGCAGTTTATTACCTAATATAACATTAAAATAGTTTCAAAATAATAAAGAGTATAAACTGAATATAAACCAAAGAAGAATAAATAGACAAATCCATAACATTCAAGAAATATAAAATTTTGAAATTAATGCAAAAGAAAGAGAGGATAAACTGTATTGTTTTGAGAGCGTAACTCTTGTCAATAAGCATTGGAACTCAAGAACATTGTGAGATCATGGATGTCAGCATCATTAGCACTATCCACAATAAATAAGATCCCTCTTGATCTTTGGATCCAAGTAGCTGATGGCTTCCAACACCAATTGCCATCCTAAACATATCTCTTAGACTCTCGACACGTTTTAAGAAAAAAAGGACATGAGTGTTAAGTACCATATGTAGTAGTATCGCGCTTTGAATAGGTGCTTATCCACAAAATCGGAGAGTTCAATCACTATTTGCTTGTTTATGCAAAGAAGAGGTTTCAGAAGCTTAACTTCCAACCGGTGAGTCGAATTAAAATGATACAAATAAACATGAAAGTTTTTTTTTAAAATACATTCGATTTTAGATCCCATTTTTCTGAATAATCTATATCCCATTATTCAAGGGGTTGTTAGTTTACATACTAGAGTAGTTTGTTATGTTTGTCAAGGCTCAAGGGGTGGTTAGTTTACATACTATAGTAGTGAAAATGAGCTTTATTGATTTATTTATTTATTGCCAATTCTTGGTACTGGTACTACTAAACGAGGCAACAAATCATCTTGAAACTGCAACAAATAAAAATGATCTCAAAGACGCACTCCTTCAGGATTTTAAACCCTGTCCGTGTCCTTATAAAGATCCGAGCCTCTATATAATATACATACGCATGTAGATCATACAGCGAATGTTTTTTTTCTTCTTCTTAAACATAAGAAAGAAAATGAATTAGACAACGAAACGAACAACACTCTTTCCCTCTCTCTTTCTTCTCTCTGTACATAAATTTTATAAATTAAAAGGACCAAAATGAGATGGCACCGAACAAATCTTTCTCCTTCCTCTCTCTTCTCTTCTACATGAAGTAGCTCAAGGACGTCTTCTTCCTTGATCCTCCTTCTCCATACAGCTCATTCCATTGCTGAAGCTCGTTCATGTTCGACGAGTCTGAAGACACACTCGCACATACCTATACATATATTTCATCATTTAGTCCCGTTTCTCGAATCTATAAAGCATAATGCCAGACCAATTAGTATCTGTTTTGCTTTGTTTTGACCTACCTGTTCATGCGCAGCCTTGAAATCGGTCATTGTCAGTGGACGAATGTCCGTGCAGCTATACAATGGAGGTGTTGGACGGTTTTCAGCCTGAGCTGTAGTTTTTTCCTGGAGTAAAAATAACAGTCAGTATAAAAAAAAAAGGATGACTTCTGCTGAGTAAATAAATGGTCTTTCGATTCGAGGCAAAGCATTAAGTTGAAACCAAACCTTCTTTTCTTTCTCCAGTATCTCTCGAATTGGAAGATGTGCCGCAGTTACACAAAGATTCTGCAACCAAATGAGAATATGAGCTTCTACAAGGCAATGAGATTGAGACTGAGATTGAAGGGGAGAAAGAGAGAAAAAAAAGTTGAGACCTTTAAGTCACTTCCTGAGTACCCATCTGTCATATTTGCAATTGCTTCTAAATCAACGTCTGGTGCTATTTCTTCTTTCGAAAGAATAACGCTTAAGATCTTTGATCTGTTTGTGGCATCTGGAAGATTAACCATCAATCTGCAAAAACAAGTTTACGACATGAGGAATATTCTTCATAAGAGACAGAATTGGTAGAAAAAGAAAATGGTTGCTTTACCTCCGGGGAAGCCGTCTAATAACTGCTTCGTCGAGGTCAAATGGTCTGTTGGTAGCAGCGAGTACCAGAACTCGTTCTCTATCCTTTGTTCGTAAACCATCCCAGTTTATCATGAACTCGTTCTTCATCTTACGCATAGCTTCATGTTCTCCAGGATTTTCACGTCTTCCCAACATGCTATCAACCTAAATAATGTTTTTCCCACAGTCGTCAGATCGAAAAGTAGTACATAGTACATACGAGTTTGGCTTCAAAGGAGAGGAGAAACAGAGAACGGTTTTTTTTTTATCTATTCAAACATACCTCATCTACAAAAATGACACTTGGAGCGATCTTGCTCGCTAAAGAGAAGACAGCTTTAACATACTTCTCTCCCTCACCAAACCACTGCACAGCATTAAATATTAAATGGTCACAAGTTATAATCTTTAGAAGAAATAATATAAGACAAAAATTAAAGGCCAGTGTTGGAGAGATACCTTTGAAGTAATGCTGGACATTGAGATATTAATGAAGTTTGCGCCAGCTTCAGTTGCTACTGCCTTTGCCAGCATAGTCTTCCCGGTACCAGGAGGTCCAAACAACAGAATACCTTTCGTAGGCTGCAGTAAAACGTATTTTATATATCCAGAAAAAGTGAGAAACAAACATATGTGGAAACTTAAAGAGATGAAAGGTACCTTTGTTAGCTGGCCTTTGTCGAACAGTTCGGGTCTTTGAAGAGGAAGCATCACCAACTCCTTCAATGTGTCTTTCACATTTTCTAGAGCCCCAATATCATCAAAGGAAACACCTATATCGCTAGGGGGGATGACATCTGATAGGAGTTTTTTCTCAAATTCGTTCTCAGTAACAACATCCTACAAAAGCATAGCAAAACAACTCTTAGATCCGAAACTTACCAAGTAATAATCTTAGGAAGAATGAGATAAAGTTACATAATATTGACCTTGAGGGATTTCTTTAGGCTCTTGTTTTCGTTTTGAACACCATGTAACATCTGCAGGCCATATGTGATGCTGCAACACATACCAAAACGTTATTTATAAAGCTGTATTTTAGCTACATTATTTCAATCTATACAAGGAAGCTTACCTTTCGGCTGAGATAACAAGCTTGTTGTCTTTGACTGTAGGTTCAGAGCAGTTCATGAGATGGTGACTCAAGGCCCAGCCAACCACTTTCTCAACACCTATAACACATACAGTTTTTGGTTAGTCAACCGAGTAGCCCAACAAAGCAGAAAGAAAATAATAATAAACGGTAAGTGAAAGAGACCCACTTTCAGAAGGAAGGGCTTGATCTTTGATGCACAAGGTGTCAAGGTCAGGGCAGTCCAGACGGTTTTTGGCGAGGACCTGTATTCATCATTAATAAAGACATCAGCAAAAGTAAAAGAAACCAGGAACACTTAATTTGCTAAAGGTTTTGATAATAAGATGCTCACCGCAAGGATACTGGTTACATTAGCCTGAACTTTCAAAAGCTCTGTATCACGGTCCAGTTTCTCCTTCCAATCCAAGAGCAAAGCTTCATCCTATTATGTCTTAAAAGCATAAGAAAAAGAAATAGAAAAAAAATAAATGTAGCCAGAAAAGAAGAAATGAATAAGGGTTTCGACCTGAGGCAACTGGATGGCGACTTTGTTAGGAAATAGCCGAGTTATTTGTTTCAATGATTTAGGCGTTTCTTTGCTCCTATCGTGCAGTTTACCAAAATTATCCTGCGGATGACATGAAAAAATCAGCTTGTAACATCTCAAAAAGGTACCAAATCTAAGATGAATCAACATGCATCGCAATTTTGAAAAGTGGAAAATAATTAAAGATAAGTCAGATCATCATACCGGAAATGCAAGATCCAGTAATGCCGTCTGGTTGCCGCCAAACTTAGTAAACAAGAAGCCTCCAGGATGCGACTGATAAGAACCATAAAACTCCAATTAAATATACGGACAAGCAAGTTACAAACACCTTGAAGATACCAAAGTAGAAACGGAGAAGATTAAATAAGTTTCCTACTTTCTCCTTTCGGCTGTCCAACTGGGTTTGTGAGGCCATGACAACAATATTTTCCGGTAAATTCTCGAGCTTGCTCTTCAAAGTTGCATAAACATCACTGTTCCCCACGAGAGATTTCTCAATATCTTTCAGGAACAGTATTAATGACCCTCCGTCACTCTCACTAATTGCGACCTACGATATGACTCAAGAAAGTTAACAATCCTGTAGCTATAAGGACTAATTAGTACTCTCCCATAGCTAAAAGAGTAAAAAAGTACCTCAAAGATTTCATTAACGGCGAGTCTATCAGCATCATCACTAGAAGAACCATCTAACCGAAGTGAGCTAGCTGCACACAAAGAATAATATTAATAAAATTATCCTTTTTAATTGAAGTAAACTTGGAAACAACATCTTCGCAGAGGCCACCAAAATTACCAGAACAGAAAAAACCATGGTCTTCTTCGCAGAGGCCACCAAGATCATTGCCATCTGGTACAGGCCTATCGAATCTAATCCCAATCTTTGAAGAACAGTTGTCTTCAAATGCAAGGAGTACTTTTCCTTGGTAACCAATGGCCGGTCCCCTATGTTAAATAGCAGAGAAGAAGTTAGAACTGAATTTAGAATACAACAAACATTTACCGCTTAAAACCTACCAAAGAAAAAAAAGAAAAAAGAGCAAACAATACCTAATTGAGCCTTGAAGAGAAGAAATCGCAGAAGACGAAGGACCTACAAACTTTACTCGGTCACCTAAAAATGATAAAAGTGCTCGTTCAGTAACACAGGAAGACCGGTGCAGCAAAGAAAGTGAACAATCAGATGACAAAAACCATCATGCCTGATTTAAATGTGTAACTTTTCGAAGTTGCTGTTGACACTTCTTGCTTCGGCAACGCCTGAGAACTCAATGTTGAACCACCTGTTATATCAGCATCGACACTTGAAGTTGGTTTCTTATGTTGCAGTGCTTGTGCAGCCTGAACAGCTCGTTTAGCAAGCATAGACAGCCTTTCACGCCTAGAACCTTCTTTAGACGATTCGGCTTCCTTGGATGGTGATCCCTGAAATCATCCAGAAACAGAAACAGAACAGAACAAAATCAATGATCAAAGAGCAGAGTGGGCAGAGTGAGCAGGACTGGACGTCAACAATTCAATACCCTCTTGTTCAAAATGACCAAAACAATATTTCAATATATAGAACAGCATTGGAATGAAGATGCATATAATCAAAAGCTACACAAAGGAGAAAATAAGAGGAAAAAAGAAGGTTACCCCCGGCAACAAAAGAGAGTCAACGATCATCAATTTGGCCCCAAAACTTTTCGCAAGCGCTTTTGCCAACATTTCCTGATATATCTCAGAGCCTAAAAATATTCCATATGGTAAACTGGGTTAGAAATAGGAGTCTATGATTGGCTAGAGGAATGGATACAGCAAAAATAAGTAGAAACACTAATTAGTAAAGCCTCATACCTGCTGGTCCAGATAGCAAGATGCGGGGACACATTGTAGACAAGTCCGATGCATACTTTGCAAACTTGCTTCCACCCTTCATATGGACATACATCGAAGCTATCAAAACATCCTTCGTCGTAGCACTGAGACAATTCAGAAATTGTTTTGGCTATAAATCATCAAACCATCAAAAGCCAGATGTGTGGAAGAAATCTAACATGATATATATAAAAACCAAACCTGAGAAAATATGGGAATTCCTCCAAAGAAACGTCTATGTCTTGAGCATTGAGTACTCCTCCTCGCAGACTATCCTTAAAAGCTTGGCGTCTAGTCGACATAGTAGATGAGAGGTCAAATTCTTTAAGGAATTCTCTAACTTCCCTTCGTTCATCCAGCAGTTTGGAGATGCCCCTTATATCAAATGAAGAAGGTTCCCCAAGAAGGCGCAAGATTGGTCTAATTTCATAGCCAGAACCAGGAGTATTTCCACCATCAGCATCTTGAAAAGGATCCAATCCACTACCATCAGCATTGAGATTCTCATTGGCGGTACAAGAGGTTGAAGCACCATTTTTATCCACGGAAGCTATAGCAGCATGATCATTGTTACTATCAGCATCGTTCATGTCAGTATCCGAGACGCAATCATTGCAGCTAGAAGGCACCACGGGAACCTCCGGATTCTGCTGCCTTTTGGCAGTTTTAGCAATCGGTGGCAGAAGATGGAAGTTTCGGTACTTTGATAGAGATGCCAATATAGAGGCCCCATCAACAGCTGAGGAGTCTCCTGCTCTTGTCTCAACATGAACACCTTTCAGAGGGGCACCCCGAGCTTCACACATACTCAATGAAGAAGCCTTGTCAGGAGCAGCTAGGTTTTCATCTTTAAGAGGTTGGAATATCTAGATCACTCGTTAAGAAAAAGTTAACGAACAACTACTGAAATTCAAAATGGCAAGGACGTTAAATCAAACAATATTTCTTAACTAATTGAATTCCACAAAAAGGATACATAAGCATGTCTCCCAGAAATGCTGAAGATCACCTCGTCACCACCTCGCAGATGAACACAAGTACTCTTCTGGTAACACTTGCCATTCACCTGAACAAGAAGTCCATTCCCTATAATCTCCAGGGATGCAACTGATGGACCTCCACTCTGCACAAAAAGCTATGTAAGCAGAAGGCTTTTTGTCCTTTAATCCATAAAGATACGGTCAATCATCAGATGTCCTTACCTCAGACTGCTTCAGTTCACACAGGGTGCTGGGCATAGACTGGTCTTTGATAGATAAATCACAGCCCCTGCGTCCAACAGTGAACACAGGGCCCCTCATGATACGGTGAGGATTCTGAAATTGCAGAGAAAGAACTCAGGACAGTCAGAAACAAAAGAATCATAGTCACACAGCTATGAAGTGGACATGCAGACAACTAAACTCGTCTATAGTATGAACTGAAAGACCAGATCTTTCCTCTAAACCCTGAAGGCGCAATTCGCATACTCGTAGACATTAAAACCGATCACAATGCAACTTCACTAACCTGAGGATACTGGGAAAGTAGCTTCGCCCATGGAGCTTTAGCACGCTTCTTCCCCGCCTTGGACTTCTCAGCATCCGCCGCCACTTCACCTAAATCCAAAACATTAGAAGCGAAAGTGTGTTTTTCTTTTTTTCAAAGGAGAAAGCAGGGAAAGAGCGAAACCTGCTATGGTAGGTGTCGCCAGGACTTCGACTTCAGGGTTAGCATCGGTTTCAGGAGAGTTCTCCATCACAGGCACATCAGTCGTAACGGGCTTCTCCGAATCCATAGCTTGCGGATCAGAGGATCCCAGTTCCGGCTCTCCAGATTCCGATCCAGGATCCGAAGCCGGTCCTTGATTTTCGATCGGAACCTCGTTCGCCGACGAAGACCCAGCCGGTTCCGCCGCAGTCTGTGTTGTCAGAAATCAAAATCAGATTCGAAAATCCGGAGGAGAGAAACCAAAGAAACAGAAGAAAAATAAAAAACCAGATTCAAAATCAGGGGCTCCACAACAAAGCAGCCAGAGAAAATTTTAAAAAAAAAGCTCGGATTCGGAGGGGAAAAACTACGCACGGGTTCGAGAGCAGAGGCGGCGGCATCGATCTTGACCTTAGATCGCTTGGTAGGCCGAGGCGATGAAGACGCTTCAGGGGAAGAAGAAGAACAGAACCGCTTGGAAGCGGAGGAGCTACGTCTCGTCTCAACCATATCTCACGATTTTTCTCAACCTCTCTTTTTCTTTCCTCCGCCTTGACTTCGCCTTTGATCCAAGAAGAACCGCTTGGTTCTCGATAGAGAGAGAGACAAAGAGAAGAGATTAGAGATAGGAGAAAGGAGAGAGAGAGAGAGAAAAAAATCAGAGAGATTTCATGTAAATGATTACTCGCAAGGTCAATTTATAACTAAACCTGCAACTTATTGTATGTGTGCGTTAATTACATTTCGGGTCAAATATAAAAATAAGTTAAATATCTTGACCGACTAGTATATATATATATATATATCCACATTTTAGACTAAACATAATATAAAATAAATTAGTTTCTCATAATCTGTTACCTATATATATGTAAAAACATTTTTGAAACAAAACTATACAACGTGGTTTTGTGTGGTTGGGATGCATAATCTATTGTCCGAATAATAGACGTCCGTTTAATAAAACTAGGGCTTAAAGTACATTCAGAATATTTGTACCTTTTTATAAAAAAATTTGTGATGTAAAAATACTCATATATAATATTGTTGTTTTATTTGTATGTGGTAATTTTATTTTCTAGGATTTTTTAAGTTTTAAGTAATTTCTTAGAATAGAAAGCGAGAATTAGCTCCGCATGGGCAAGACAGAAGCATGTATATAGATAGATAAGGAGGAAACAGATTCTACTTGCTTTTTCTGGAGAATGAGTCCACCGGGTCAACCCTTTCACCTTTACCACATAACAGTCAGTCAGAAATCACTATGGTCAAACTACACCAAGTTACATAATAAATGTGATTTTATCAATCATGAAAACTATTATTTTGTAATTAATTAACAACAATTTCTATAGTTTTCCTAAATTTCGAATTCTTTGTATGTGTAGAGATACTCAATTACGCGAAAATAGGTTTGAATAACTGCCCGACCAAAATTAAAAGGTCCAAATGTGTAACTACAGAGAGGATTATTGGGAGAAAAATCTCATCCAATCTTCACTCTTTTTGAAAAAAAAAAGATATATATATATATATATATATTTAGCTGAAATTAAACTAAAGACCAAAGTAAAGAAAAAGTCAAATAATGAATCACCCATTTTTTTTTAATCCAAGTCTAGATAGATATCAATAACGTTTGACCAAATGACCAGAGACGGTTCACTACTACAGACGTCTCGATGGACAAAACACTTGGCTAGTTCGGTTCGTCTAACTCTAACCAATGTTGTTGTCCTAGCCTATTAGGCACGTGTACGCATATACATTCATGCATGATACATCACGTGACATTTTGGAAATGTGACTATGTGAGTGTTATAATTATTTTATTTTGAGGTGAATAATTTATATATATACACTCAAAGGAAAATAATCGCAATATACAACAAAGCTTATGAAATAAAATAAGTTATAAATATAACAAAATGGATCTTCCACATAATTTTCCGTCAAGATCACAATGTCGTCGATACTTGAGGCTAAAAACTCTTGTGCCATAGATCAAAGTGCCGATTCCAAAACGTTGTCTTTGGTAAAGAAGGCAATGAAGAGTATCGGCCAAATTTCAAATTCCGTTGGAACTATTGTATTAATCAGGCTTGGACCTTTGTATTAAAAGGCTTCGGTTTCATATAAAGAGGCTCGTCAAAGAAATAGAGAAAGAAGCCCACATAAAACACAATGGACGATGAACAAGAGCAGCACTTGAAGGCAGCTTTTGGCGATTCATCAGATGATGATGAACAACAACACCTCGCCGATCGGCCGGAGAAAGAAACTCCAGCGATCGGAGATTCGACGGAATGGGAGCGAGTTGAGGATATCGATGGTCTATGGCTCTGCAGAAACTTTCTCTCTGTTCATCATCAGTCTGATTTACTCTCCGCCATTCTAAATGGTACACTCTGCCTTCGCTGGTTTCAAATTCTATCGCTGTTGCTTATCGACTGTGTTGCTAAGATTTAGTTTCGTTTTAATATCTCTGCAGAAGGTTGGTTCGTTGAAGAATCTATCAACCAGGTACTAAACCCTAATCGTCTTTATTGTTCTATTGCATTAATGAGACATTGTCCCAATGGAGATTGTTCTGTTGCATTGATGAGACATTGTCCTAAATACGCTTTAGTTGGTGTATGAATGAGTTGAAGATCGTATTTTCTTGTGCGGCTTCTGTTTCCGCTTGAATTTGATTTGAGCATCTTCATGGTTCTTGGTTTTTGGGTGTGAGCTGATAAAGAAACTAAAGCTTCTGTCTTTTTTTGTTCTATTTTTTATTTGGATGGGAAGGCGATGAGATTTGGTGATCTTCCTTCATGGGCAACAGAAGTATCTGATCTCATACGCGAGACTGTTGAATCTGTTGATCTCCCACTGTTGCCTGCTGATTTACTGTGGAGAGAACCTCTTTTCGACCAGCTCATTGTCAATTTATACCAACCAGGTGAGGTACGTAAACACTTTTCAGTTCTTTTACCAGAAGAACCACTTGTTCTTGTTGAGGTTCTTGGAGGACTATACAGTACTTAGATAAACAGGGGATAGTAGTAGTACAAAAGCTAGAAGAAAGTAAGAGCTTGAGCATTACAATTAGATAGTTTAAGAGAGTTTTCTAAAATGCGTGAAAGAAGATAATCAGTCATGGATTGTTCGGACATCACAATGAAATGATTTTTTTTTTTAACAGGGGATCTGTGCACATGTTGATCTGCTGCGTTTTGAAGATGGAATTGCCATTGTTTCTCTGGAGTCACCTTGCGTGATGCGGTTCAGTCCTGTAGAAGAAAAGGAAGAAGATGAAGGTGTGGTGGATGTTTTGTTGAGCCCAGGATCTCTCATTCTCATGTCTGGAGATGCTCGGTATCGATGGAAACACGAGATTAATCGAAAGCAGATCGGGTTTCAGGTATGGGAAGGAAAAGAAATTGATCAGAAACGAAGAATCTCCATCACCTTGAGAAAGCTATGTCAAGCTTAAACTGTGACTAGCTAAATTTATGTCATCTTTTTGTGTGTGTGTATGATTTAATTAATAAGAACTTTTAGTCCTCACAAGAGAAGCTGTAAATTATGTTTTGCTGCCAGAAAATCAAAGAACCTGTAGAAGTTACCAATGGCAGCTTCCAAGGCTTTGATGATACCAACCGCAGCTTCCCTTTTGGACAAGACGGCAACCAATCGCAGCTTCCCTTTTGGACAAGACGGCAACCAATCGCAGCTTCCCTTTTGGACAAGACGGCAATAATACAAATTTTATTAGGCTGTCGGGATTTCGGTTTGGTTATATGGCAAAAAAAGAAGAAGTAGATTTTGGTTTGGTTACAAGTTTTGGGTTTAGAAATCAAGTTCTAGTTAGTTTGAGAGTCTAGGGACCAAAGTTTAAGATCTTCAATATTTGTCTTTTGATGAAATCAGTTTTCTTTATATAATAAATATGGATGAACTTTTAGGTTTTTACTTTTGACAATTATGTAGAATCCAAACCATTGAACAAAGAAAAAGACATTGTTCAAACTAAACTGAACATAATAAGATAAAACAGCTTTAGCAAGAGCACATAGACGCAGTCAGAAGATTGAAAAATTGAAATGAAATTTAGATGATGTTACTTTATTTTATTTATAAGGGACTTAATGAATAATATAAGTAGTGATATGTTAAACCAAATAAAGTAAAATACTATATGAATTTTTTTTGCGATTGTAATACTTTTTAGTTCTGAGTATTAAAAAAATATGTGTATTTCGTTTCTTTTATTTTATTGTAAATTTGCAATAAGCCAATAACTAATAACATTAATAGATTCAAGTCACATATACAATTTTTCTTATGCTTTCTCCTGTCGTTTCTTAGTCATGTATATAAATAGAAATAGAATTTGGTAAATAACTGAATTAAAAAGAATTGAGAGAACTAGGTATTTACCTGCGTTACGCTGCGGGATATTTTTCTAAATTTTGTATATATTTTTAATATAACAAAACTATTTTTATTATATAAATGAGTATTATATTTTTTATTAGCTTAAATTATGTATTTATATTTTTTAAATTTGAATAAACATTATATATCTTTAATTTTTTTATTTTTTGAAATTATAATTTGCTATTAAATTTGTTCAGCTAACTAATTATATATATATATATGTAAGAATAAAGCAATATAATTTTTAGTACTTTCATGCTAATGGCAAATGTAATCCTCTTTTTTAATTATATAAAGCAAAATACCATTTTAAAAAAATTTATTAATTAATATGATTATCTTGAATTATAAAATTTATTTATTTATGAAATATTTATTATAAACATATGTTTCTAAAACTACCAAACTATAATCAATAACATTCATATCAAAACCATTGCTACTGCTTTAGATCTAAATAGAAAATTTTGTTTGAACTGTTGAAATACTTAGTTGAAGTTAAATAATTAAATTTTAGTTACTGTAAACATATTTTAACTTGGAAATTTAGCACAGAGAAATTCCATCTTCTTACAAAAATCGAGAAAACACATTTTCCATCAAAACTAAAAAACTTAATTTTTTCATGAAACTAAGAAAGTGCATATTCCCACCAAAACCAAAAAAAATTATTTTCTCGTCAAACTTATAACCTAAAATTTCATTTTCTCGCGACAACCTCTGTTTTCTCATCAAAAGCCGAAAAAATACGTTTTTTTTCACTAAAACCAAAACATCTAATCTTCATACAAAAACAAAAAATCGTATTTTCCCGTCAAAACCGAAAAATATATTTTCCTGCAAAAACCGAGAAATCTTCTATTCCCGCCAAAACCAATAATTCATTTTCTCGTCAAACCAAAAATCACGCTTTCCTACAAAAACAATAAACTACAATTTCCCGCAAAAATAAAAATTGCATTATCTTTTGAAAAATTGTGTTTTCCCGTGAAACATAAGAAATTGTATTTTCCCGCAAAAACAAAAAAATCATATTATTCATCAAAAACTGAAAATTTGTATTTCCCATCTAAACCAAGAAATTGCTTATTCCCGCCAAAATCGAGAAATTTTCTTTTCCCATCAAACCGAGAAATTGCATTTCCGCCAAAATCATCAAATTCCAATTTTTCGCGAAAACTAATAAATCACATTTTCGCGCGAAAACCAAGAAATCGCATTATCTGTCAAAAGCTAAAATTTGCATTACCTATTAAAACTGAGAAATCGTATTTTTTCAAAATTAAAAAATTATATTTCTCATCAAAACCGATCATTTTTCCGTCAAAACTAAGATATTTTATTTTTCCGTCAAAATCAATTATTTTTTGTTTTCTCACCAAAACCAAAACTTCACATTATCTCACCAAATCCGAGAATTCGATTTTTCTGCCATAACCGAGAAATTATGTTTTGCTACCAAAACTGAAAATCACATTTTTTTACTGAAACCAAGAAATCATCTATTTTGTCTAAAACAGAAAAATTCCCTATTCCCGCCATAGACAAGAATAATTGTTTTCTCGCGTGTTTTCCTAACAAAACTAAGAAATTGTATTTTTCTGCCAAAGTCGTTAAATTGTATTTTTTTTCTGCAGAAACTGTAAAATTGTATTTTCATACGAAAAACAAGAAATCGCATTATCCATCAATAACAGAAAATTGTGTTGCCAATCAAAAACAAAGATTTTTTTTTATTTGTTGTTATTTATTATTTAAGTTTGAGTTTGGCAAAAAATAAAATAAATATTTTTTTTATTTATTGTTATTAATTATTTGGGCTTGGGTTTGGTAAAAAATAAAATAAAGATTAATAGAAAAAGTTTTTAGGTTTTTAATGGATTTAAATTTAAAAATTAAAATAAGTAGATGAGTTGTGTTAATAAAATGTTTTGCTTGGTGAAATTTTTTACTAAAGTGTCATATTCAGAAAGCTTCAAAATGCTGATGTGTTATCTTTAGAAGAGACATTGATGTTATTGTTGTATTGATGACAACAAAAATGAGAGAATAAGAAAGTAAGAGAAAAAAGAGAAATTTTGGCAAGAAAAATTTATTATATACAAGTTTGTTTCAGAAAATCTTCAATTATTAATTAAATAATACACACATAAATAGAAGTAATTTTAAAGTTTTTGGTACGTATGAAGAAACTAAAATATGTAAAATTACCTTAAAACATATGAGAAAACATATCAAAAGATAATAATTTCCAAAAGCTATTTGGTAACCTACTAACCTCCAATAGTCTAATTAGTAAATTAACCGTATCGAACAAGTTGAAAATCTTTTCCTATTTATGTTCCCTTTTGTTTTCAACTTTTTTTCTATTTATAAAAAACTACAGTATTGATGAGCTGACTTTTCAACGCCCTCCGAGTTCCAGATCCATGCTGCATCTACGGTCAGGATAATAGATCACAAGTCACATACCCTGACATTACACCACGTGTCAACAACACTACTAACACAGCACCACCACCGACACAACCGAGTAAAATTCGACAACCTTAACTGTCATGTCCAAACGCAAAATCTATTGTAGTAACTTTGATAAATAACAGTGTGCGTGTCTAAAAGAAATTATCAAATTCGAATCTTCGTTAATGGAAACTCAGATCTTGTCTTAAAAGAGCCCAATTTAGATCGTAAGAAACAGAGGGAATCTCGAAGAAGAAGAATAAGATTGGAGAAGATGATCGAGAGGTGTTTAGGAGCTTACCGGTTCCGGAAGATCCAAAGAGCTTTACGCCACTTGAAGGTAACGGTTCTCTGTCTCGTTCTTACCGTAGTCGTCCTACGTGGCACAATCGGCGCCGGTAAATTCGGAACTCCGGAGCAAGATCTCGACGAGATCCGTCAACACTTCCACACATCGCGTAAACGAGCCGAGCCTCACCGTGTACTCGAAGAAATACAGACCGGAGGAGATTCTTCTTCCGCCGGCGACGGCAGCGGCGCAAATTCCGGCGGGAGCAATAACTACGAGACGTTTGACATCAACAAGATATTCGTTGACGAAGGAGAAGAAGAGAAACCCGACCCGAACAAACCTTACACTCTCGGACCCAAGATATCCGATTGGAATGAGCAGAGATCCGATTGGTTAGCTAAGAACCCTGGCTTCCCCAATTTCATCGGACCCAACAAGCCACGTGTCCTCTTGGTGACCGGTTCGGCGCCAAAACCGTGTGAGAATCCTGTCGGAGACCACTACCTCTTGAAATCGATCAAGAACAAGATCGATTACTGCAGGCTACACGGGATCGAGATCTTCTACAACATGGCTCTCCTCGATGCTGAGATGGCTGGTTTTTGGGCAAAGCTTCCGTTGATCAGGAAGCTTTTGCTTTCTCATCCTGAGATTGAGTTTCTATGGTGGATGGATAGTGATGCCATGTTTACGGATATGGCGTTTGAGCTTCCATGGGAGAGGTATAAAGATTACAACCTGGTGATGCACGGATGGAATGAGATGGTCTATGATCAGAAGAACTGGATTGGGTTGAACACTGGGAGTTTCTTGCTGAGAAACAATCAATGGGCGCTTGATTTGCTTGACACTTGGGCTCCTATGGGTCCGAAAGGAAAGATCCGTGAGGAAGCGGGTAAGGTTTTGACCCGTGAGCTCAAGGATAGGCCTGTTTTCGAAGCTGATGATCAGTCTGCAATGGTTTATCTCTTGGCTACTCAGCGAGACACTTGGGGTAATAAGGTAAGAACTTAAATTTGGCTTCGTCTTTTAAGTCTATTGCATCTCTTGATTACATAAAGATCGTCTTTTTGGCTCATAAATCGCAATGTGAGTTGCATCTTGTCGGTTTATAACGCCTCTTCATAAATATCGGTTGCCTCTTGTGGTTTTATAACATAAAGTTTGAAACTTCTCATCACAAGTCACAATGTGAGTTGCATCTTGTTGGTTTGTAACGTCTCTTGGTCACATAAAGATTTGATTTCTCATCACAAGTCACAATGTGAGTTGCATCGTGTAAGTTTTGGTCTATTCTCTCATTTTAGCCGTTGCATTGTTATAGGTATACCTCGAGAGCGGATACTATCTCCACGGTTACTGGGGGATTCTCGTGGACCGGTATGAAGAAATGATAGAAAACTACCATCCGGGTCTAGGCGACCACAGGTGGCCATTGGTTACTCACTTTGTCGGTTGCAAACCGTGCGGGAAATTTGGGGATTACCCTGTGGAACGGTGTCTAAAGCAAATGGACAGAGCCTTTAACTTTGGAGATAACCAGATTCTGCAAATCTATGGTTTCACTCACAAATCTTTGGCTAGCCGCAAAGTCAAGAGGGTGCGGAACGAGACTAGCAACCCGCTGGAGATGAAAGACGAGCTCGGGTTGCTTCACCCGGCGTTTAAGGCGGTTAAGATACAAACCAATCAAGTTTGAATCGGATCTGCGTTTAGGATGTCTTCTGTCTCTTGCTATATTTATATGCCTTGTGTCTTTGCTTGTTGTTGTACTAAGATGGATGATAAAACTATTGTGCAGAGACATGTGTTCATTCTTTGGTTTTACTTTGTGTCAACGTCTAGAGTTCTACAACGAAATCAAATGTTGTCCCTTTTTTTTTTCTTTGGAATCCATTAGAAATTGAGATTTTGTAGCTGCATGGATCATCAATAAACAACATTCAACAACTTTTTTATTTTTTATTTTTTTTTAACTTCATTTCAAATTTAACTAAATCAATCGACTAATTATTGACTTTTTTTATTCAAAATGTCAAAACCATATTGAATAGATGAATAAGGTACAGTTTAGTAATGCATGTTTTAAGATCCTATTTATAAGCTTGTGTAGCTTGGAGTACATACAATTCAAAAATAAAATTTGGCATGTGGTCCTTTTTCAGGATGGGCTATTTTGAAAATTTGTTAATTAAAATATAAATCATATAAAAAGTTTATACGACTATACGGGCTATTTATTAAGCCTTATGAAAAAGCCCATTGACACATTGAAAGCTATCATTCCGGCCTAATAATATATGGAATCCTTGATATACAAAAATCCAAGATGGTTAGTGGATAATGGTGGGAATATATATTTTTTTAAAGAGAAATAGTTTATGGCCAAGCAAATTTTTGATATGAGAGAATCAACAAAAAACAAAAACAAGATTTCTTACTTATAAAACCAAATCTTAAATATTATCTTTTTGCTCATTTTGTTGTTGTGTGTGTGTGTTTTTATTTGGGAGAGGATTTACAAAAACCCTAATTCTCATGATTTCAAAAACCCTAGTTTGAGGAGTCCATCGAACATTTTTCAAATATTTGGAGGATGGCGTCATAATTTTGATAAAGCAAAAAACTAATTACCATCCCAAAATGTAAATACACGAGAATATTAACAATCTTAACCTCAAATTGATCTCTTCGTTATACACTGTATATAAAAAAAAACACCTCAAATTGTCCTCAAACTATTGGTTTCTAAAATTTTCACCTTAAATTGTTAACTCTTCATTACATAAAAAAAAACCAGAACCTCAAATCTTATGTTCGCGTTGTGAATTTTTTTGCTTCTAAAACGACAGCGTTTCTTAGAGGACACAGAAATCTTGGTGCTCCACCAACTGAGCCGAGGGCAATTTAGTCATTCCCTCTTCGTCCTCATAAAACGACTGAAGATAAAATCCCAAGGCAAAGAGTTATTTTTTGTTCGCTCACTGACCTTATCTCTCCCAATTCTCTCTTCTTCAAAGAGAGAGCAGCTCTCATTCATAAAATCGCCCACAAATTATCAAAAAGGGGTGAACTTTCTGAAAACCCTTGACCCTTATCGCTATCTCCTCCCTCCCACAAGTTTTGTGGAGAGTTTCGATAAAATCTCAGCAGCAAGCGAAAATGGACTCAAAGGCGGTAACACCAGAGCAAAATCCTTTTTACGCTTCGGGGCCATCAGGTTTCTTTCTTTCTTCCTCGTTTGTATCTACTTTCAACGGGATTGAGTCTTGTTTTTAGAGATATGGTTTTAATCGGAAGAAATATTCATCGATTTTTGTTACAGGAAAAACCTATGCTTCCGTTGTCGCCGCCGCTGCAGCCGCCAGTAAGGAGGGTGTGGCTGTGAGTAGTGCGAAGGAGTTCGATTCCTCATCCGAGGCCGTGTCTGGAAATTCGGAAAAGGGTATTGTTGGTGGAGCCGATAATTTATCTGACACCGAGAAGGAGAAGGAGGAGAAGTCGAGTTTGGAGGCTGGAGGCGATGGAAAAATTTCCGACGAGGGGGATTCCTTGAAGGAGGATTCCGTTACCCCTGAGGCTGCTTCATCGTTATCTCCGAAGCCAGATGTTGTTTCGGAGAAAACAATTGGAGAAGATGGTGTTGGGGTTACCGAGGAGAACACGAAGGTTGAAGAGCGTGCGGATGATATTGAAAACGATGGTGAGACTAAGCTTGAGAATGGGAGCGTTGATGTTGGAGAGAAACAGCCTTCCAGGGAAGAGATAGTGGATGAGAATCTGGAGATGGAGAGGGAGGAAAGTGGGGAAGTTGAGAATAAAGTGAAGGGTGTGGAAGAAGAAGCTGTTGGATCAAAAAAAGATGAGGAGGTACCAAGGGGAGATGGAACCGATGAGGAGGAGAGTGAGTTGAGTGGAAAAGTTGATGTTGACGACAAAAGGGATGATGTTATCGAAGAAGAGGGCGAGAAGTTAACTAATAAAGGAGACTTCTCTGTGGACTCGTCCACTATAGAATCTGTGCATGTTGATGTGGCGAAACCAGGGGTGGCTGTTGTAGGGGAGGTAGAGGGAAGTGAGGAGATGAAGATTAAAGCCGATGGTGAAAATCTTGAAGTGGCTAATAAGTTTGATCAGATTGGCGATGATGATGGTGGTGGATTTGACCTTGAGTCTGACAAGGCCATTGAGGGGGTAGAAGAAAAGCTGGCTACTGGAGCAGACTCCTCTGAACTAGAATCTGCTGATACCAATGCTGCAGAATCAGAGGCTGTCGAGAGTGGAACTGAACCAAACGATGTGGAAGAAGGTAATGGATCGGAGAAGAGTGTGACTTACGCTGAAGTAATAAAGGCAGATCGTGCAGTAGCTGACAATGGAACCAAAGAGGAGGAGAGTGGGTTCAGTGGCGTAGTCGATGATGAAGAAGAGCGTGTGAACAAAGCAGACTCCGTGGTTGACTCATCTGTTATGGAATCTGTGCATGTAGATGTGGCAAAGCCAGGGGTTGTTGTTGTTGGAGACGTAGAGGGGAGTGAGGTTCTGGAAACTGATGGTAACATCGCCAGTGTGCATAATAAGTTTGATCCAGTCGGCCAAGTGGAAGGTGATGGACTTGAACTCCAATCTGATAAGGCCACCGAGGAGGGAGTAAAGAACTTGACTAGCGAAGGAGACTCTAATGTGAACTCCTCTGCTGTGGAGACTGTGGATGCGGATATCAATGTTGCAGAACCAGGTGTTGTGGTTGTCGGGGTTCCGAAGGAGGCTGAAACCAAGGAGGATGATGATGGCGCTGGTGAGGTTGACAAGGCCATCCCAAATATTGAGAAAGCTGATGACCTTACTGCTGCATATGATGGAAATTTTGAATTGGCCGCTAAGGAAACATCAGAGGCAGTCAGAGTAGAGCCTGACGAACCAAAGGTAGATGTGAAGGAAGAAGAAGAAGATCTACCTGTTTCTGAAAGTTTAACTGTAAAAGAGGATTCAAAGCCAGCAGCTGAGTCACAGTTTGAGGCAAACTCTAACCCAGAGGTCCGCGAAGTTTCTGAAGGGGACAATGCTGAAGAAGGTGGAAGTAAGAGCCCAGTCGCAGACATTGTTTCTTCTCGTGAGTTTAGCGTTGAAAGCAAGGAAGTGGACCAGGAACCTTCTGGAGAAGGTATTATCGGGGTTGATGGGTCTGAAAGTGAAGAAGAAACGGAGGAGATGATATTTGGGAGCTCTGAAGCTGCAAAACAGTTCTTAGCAGAGCTGGAAAAGGCTTCTGGTATTGAGGCCCATTCTGATGAAGCTAACATTTCAAACAATATGTCGGACAGGATTGATGGCCAGATTGTCACCGATTCTGATGAGGATGTAGACACCGAAGATGAAGGTGAGGAGAAAATGTTCGATTCTGCAGCTTTGGCGGCACTTTTGAAGGCAGCCACTGGTGGTGGAAGTTCAGAAGGTGGCAATTTTACCATAACATCCCAGGATGGTACGAAGCTTTTCTCCATGGATCGCCCTGCTGGTTTGAGTTCATCTTTAAGGCCTCTGAAACCTGCAGCAGCTCCACGTGCAAACCGTTCCAACATCTTTTCTACTCCTAATGTCGCAATGGTTGAGGAGAGTGAGGTTAACTTGAGCGAGGAAGAGAAACAGAAATTAGAGAAGTTGCAGAGCCTCCGTGTGAAGTTTTTGCGGCTTTTGCAAAGGTTGGGGCATTCAGCAGAAGATTCAATTGCCGCGCAGGTTCTTTACCGTCTTGCAATACTTGCTGGGCGTCAAACAGGGCAGTTATTCAGTCTTGATGCTGCAAAGAAGAAGGCTGTAGAGTCTGAGGCTGAGGGAAACGAAGATTTGAACTTCTCTCTAAACATACTGGTCCTTGGAAAAGCTGGGGTTGGAAAAAGTGCTACGATAAACTCCATTTTGGGAAATCCGAAGGCCTCCATTGATGCTTTTGGGCTCTCAACCACTTCGGTGAGAGAGATTTCTGAAACAGTGGGTGGGGTCAAGATTACCTTTATTGATACCCCGGGTTTGAAGTCTGCTGCGATGGATCAAAGTGCAAATGCAAAAATGTTGTCTTCTGTAAAGAAGGTAATGAAGAGGTGCCCCCCTGATATTGTTCTCTATGTGGATCGACTTGATACTCAGACCAGGGACTTGAACAATTTGCCCTTGCTAAGGACGATTACTGCTTCTCTTGGTACATCCATATGGAAAAACGCCATAGTGACATTGACCCATTCTGCTTCTGCCCCTCCTGATGGCCCAGGTGGCAGTCCTTTGAGCTATGATGTGTTCGTATCGCAGTGCTCACATATTGTTCAACAGTCTATTGGGCAGGCTGTTGGTGATCTACGTGTGATGAACCCTAGTCTGATGAATCCAGTTTCTCTTGTTGAGAATCACCCTTTGTGTAGGAAGAACCGGGAGGGAGTGAAGGTTCTTCCGAATGGCCAAACTTGGAGACCTCAGCTGTTGCTATTGTGTTACTCCCTGAAGGTTTTGTCAGAAGCAAATTCTTTACTGAAACCTCAAGAGCCTTTGGACCATCGTAAAGTATTTGGCTTCCGAGTTCGAGCCCCACCTCTCCCTTACTTGTTGTCTTGGCTGTTGCAGTCCCGTGCACATCCTAAGCTCCCTGCAGACCAAGGTGGTGATAGTGTTGACTCTGATATCGAAATTGATGATGTGTCTGATTCTGAGCAGGAGGATGGGGAAGGTGACGAGTATGACCAGCTGCCACCATTTAAGCCTCTGCGAAAAACCCAACTTGCAAAACTCTCAAAGGAACAGAGAAAGGCATATTTCGAGGAGTATGATTACCGGGTAAAGCTCCTGCAGAAGAAGCAATGGAAAGAGGAATTGAAGAGGATGAAGGAAATGAAGAAAAACGGGAAGAAGGTTGGTGAAAGTGTGTTTGGTTTTCCGGGTGAAGAAGAGGATCCGGAAAATGGTGGTCCAGCTGCAGTGGCAGTTCCATTACCTGATATGGTCTTGCCACCTTCATTTGACAGTGATAACTCAGCTTACCGATACCGTTTCCTGGAGCCCACTTCACAGCTCCTAACCAGGCCAGTTTTGGATACCCATGGTTGGGACCATGATTGTGGGTATGACGGTGTCAATGCAGAACACAGCCTTGCTATAGCAAGCCGGTTCCCTGCCACAGCTACCGTCCAAGTCACCAAGGACAAGAAAGAGTTCAATATTCATCTGGACTCCTCGGTGTCTGCTAAGCACGGGGACAGTGGATCCACCATGGCAGGGTTCGATATCCAGAATGTAGGTAAGCAGCTTGCATATGTGGTCAGAGGAGAAACGAAATTCAAGAACTTGAGGAAGAACAAGACGACTCTTGGAGGGTCAGTGACATTCTTGGGCGAGAACGTTGCCACTGGTGTCAAACTGGAGGACCAAATAGCTCTCGGGAAAAGGTTTGTGCTTGTGGGCAGCACAGGGACCATGCGATCACAGGGAGATTCGGCCTATGGTGCAAACCTCGAGGTCAGGCTTAAGGAAGCTGATTTCCCAATAGGCCAGGACCAACACTCGTTAGGGTTGTCTCTGGTGAAGTGGAGAGGCGATTTAGCCCTCGGAGCCAATCTACAATCTCAAGTCTCTGTTGGAAGGCACTCGAAGATAGCACTTCGTGCAGGGCTTAACAACAAGATGAGCGGGCAGATCACAGTCCGAACCAGCAGCTCGGATCAGTTGCAGATTGCTCTCACGGCCATTCTTCCAATTGTTATGTCCATCTACAAGAGCCTTCGACCAGAAGGGGTGAATGACAAGTACAGCATGTACTGAATTTGGCTGCATCTTCCTCTGCTGATGGATGCTGGAGAAGGATCTTTATGTTACTGGTTTTAGTTCATGTTTTTTTTTCCCCTCAGTTTAATAAAAACTTTTGTTGAGTTTTTTTCTCAAAGTTGTATTTTGTTCTGTTGAGAGCTACTTGTCGGATTTATCTTGTATCAGTAATTCTTCAGTTTCAGTAATTCCTCAGAAAATGGAGTCTAGTTCAGTCTTCTTTTGGTTCTATTTCTCATGCTGATGATGTTGCTTGGATTGTGTTTGCTCATTGTAACTTCAGTAACTGCTGAAGATAGTTAAAGGCTCGTTGAAGAATCTAGTCAGGTGCGTACTCTAAATCTGTATTCACTTGCTTTTGTACAGGAACCCACATCTCAATTTGTTCTTCACCAGGATCTTACTGTTCTTCCTTGGTCCCTTCAATGCAGTGCTAGAACTGGATATTTGTTGGTGAAGTCAATCTGTGAATATTGCAAAGCCTCTAACTTTTGGGATGACCAGAGAGGCTGCAAATGCATGGCTTCAGTCACAATTCACTGGGTAGCTGTAAAGTCAGGAGAGTGAGGGTTGCTTCTCATAGCGTTTAAGGTGGCCAAGGTACAAATCAATCCATGGGTTACTGTTTCTCTCTTTAGGTCCTACGTCTTTGCTCTTATTGAGTCAAGAGAAGATGAGTGATTGATGATTAAAAAAAAACACAAAATTGCTGCTCTAATTGTTTCTATCATTTATAGAGAGGTGAGTAGTTCCTGAAATCTCATGTGTTTTGTCTTGTCTGATCTACAAGCTTAAGACGATATCTTACTTGTCATTTTCAGACCCGACGAAGCAAGGAGACTTTAAGGATAAGAACGTCCAAAGTCTCAGGTCAAACTCGCACTAAAGTCTTTGTTTGTATACTTTTCTCACTAATCAGTAACTCCGTAGTTAAGGCATTGCAGATTTTGTAATAAAGAACTATAAGTTGTTTTACTATAGAAGAGCTTGAAGATGAGATAAATAGTTTTTTGATTCAACAAAGATCTCTCAAGAACACACATAACTGAGAACAAAAACAGAAAAGTAAAACAGAGTACTGAGAAATCGGGCAGTAAGGCAGCCACTTATTTACTCTGAGCATTATTATTGTGACTGACGCAGGAACCATTTCGTTTTCCTCTTGTAGAAATTTCTCACTGAAGGATCTTCTGGGAAGCTGGCCTCTTGGTGATCTCAGCCACCCACTCGTTGACGCGTGGACGCTCGGTGAAGAGCTTCTTGGTGGGAGTTCCGAGCAAGTATTGAATCACGGGAATGTGGTGAAGATCGGTCAAAGTGAAAGTTTCACCAGCCAAATACTTGAACTCCTTGAGCCTAGCCTCGTAGACATCAAGGACCTTGGCTAACTTAGCCTCTTCTTCTGCAACAACGGCTTGGTCTGTGGTCAAGCCATAGATTTGCTTGAACACTTGTTCCCAAGCAAGCTTTGAAGCCACTGGGTCGAAGTGGTGACTTTCTACTTCCAGTCCAATGGCCATGATTGCATAGTGGGCTATGTTCTTGGAGTCGGCTGGGAGAAGGTCAGTTCCTTGGTCTTGGTATCGGTGAGCTATGTACTGAGTGATCGCTCTTGATTCTGCACAAAAGATCATGTTAGTGATTTTTGTCAAATCAGATTTGAGATCGAAGACACAGATGCAGGGGAACGTTCATACCGAAAAGCTTGAGATCCCCATCTTCAAAGGCGGGAACTTGACCAAAAGGCTGCAGCATCAAACCAAACACAAAACATTCAAGATTCAGACCAAAATGGTTGTCCTTGTCTGAAAAGTCAAAACCCATAGATAGATATATATATACTTACGTTGCGGGCGAGGAAAGCCTCTTGCTTGTGCTCACCGTCCTTGAGCTCGACGTGAACAAGTTCAAAGGCGAGGTTTTTCTCGTGGAGGGCGAGGAGGACTCTCCTGGTGGAAGTGGAAGCAGCGTGTCCGAAAACTTTGATACCTGCCATTGATTTGATGTAGAAGACTGAGAAAGAAGAGAGAACAGAGTAAGAGATGTGATTGTTTGATGTTGAAGGTGATGAAAATAAAGACACAAGTGGTGTTGGTATTTATACAGGTTAAAAAACAGAGCATTTCTATGCATTCTCATTAATGTTTAACATTATTTTACAGATAATAATGCATCTAAACGACCGTCGCAAACCAAAATTGACTAGTCTTCTTGGATGATTTTTCAAAGTGGAATTCCATTGATTAAAAACGTTTGAATATTTGTTTTTTTATTGTCACCACAATATTTTTAAAACTCAAAATAAAGCATTCAATGTCATCGGAGAAAAGATCAAATAATTGCGTACTAACGGCCAATGGCTCAAAGTTCCACCTCATTATTATATTCAAGCTTCATCTAGTAACTTGACACATCTTGGTTATTTCCGGTTCGGTCTTGCTTTGGATAATCGACAGGCCCTCTCGGTTAAATGGGTTTCTCTTGATGTGAAATTTGGTAGAACAACGGTATATGTTCAATCCGGGCTTCGGTTAGGACTTTTCGGATTTAGAATTATACTACCCGATATAAACCCAAATATACTATCGATTGGTTTATATGGTTCGGTTTTTCCAAACCAAATACTCAATGGAGCAATGAATTGAAGTGTGAAATTCTGGTATGGTTTTCCAATTTCCGGCTAAAGATCTATTCCTCTAATGTGGAATTCGATATATAACATTCGGTTCTTCTACCGGTTGGTTTAAAAAAATTATTCGTAATTTGGAATTCAAACTTTCGTGTAAAAAACAAACCTTTTAAAGTTGTTCATGCAATATGAACAAATGTATAAAGAATGATAACTAAAGATGTTAAGAAGATTGAATTTTCAAATGATTTTCTAGAAGAAAAGTCCTCTCATTTTGACAATTTGTAGAAAAATACAAAAAAAAAAACAGCATAAGAATAAACAATGTGTAGCCTATTATATTCCCTTAAGCTTGTTCCAAAAGATCTGTCTTTTTGGCAAATCCATCTAGTTTTTTTTTTTTTGGTTTGGGATTAGTTTTGTAATGTTTTCACTAGGGAATTATAATCCGAGTTATTAAGCCCACATCTTTAAGCCCATTAGATAAAAGCCCATAAGTTTTGTGTACATATGTATCAAAGCTAGATTTTAAAATAACCTAATTTCACTGCAACGTCTTCTCTTTCGTCTTCGGTTCTCATAACATCTTTGCCGTTAGATTCCATAAACGAAAAGTAAGATTAAAGAGGTATCTGTGAATTATTCATTTATAGGATGATGAACAAGAAGGCGCCGGCGCCTGAGTACTATGGATCTGAATTATCGGTGTGGTGGGACATGGACAAGTGTCCGATTCCCGATGGTTATGATGCTTGGAAGGTCGGTCCGTGTACAAAAGCGGAGCTGGAGAAGTTAGGCTACTCTGGTCCTCTCACCATCTTTGGCTTGGGTGACCTAAAACAGATCCCTGAACTCGTCTTGCAAGCCTTATTTTCCACTGGGATCGTTCTTAAAACAGTCCCAAACAGTTAACATTCTCATCTCTTTCCAAGTACTGTTTTATTATCTCAATTAGGGTTTAGATTTTTCAACTGTCTCTTTGCTTTCCTTTACAGGAACACGACGCTCAAGCATTTATTGGTTCATGTTATTTTGGAAACTCAAGCATCCCGGTCCGCATACAATGATGGTCATAACCGATTCCCTCGGTCTCGATCACTTCTATGGTGCTCTTTCCTCGCACCAAGAAAGACATAAATGCAACATTCTTCTGGCTTATCCAGATGATGCGATTCTGAAGGAAGATTATTCCCTGGTCATTCACCGGTGGTTCTGGAAAAGCTTGCTGAAAGGTGTCTCTTTCTTTCAGAGTGTTGAAAATAACTTTGATATATAGAAGATGTTGTTTATGAACCAGTTTAGGGTTTTTTCCCCCACAGACGCCAAGAGCAGTGCAACTGGTGATTTTTCTTGCGGAATATGCCGCTTTGTTTGCCAAAGCTTTGAAACAAGTCACGAAGCATCTCAAGGGTGAAGCACATGCACTGCAAGTAAGCATCCTTTCGAAGAAATTGACCCCCACGTGTGTTATTGCAGGAGCTTGGACTTGGGCCAAAGGAAACTTTCTTAACGCCGTTGATCCGGCCAAAGGCCAAGAAGATGAAGGTTGGCTTTTATTCCGTCACAAACTGCACTCCAAATGTGAACGTGATTTTTGGCTTTTAATTCTATTTTAAACATTGTAGAGAAAGGCCAAGAAGATGAAGGTTGAAGCCGGAGTTGATTCGACCAAGAAGCAGCCAAAGGCAAGTAAACCTGATTTCTCTCAGTTGCTGGACTCCACATGTGAACATGACTTTTGTTTTGAGCGCTCTTTTAAAACATTGCAGAGAAAGGCCACGAAGATGAAGTTGGCGTATGAAGCATCAACCCCAAGACCATGAATGAAAAGTGTGTTGAGGCTTTGAAGCCTCGTTTCTCAAGTCTCAAATTACATTTTAGTTTAAACCAAAATACTGATTTTATGGGGAATATTTTGTTTTAGTTTGGCAACGGCTTAAATTATGGATTGGTTGGAGACAGTAAAACTGCCGTGAGCTTTTGTCATGTACTACATATATAATATTTGAAATTCAGAAAAAAAAATCCGAAACTATATAATAGTGCTTACTTGCTCCCTTGACGGCCGAAATAGTTTGTCTCTCCGTCGTCAACTGAATAACCCACACGCACTTCAAGTGCTTTCTTTCTCCCTTTTAGTCTTCGTGAGCTGTAATTTCCGCGGGATTTTCATTCAGATTTCCTATCGGATGAGTTTGAGATTGATTTCTGCGCATCTACTGGATTTAGACTGAAATTTAGGTTTATGATTTGCTCTCTCTTGGTTTTTTTGAATTTTCAGCTGAAGAAAATAATATTAGACCAATCTGTATTTTTGACAAATCCATCTATTAAACATATACAATGTTTTATAGTCCGCACACAATACAGACCGATCACCTAGTATTGTATATTAAGGATATTTTATTTGTATATGATATATATTTTTCTTGATCTATTGTTAATTAAACAAAAATTGATTTTACTAACTTTACTTATTTTAGATGGTTGGTCCGCACATTCGTGCGTACTAACTACTTCACCGCTCTTAGAACATATAAATATTATTACAAAAATATAAATTATCAAATAATTAAAATTAAAATTGGACTATAATCGAGGTTAATTCAAAATTATGCATTAAAAATGTAAAGTGACATTTATTTGTGAAACAAAAATAAAACCTTAAAATGACACTTATTTTGAAACGGAGCGAGTATTTATATCCCGCACATTTGTAAAAAAATCAAAGTATGGCTTTTATGTGTAAAAAAAGAATAATAAAGTATATATTTATAATATATATATATATATATATTTATACTTATAATACACAAGTCAATTGGCAATTTTCAGTTTGACACATGTACTTTTTATATATACTAGGTTACTACCCGCACGTTCGTGTAGGGTAATGTTTGTAAAAATATTTAAGAAATATATATAATTTATTAAGTTTTGAAAAATATTTGGGTATCTAAAAATATTCAGTCAAGATTTGAGAAAATTTAATTTTTTTTTTTAGTTTAAACTTATACAAAGCGAGATTTACATTTACTTTCGTCTGAGGTTTCGAAAAATAATATACTTTTTCCATTTGTATAATATGTGATTCAAAGATGTTGCAAAATAATAAATACTCGTAGACCCTAAAATATAGAAATAATTTTTATTTCTATTAATAAAACAGGTAACTAATTTAATTTACTAAACCAATAAAATTATTGAATAATTTGTGATTGGTTCGATTTAAATTCTATTTAATTTAAGTGATTTAAAATAAAATGTTTGGTAATAAGGATAACACACAAAAATTAATCAATAACATTTTTAAGAAAATGAGATAATGACATCTAAGCTAATGCTTCATGTTTAATATATGTTAGATACTTTCTAAATAAACAATGATTCATTTCAATTTTCTGTCATATTTATTTAAATCAAATTGTTTAAATTATATACAAAAACCTAAATATTAATTACAGATTTTTAAAACATTAAATTCAATTAAAAATAAATAATTAGAAAATGTTTTGTTTGATTGCAAGAAAGATTGTGTTTGGTTGCAAGAATAAAACATTTAAGTTTTTAACCATTATTGAGATTTAAAAAATTTTAAATTCCGAGATAATGACCTATAAGCCACTAATGTTTCCTGTTTAATATATGTTAGATTTTATTTCTTTTTTTTCATAACAAAAATTGTATTTGTTACCCACGAGCCACTATCTCCATTCTATAAATTATTTTCTTTTTTTCAACCATCTAGATATTGTTTTAAGCATAATTATCTTCACCAATAGTATTTTGACAGGTTACTATGAAAATAACTGTGTGTGAGTTTTGGTAATTTTTTGAAATCAAAATTAAATACTCCACGATCCAGGATCCATTTGTTTTGGATTTCATCTCTTTAAATTCAAAACCACAACCTTCTTCCTTAGTAATCTCAGTTTTACAGTTTAAATGATACATATCTCCCAACGATTCTTTTCAAAAAAAAATACTTAAGATAAGATGGTAACAGAAACAACAGTATAAAAAGTGTTAAAATTATATACAAATATATGGTCATATTAATACTATACGATAATAATTAGTATATACTTTATTCATTTGGTATTTTAAGTAATGGTTCGAGAAGACAAATTATTTTAAGTTATGTTATTTTTTAAACTTTCAATAAAATTTAATTATTATTTTACTATTTTAAATATATTTATTCTTTAAATTATTTGTATCATGATTGTATTTTATTTTAAACTAGGTGTTTCTCTGCACCTTGTGCAGGATTCGATTAATTTTTTTCAAAAGTATAACATTAGTTTATTTATAGATAAAAAATCAGATTTTATAATGATTCGAAACCAAACTTAATATATCTGAAAAAATATAATTTTCATGAGTATATAATTTTTTTGTGATAAAGTAAAATATATTTTTTATTTTTTATTTTCTAATATCTTTTATATTATTCAATAAAAACTTATAGGTATGCTTTACTGTTTTGTTGCATTTATCAAACATGATAAACAATTCTCTTCTTTTGATGTAAATTGCTAGATTAGGATTAATAAAATTCAAAATTTTCATAAAAAAACATAGCAATCCAAAATGACCAAAACCAAAGAATCTTTATTTCATATCAATTTATCATTAATTAATATATATAGAATTGTAAAAGAATTTAAATGATTTAGGGTTTTACTTATGATCGAAGAAATCAATTAGGTTAGTCAAAAATATTAGTAGGTTAAACAATCAAATTAAAATTAGTTTAATGAAATAATTAGGATTTTTTTATTTATGCTAGTTACCTTTTATTAGTATACTCAATATTTTTATCATATAAACTCGAATTTGGAAATCTGGATTTAAAAAAAAAAACAAAAATCAATTAAAAATTATATTATATTAATTTATTAATTTCATTAAGGTAATTATAATAAATTCACATAAGGAGCAAAATATAATCAACCATCATATCTCTCAACTACAGCCGAACTTGCTTCTCAATTAACAATATGACTAGGTAATCAGCGTGCGCCATATGCAGGCTATAAAACATTTGATATGTTCAATTATGATTAGTATAGTATTGAAAATGCTTTATTTATATGTGTTGGGACCCATTTAACAGGGTCGAATGAGGACTCGCCACCACGTAGGCCTAAACTACATCGACTACTGACACATACCACGCTAACTCGGTCGACCCACTCCCGCGTACTGTATCGGGGCAGTTGGCGGGCTTTCCCTATCACGCCAGAATGATTATTTCCACCTGCTCCCCGACCATGCATCAAGATCACAAGTGGACTCCACGTTCCTCCCCCGGGTGACTGTCGACCAGATTAAGTTATCTCTGACCTGGAACCTTGCCATTGTACCCGCTGCATCTCCCTTCTCACAAGTAGAAACCCCTCTTGAAACACTCTAAACCTGATAGGAGTCTCGATCTCCGAACGTGACCCCTAACGATCAACCCATAGAAAACTCCCCCCTCCCCCAAGTACTTGTTCACGGTAGGCTCATCTGACGTTTGCTTAAGTGCTTGCAGGATCAAATACGGTACATGCCCCGCTGCACAGCGACAGAAAGCTTCCGCCCTGGAACAGCGATTCGCCGCCTTTCCCCCAGAGGACGAAACTCGGAGACCCGGCTCCACCCCCGAAGAATTAAGACCCCCCACGTTATCTCAAAATTTGCTACCGAACGATATGATAAATTAACATTCAATAATAAAAAATGATAAATTAAATTTAGAATGTTTTAGATTTCAAAAGAAAATGAAGATAAACAAAATATTAACTAAAATTTTAACATATTTTCTTAGATAAAAAAATGTAAATATGACAACTAAATAAACAGAAAAACATTAAAATTTATAATAATTCATTTAATTTTTATATTTGGTATGCACGCATGTGCAGGTATAATTTTTTTATAGACATAATTAGTTGTAATATTTAACTATAGATTAATTTTCTTATACATTATGTAAACGTCATATTTTTATACATATATAGTTTTAGTGTTCTACAACAATCAAACAAACGTTCTTATCGTTTTGTGTCTTTTAAAATTTTTTTAATTTTTTCATAGCGTTTACAGTAACATATAATTGCAAATGTAAAAGTTATATTAAATAATAACTAAATTCTTTTAATATGTTTTGAATATTATCTATACTATACTTTTTTTTTCTCCTTACACAATATAATCTTGTCAATATATATTTGAAGTTTTTTTTTCCTTCACCTATTGCTAATTAAACCAAAATGAATTTTATCATATTTACTTATCCTAAGAGCGGATAGATCGTGTGGACCAACCACCTCATCGCTCATAGGACATATAAAGGTTTTTAAAAAAATATAAATTATCTAACAACTAATTAAAATTATAGCGTAATCAAGGTTAACAAAATGTATGCAGAAAAAATTTGCATGCGAGTTTGAATTTTTCACAATTAATATTTATATATACATGCACATTTGTAAGAAAATCGAAGTATGGGTTTTATGTGTTTTTTTTTGTCCAACATTTTCTCCATTAAATTAAGACGATGTTACAAGTCGAGGACTCCATGCCAAAGAGTACGAGTTACAAACAGACAACGCTAACACATTATTAAAGTACAGAGCAATAAAAGCATAAGATAGGAGATTACAATCATAGATAGTAACCCAAAGTACCTGGAAGAGGGCTAGTTGTTTAACCAACAAAGGTGAAAGAAACACAATTTTAGCTCGTAATGCCATGAAGGCTAAGCGTTTGATGGTGTTCTTCATATGTGTTAAAAGAAAATAACAAAGTATATGTTTTGTAATATATATTTTTATAACGTATTTGATTTTTTAAAAATAATAATAAGCATATTAATGCATGTAAGTATGAGTTAGAAATAAGTAAATTGTGATATTTAGGTGTTGGTAAGTTTTTCTGATATTTTCTGCAAATATTATATTTTTACACGATGTAGTTATTGGTATTTAACGCGACTTTTTATTTCGGGAAAATGCGACTTTTTATTTCGATAGAAAAAATAGTTTTGACAAAAAATTTGATTTTGTGGTTTAAATTAAATGATATTTTTATTTGTTAATTTTTGAGATTCAAATGCTGCATCAAATCTCTATTTTTTAGCATTTTAAATATCCAAATTTTGAGATATTATAGAATTTGTATTAGATAAAATATTCATATACTGATTTAAAAATATTTAAAAGAACAATATTTGAGAGCATTTGCATCCAAATAAGTATCTGGAGGCAAAAACAAACAAAGCCTAAGAATTTTAGTTACAAACAAATAAAATCTCTCTTGCATTATAATACATAATATTTTAAAATATTTGTTACAAAATTTAACAAAAAATCTGCTAATCAAAATATTTTTTTTTATTTTATAAAATCAAGCCTAAACATAAAATCATGATGTTAAAATAGTTAATATAATCTAATAAAAAATTTCCGTTTGGGCGACAATTTTAGATTTAATAATATAAGCTAATTTTTCTTTTGAACAAAAGTTTACTATAAACCGATTTTTGCTATGACCCAATAATATTTTATAAAAAGAAACCTGCGTAAGTGCACGAGTCCAAAGTCTAGTTTAATTTAAACTAGGTGATCGGCTTCTATCGTGTACGGACTATAAAACATTTTATATATTTAATATATGATTAATATTGTATATTGAAAATATTCTATTTGTATATAATATATATTTTTTCTTGGTTTATTAATTAACCAAATATGAGTTTTACCATCTTCACTTATCATAAGAATGGGTATACCAACCACCTCACCGTTCTTAGGACATATAAATATTTTTTACAAAATATAAATTGTTTAATAATTAAGAATACAAATTGGACAGTAACGATGTTAACAAAATCCATGCACGACAAGTTCGTATGCGACTTTGACTTTTGCATAATTAATATTTACATCTATACGCATATTTGTGAAAAAAAATCGAAGTATAACTTTTATGTGTTAAAAAAAATAATAAAGTATATCTTTTGTAGTATATATTTATAATTTGTTATGATTGAATTTTAAAAATTACAAAAAAAACTCTAAATAAAAATTGAGATATAAGATTTTACTTTACTATGAAGATAAATATAATATACTGGATAATATATTAGTAAATTTCCTTTTCAATAAAAATAATAATAAAATATTGTTATAAATTTGTGAAATCATATTTTATAAAAAATTTCTTTAGCTCTCCGCTCATCCAATATTGTGTGTTAGAGCATAAACTTTTTAGTGCTATCAGTTCCCATAAAGTTCTTGGAGCAATTCCCATAACGTTTTTCTCCATTTATTTTTGAACTGCTATCACTTCTTTTTAGTTTTGTATAATACAAAATCGACACCAATTCCCAATGATTTTATATAGAATTTGAAAATCTTCATACTAATAAAGCAATAACAATGGATTTTTAATAAGAATGTTAAAATCTTATGTATCAATAACAATAAAATCTCAAAATTTGAACAATGTGGAAATCGATATAACAATTGAATTTTCTACTGGTTGCTTAAAAAAATTCTTTGTATTGTAATCTGGAATTCAAACTTTGGTGTAGGTAATAAAACAACCCTTTTTAATTTGTTCATGCAAGGTAAGTATGACCAAATGTATAAAGAATGATAACCAAAGATGTTAAGAAGATTGATTTTTCAAACGATTTTCTAGAATAAAAATCCTCTCTTTAAGAAAAAATACACAAAAAAACAGCACAAGAGTAGACAATTTGTAGCCTATTATATTCCCTTAAGCTGTCCCAAAAGACCTGTCAAGCTCGTCCATTTCTCAAATGCACTAGCTGAAGAAACGAAAGCCAGCTTCGATGACTCTATATCGTTCTTGTTCACTGCGAAAACAAATCAAAACCAATATTCAAGAAGATGTTTACTATGTTTAAAACAAACAGTTTGATAATAGTGAATGGAGAAGTTAAGAAGAGAAGAGACCTGATGTAATAAGAGAAGCTAAAGATGAATTGAATGTTTCCACCTCCGTATTCTCCTCTGGGCTTGAACTCAACTGTCATAAGAAACACAAAGAAGAAGCTTCAACATACAATAACAAAGTCTATACATGTAAACAGCAATTGAATTGAACCAAAGGAGCAAGAAAGACCTTTGTGAAAGCCAAATTAACGGATTTGACCCATTCGGTATCAGTGCCTTTCCCCAAAACAGAACCAGCAGCTGGTAGATCATTCTTCTCAATGGCTTGCCCTACTTTGCTTAACTTGTAAACAAGATCCTGCAAATACCCTGCAAACACACTAATTGCTTTTAGATTTGGGAACCAAGACCACTATGAAGATAAGGGAACACACAACTAGATTAGATTTGACACTGGAACAAGCCAATATAACTAAGCAGACCATAGCACAAAGTAAAAGCACATTTGTCCCCAGAAGAATAAAACTTTTCCATCAATTTGTTCTGATTACTTCATGTTGCATTGGAAGAAGATTAAGGGAACAAAACCAGTAGCCATTTAACTATGAAGACCATACCACAAAGAGTAAACACATATGTCTGTGTAAATGGCATTGGAACAAGCCAATTAACTATCAAGACTAGAGTAACCTGTCTAATTCTTCAGGTTATTGTTGAGCAACAGTATTTCTAGGTTTTACTAAACACAACCAAGCATTTGCAAAATCCTCAACACATAGACAAAATAACAAAAGTCAAGTTTTGCAATAACCTTAACAACACACACACAGACAAAAAAGATGAAAGATTGATTGTTACAGTGAAAATGTCAAGAAGTACCCTTCTCCTTGACGGCAGAATTAAGAACAGCTTGTCTCTCGATCCTCTTTTTCCGATCTTGCTTCACTTTCTCCAGAAGCTCTTCATCGTCATCAGCTTCAAGAATCGCTGCATTCGCGTCGCGGCTTCTTCTGTCACTACCGGCGAGACCAACCGCAAGAAAGCTGCCCATAAATCCAAGCGACAATTCTCGTCTGTTCCATGACAGAGACGATGTCTGGTTCTCGCTGTTTCCAGAGTACGCAATTTGGGTCTTCTTCGAAGAAGTTGGTGAAGAGATAGTGGAGCAGAAGAATGGGTTTAAAGTTGAAGAACAAAGGAGTGATTTCGCCATTTTTCGTTGTCGTCTTCAAAATTTGTAATTAGCATTTTTCGGAGGATTGGTTTATGGTTTAGGTGATGGTGAATTTGATGATAAGGTAAGGTCCCTCTCGCTACACTTGTTGCGTTGTGTTGTTTTCCTCCAATCACTCACTCTCCCCTACTTTTCATTTATTTTCTTCTTTCACCCACAATTTTGCAATCTTTGAAACTTTTACCATTAACAAGTAACCAATACAACCATTAGCATTCTAAGACTTGCTAAATTATCGAAAAAAAAGAAGATCCTTTAGGCCATAGAATTAGAAGCTAATCCACAATATTTTTTTTATTTTACTTCCACCACCAAAACTGTCGGAACAAAAACAACTTCCTCATTCTATTATTGTAAGCCATGAAAGCTCTAGCTTTGACTGGATCACCATTCAGATACTCAAACGCATACATCTGTTTCGCTTCTTCCAATCCATCAATCTCCATCACTGCTTCCAACAGTTCCTCTGTACTGATCGAGCTTTTGCTTTGATCCACCGCATCGGCCAGGCGACGAATGCTAGAAGCAACCGTTAGCATCGCTTCTCGGAACGGGTCTGCGTGTCGAGGTCGCTTATGAGGCTGCCTTAGAGGGTTTTGAGGAGGAGGAGGAGGAGGAAGATTCTGAGACTCTTCATGCAAATACTCACCTGCCCCTGCGTAGGACTCTGTTCCATCTGTATCACTGTGGTTTTCTGAGCTTGGTGAAGAGAATGAAACAGAGTCTTCTTCAAAGTGTTTGAAGTCGTTTACATGATGATTGCTTTCAGTCTTCACCTTGTTATATCGACCTGGAGCTTGACAGTCACCGCATACTATTCTAAGTTCTTCGTACATCTCAATTTGCTTTCCCCTAAATGCTTTCGCGTCTGGGTTTACCTGTTCCACCCATTTTTTAAGTTGTTATAATGGTGAACAAAGGAATATGGTCAGAGATTTTACGGTATAGATACATATGTAAATGAATACTTACAGCAATATATCTTTTCCAGAGCTCATCACTTTCACAATCGATCCTTTTCGTGTTGGAGTTCCACCAGAATCCATCTCGGCTAAGTATGTCTTTCATTACTCTGTACCTTTTCTTGATTGTCTTCAGGCGATTGATGACCTTTTGGCTATTCAGGTTTAGATTGAAACGAGTGTTAACCGCAACACAAGCAGCAGTGTATGCGTTCTCGTTGAAGCACCTGTCGATTTTGTTCCCGTTTTTCGCCTGGACAGCCAAAGCTTCAATCAGACACTTATCCATTCCAACGGACCACACAACATTTCTCCCTCTATGCTTCATCTCTGTTCTCTGCACTGGCAAGCCATATTGATCCATTCCTGATTCATTCATGCACAAAACCATGGAACATAAAGCACAATATGTCAAAACGTGTTTACTGATCTCACACTTCACAATAAAAAAAAACTCAGAAGTAATCAGAGAATGACTTCATACATGGAGAATATTGATCCATTCCTGATTCATTCATGTACAAAACCATGGAACTTAGACCACAATATGTCAAAACGTGTTTACTGATTTCACACTTCACAATTAAAAAAAAAACTCAGAAGTAACATCACCAGAGTGATCATGGAAGCACATGCAATGGTGTTGTGTTCACAGAGAATGACTTCATACACTCTGATGACAGAGACAGAGATTGTTCCACCCATAAAGAAGTAGAACATCGTCTGATAAAGTGTCTACTAGGCACTAAGCTGATACATAGACAGTGAGGTATCTTAATCATCTATAGCAACAACGACTGGGGTCTGGGGATACTGACAGCACCATAGTCCTAATAGTATCCAGAAATCTTCTTCTTCTTCATTATTCACTTTATATGCTTCTCCAAGGCATGAACAATCATCTAAACTAGTGGTACTGAACAATGAAAAGTAGCATTCAAAGAAAAACCATCTCTATGAAGCAGAGGTTCAATGCTACTGACAAAAGCTACTTAGAAATCAGACTGCATGTCTGTTAAATGTAGACCAACTTTGCTCAATTCATCAGATAGTTGTAGGGAGAAATTTAAGGGTTAAGCAAGGTTGAATCATATCATCTACTTCAAGCTATTCACTGCAGGAATGAGAAAGGGTTAAGGTTGAAGAAGGCTCCATTTCAATGGAATTTAAGCTACATAAGTCAAGAACAGGAAGCTCTATACGAAAAAAAACGATATAATCTCGTTCCAGATATTGAAGGAAGAGCTCTGAAGCTAATAATAAAGACTGTTCAAATGAGCCAAATGCGAAAACGATCTCGACAGAAATCAAATGTGCATACCTTCACTGAAACGAAATCCGATCGCCGATGAACGGAGGAGTCAAAAGTGACGGAAGTGCAGGTGCGACATTTACGAGGAGGAGAAGTTTAATTAGGGTTTGGCTTCCTCTTTTTTTCTTCTCTTTTTCGGGATTTTTTTTTTTCTTTAGAAAAGAGGGATTTAGTAAAATTTTCTCGAATCCGCCTGAGTACTTGTTTTCTCGACAACCAAAGTCGTCGATGAAATTTCCCCATTAGCGCTTTCGCAATACGGTGCGTTTTTAGAACCAGTGAAATGGACCCAGAATCGTGTTGGTCTGATTTTTTCTTGCCTTTTCCCGGAAAATTTCTCTGAATTTTTTTTTTTTTTCAGTTTTTGTTTTTGTTTTTTCATTCATTTACTAATCACCACCCTGCCACGTGTGATCAATCTATGCACAGTAAATAATCTCCGGATCAAATATAACGGGTCACTGACCCGACATTTTTCCTATTACCCTTAACGAGATAATTAATGGGCCCATACTTGGAAAGCCCGGTTAACGGTTCAAACCCGATTCTTCCCCACACGTAAGCCCTAGCCTCCTCCATCCTCTTATATATAGCCGCCTGCAACTTCTTTTCTATCAACGTCTTCAATTGAATGATGATCTCTAATCTTGACAGAATCCTTTTTAATTTTCTTGCTATGTTTTTCTAATTCTTGCTTCAATCGTTTTAATTCTTCTTTCTCTCTTTGATTGGTTCAATTGTTTTCGATTTTGATTTTTTTTATTCTTCGATTTTTACGTACTTTGGGTTTTGAGTGAAGGCAGTGATGATGAAAATCTACCTATTTTATGAGAAATTCTCTGATTAGAAAATTTACCAATGGATCCTTCTGAGCCTTCCCTTACAATTCGTTTTTTTGTTCTCGTGATTTTTCATAGTTCTGATTTCTTGTGTATTTTCCTGTTTTCCTTTTCTTTTTTTTTCGAGTTTGATGAGAAAGAGCCAATGGAATGATGATTACACCTATCGGAAATTATTGTGTCGACCAAACTACAGACTACAATTATCTGATCATATGGCTCTCATTTATATTCTTCATTATTAATTTGTTTTTTGCTTTCTCTTTTCCCTTTTTATTCATAATTTTACTTTTCTTGCCAATATCAATGGACTATGAATTTAAGAAGACCAAGGGATCTTTCTATTGCTGCCATTGAGACGAGTAAACGAATTTATCTTGAATAATTACCTACTTCAGACTAGATGAAATCTTATGGAATGAATTAACCTTTGCAGAACTAAATGCGACCAGATTAAAAATCTGATATTTACCTTTTTGATAACAATTAAACGAGCCGGTTTTGATTTTCATCTCCTCGAATATTGTATACCGACATTCTTAATGACTAGACTATTCACAGTTAATTGATACTCAGACATTCGTAACAGGTTTAGACATCGTTTTAGACGACAATTAATTCAATATCTACGAACATCACTAAACCCTGAAGCCTATTGACGTACATATAACTGGTTCTGATATCGATTTAAACAAATTGGTTATTCATTTGACCTAGAATAGACAGACGTTCTTAGATATATGCTAACTGTGTCTGAAGACAGGACAGGTATATGCTAACTGTACCGTGGGAAACAAGTATTGCGTATTAAAAAGAACCTGTGCCTCACATGTTTTAACGCCAACTGTTGTCTTGGTTCCGATGAGGGTGGTTGTTATTTGAAGCCAATTGACATAAAATTGACACTGGTCATGGTTCCTTCTTTAATTTATTATCTCTTACGAATCTTATGTGAGTTAACAATCAAAATGTATGTCTGAAGACAGCAAAATGGTAGTTGAACCGACAGAAACAAGTAATGGATATCAAAAGAAGCAAAATCTCATATATGTTTTAACGCCATCTTTTGTTTTGGTTCCAATAAGGATGAGAAGAAGAATCATGTTTCCTCGATGGTGCTTGTTGATGTTGTTGTCCCCTCATGTTAGGATGGTTCTTACTTGGGCTATGATCAGGACTCCAAGATTCAAATCCTGGATCATTACTACTCATGTACTGCTCATTCCCTTGGTAAGAAGAAGCCGATGCAATCCCGTTTGCTTGATGTGAATAGTAACTATTTTGACTCTGCTGGGATCTCCATGAGGCCGAAGTAGCTGTGCCCATTTGTCCTACTGATTCCCTAACCGCGTACGAGTTTAGTTGTTGTTGTTGTTGAAGATTTTGACCCTGATGAAGTCTTGGTTGCATTGGTTGTTGTTGTTGTTGTCTTTCTGTGAGTGAGTTATATGCTGATGGAGCATGTCGAAGGATCGACTGTTCGTTTGATGATTGCCATTGCGTTGAAGCAGCAGGAAGCTGAGTACTCAATCTAGCAACTGCGGCACCAACTTGGTTTTGCCTTGAAAATGGATTCCGAATCGCATCTTGGCCCCACCCACTCTGCAAAAATGGAACGAAACGCTCACTTCAGAAAAAGAATAACAAACAAGTGAACACTAAGGTCTTGTAATGCGGCTTTGTGCTCATCAGGTTATATCTAACAGCTGAAGAATCATAGTGCCAGTTTTACGATAGCTAGCTAGCCCATAGCCTGTATTTCTGTGGTTTCTTTTTCTAATAACTATGTGCGCCATGGATTTTTAAATCACCAACTATCATGTGATACAATTTAGCAGTATGAGGGTTGTCTTTTGGATTTTGTGGTTGCACCATAGGTTTTTCGAAAAACGCACCATTCCAGGATTGGTTGATGGAGTGGGAGATGGAAGGGAAACTTCAACCTTTTCTTCAACCTTCATCTTATATGAGCTAGTGCTTGAATTTGGTGCACCAGTTTTAATCACATCAAGCAGTTTTACCATATCTTGGCCGGCTAAATTACCGGGATTACCAGAGGTCAGCGCATGTATAAGATCCGGGTTCTTAAGTAACGCGGCTAATAACTCGAGATCAGGTTCCATGGAACTACTTTGAGATGAAGAGGTCGTGGCAGCACCAGCAGCAGTTCGCCGTTCATCAAGTGAATCCTGAGATTCTGTTACACTTTCTTCTGGTGGCTGCTGAGACGGGATTTCAGGTGTCAAACTGTCATCAAAGTCCATTTCCCTGTCCCATGGTTCCTTAGGATTCAAGGGTATAGTTTGAAGAGACTGATATGTTGTTTCTCTTTCTCGCCGGTTTCGGTTTTTCTGAACATCAGCCTCCTTGCTATCACCACCAGCCACTACTTTCCAGGTTTCGTCAGGTTCCATTCCTGCAGAAAACTAGGCATCAGAATGAAATCTGAATAGCCAGCCACCTATATATACGTGAACTAATGAAACATCCCTGATTAATTCAGTTTCAGCTATTCCACATATAAGTGGTCAGAGGAAGAATGATATACCTGGTGGTACATGCCAATCAATCTGTTTTCTCTTGCAATTCTTTAGAATTGTTTGTGGACTCATTTTCAACAAAACTCCCACTTTACTAGAAACGCTTTTAGGAGGTGTCGAAGGTTTTTTAAATTCATCAGCTTGTACTGGAACATTTGCAGCCGGTGAAATCACAGGCTGAACAGCAGAAGGTTCAGGTGTGTCTTCAGTCTTCGCTTCATTGCTCTGACTAGGTGGAGAATCCTTGGCTGACTGAATTGCCAAGGGCTTCTCAGGATCAATGGTTCTCGAATCACCAATCACACTTTGTAAAGGATCCTTTTTACTATTCTTGCTATGCATATAAAGAGCACGCATCTTCGCTTTCTGTATATCATCAGCTGACATAGGGCGGCTCCGACTTGAAGTTCCTATTCTAACCGTCTGGGGACTCCTTCCAGCAGCTTTTTGGCCTGGTTGCTCCACCATCTGAACTTTCCTGCGTTCTTTGTTATCTATTGCAAGCTAAGGAAACTGAATTTGAGCTATTAACTACAAGACAAGGTTTATCCTGAGCTAGTAAAAGGACCATAACATGAAGCAACATAGGTGATCGCTCTCTTGACATAGCAGGTTTCACATGTTTAACACCAATTCCATAATACAAGTAGCCTATGAGTTTAATATGCTTACTATCCAAATGCATCGAGAAGAATTTAAACCAACTAATCGGTGCTTCAATAAAAGAGCTCAAACATAAGGATACATGATGGAGATGAACCAAGCATGTGTTTCTTGGTGGAATCATCGGCAGACATAAGCAACAGTTTTGGACCCTGTGACGATTTAACCCTCCTGGACCAAAAGACAACCAATATTATAAAACCATCTAATCATCAAACGGGAACCTATTTTAGATGGAAGATAACAATGAAACTGGTACCTGCCGTTCTCTGACCTTCCATTTGATAGACTAAGAATATCTTCCTGTTACAGCACGGAAATAGATTATAAAGATTAAAGAATTGATGTGGTGCACATAGTATAGATTCATATTTTTGGCCACTTACAGGATTGCTACTATCATCCATGATTTCAGCAATACTGCATAACAAGAGAAAACGCTATGAGAAAAATGTAACTAAAAGCAAAATGGGAGGTACATAGAAAGTATCTAGCCAGCACATAAACCACAACTTGCCTCTGTTTCAAAAGCAATTGACTCTGCGAATCAATTTGTGAACTGTTACGATTTTGTTTCTTCATAGCTTGGATTTTCGCAAATAACTTTGTCCACCTTGATAACAAACCTTTTGCCCTGTTTGATATGTCTGATCTTCAAATCAGATAATGAAATCGAAGAAATCACAACACGAACTTTGACATTAATGAAATCTACAGAGCATTAAAGGTTTTCAGAAATTACACCTGGTGTCCTATAGAAACGAAGTCCATTGACGCTTTGTAATATGGCTGACATATTTTCAGGAGATGCTTTATGGAGAGGCAAGTGATAAAGAACCTGCGTTCTAATTATCAATTATCCATAATCCAACAAAATGAATTTTTTTTTTACAGTAATACACTTGCAAGTAAATAAATCTTGTACCTTCAGGATAAGAAGTAAGACACTTGTTTGCTCTTCAATTGCAGCTTGACTCAACCATGTTGTAAGTATCAAAACCCCTCCTTTTGATAAAAACCTGTGCACACACATAGAAAATGACAGTCACGACGGGAATATAAAAATAACAATATATAATAAGACATTAAGTGAGAGAGAACCCTCAATTCGTACCAGATCAGCACAGAAGAATCTTGTATCTGCATAATCCACTCCATCAATTTCGCCTGGCCCAAAAATGTCTCTTCTTTACGCAGCAGAGAAAATATATTCTCAACAAAATATTTGTCTGAATCACTGATGTCAGGTGGAATCTCCTCCTTTGGCATAAGAGCCACTGTTTCACCTTCACCCCAACTTATAGACGATGCCTCTGGATCCATAGAGTTCAAGGGAACGGGATCAACATGAGGTATGGCGTTGTTCTCTTCCGGAACGCCATCACCTTGTAAAGCATGCGTATTGGACAGCATTACCTTCTCCCTTGAAAGCCTCACCAGTTTCCTTACTCTTGTCTTTTGAGTAACAAAAAAGTCTCGAACCTGCCATTGAAAAAATAACAGAGATACAACCAAAGTCTCATGAGAACCTCAGCATGACCGACCTAAACAAACATAGGATTCAAAAAGCATTGCCAAACAGAATACGTATAAAGAAGAAGAACAATACCTGGGCAACAGTGATGCCAAATAGAGCACTTATCTCCCGACATTCCTTCTTACTTATAACATCTTTAATTGCGAAAACTGCTTGCAGATACTTAACTGCCTTTGGATTCAGTAAGTCTCTTGGCCGCTTTCCTGAAATGTTTACAAATTCATCAGATTAGGCATAAGCAACATTAGGGTGTGCTTTTTTGAAGAAACATAAAGAGAAACAATGAATCTAAACACTATATGTGATATACCCTATAAGACAAAGAGAGGAAGAGATGAAATCATAAAAGAGATAGCAGTGACAGACTTAGAATACCAAGACAATAATTACTAAACAAACGTAAAAAATGCTTGAAGGGGAGGAACTAAATAAGTCCAGTTATATGCACAAAAATGCCAAAAGATCCCACCAATATTAACAAGACTCACCAATTTTAATAGACAAAGCACCAGCAGCCTGCAAAAATGAAAACAAAACAGATCAATGTCTTTAACATAGAAGATTAAATCGATTACTTGAATGGAGAAGTGATACTGATACAAGTGCCAAACATCCTTCATCGTATAAACAGTTCAAACCATCACCATTAATGTACGAACCCACATTTACATATGAACCCAGCAATTAAATTATGAAGCAAAGTTTGAGTTTGTCAAAAGCAACCAGTTTAGAGCAGGAAAACGGAGAGGTCGAGCTATAGTTTTTGCTAGACTCAATACCGTTTAGAGAATGTAATACCAAATTCCGAATTGACTTATCCTTCTCAACTTTGCACACATCACCAAATCTACCATACACACCCAAAAGAAAAACACGAACTTTCGATTCCAGAAACACATTGAAACGATAACCCACCATTTCTTGCGCGAGGGGGTTAACGCCGGTGAGTTTGCATTGCGTAACGACGACATCTTGGAGCTGATCGATCTGGCTGTGGAAAATCTCCTTCTGCGAATTCAATAGCTCCATCAACGACTCCACCGAGCTCCCGATTTCTATCTCCTCCTTGAACGCGTCGTCCATGGCCGCCGACGGAAAACTCGAAGACCGATACGCAAACGGAATTCAAAATGTGCATCAGGGAACCCGCCCGTGCCGAGGCTCAGTGAATCGAACGTAAAGAAACAGCTGAGACGAGGAATTCAATGAACATGGTATCTAATTTTGGATGTGGGGAAGTCGAATCGGGTTAGGGTTTGGGTTCTAAAGCATAAACGAGTAAAGACTACTAAGGGGCATAAAGGTAAATAACGCAAGAAAATTATGCTAGTACAACGAAAAAAGCACAAAACGCAGCGTTTTGATGTAGATCGGCAACATAATGATGATAAAAACATAAAATTAAATTTGTTTTTTTTATTTGACATTGTTGATCAGGGTAAGAAATTAATTATTTTTCTCTTAATAAGAAGAGAGGATTTTGTTTCTGGGATATCTTTTTCCTTCACCGCCCTTCTCAAAGGTCTCCACCTCTTTCTCTCTATTTTTCGCTTTTCTGAACGATTTTCAGGGTTTTGATTATCTCTCGCGTATCTCTTGATCGCAAAAGCTCTCCCGATCCTTTTGAATCGGGATTCGCTGATCGTCAAGGTCTTTTTTTGGGGTACGCGAACGACTTAGTCTGATTAGGGTTTAAGATCTCGCGTTATCACTGCTAGTCTCGATTTCGCGCTTGTTTTGCTTCGTTTTAACATGGATTCTCAATCGTTTTGTTGTTTTTTCGCTTACCGACGCGATTTTTAGTCTGTGTGGGGGATCGGGATTGTTAGGGCTAAATCGGTTTACCGTGATTGCATTGGTACTGTGTGATTTTGTGATTATTTTCATGGATTGTTGTTTCTCGAGTGTGTATATCGATGCCTATGCTTCGTTTCCCTAATTTTCTGTCCATCTGATAGTTTGGGTTTTGTTTTGGGTGATAAAACCAGCTTCCAATTCGATAATGTGGGTGGTGTTGTGTTAGTGTAACCTCTGATGATTGTAGATTTTGTTGTTCCTCTCGTGTCTGCCATTTCATTCTTTGTTTGTATTTACCGTTGCCCTAAATTTTGGTTTTGTTCTTGGATAAGCTTAGGTTCTTGTGAGCTTCAAAAGCCATCTTTCACCATGGAGCGCAAGACGATTGACTTGGAGCAAGGATGGGACTATATGCAGACTGGTATCACCAAGCTGAAACGGATTCTGGAAGGACTTCCTGAGCCGGCATTTGACTCTGAGCAGTACATGATGCTTTATACGTAGGTTTTGATACTTGTTTAGTTCCGTGTAGCAGTTTGCTTATTTGTATTAGGTTGGTGTTGACGGTTGTTGGTTTTATGTGATTCCCAGGACAATTTACAACATGTGCACCCAGAAACCACCGCATGATTACTCACAGCAGCTTTATGACAAGTATCGTGAAGCATTTGAGGAATACATTAGCTCAACAGTGAGTCTCATTGATAAATATAGTTTCTACTTTGTTAACTCCCCGTGAACTTTGTACTACCTTAACTCATTATCTGGATCTTAAGGTTTTACTTTTGTGCATGGTTTCATATGCTAGCAAGTCCGGATGTTTATTATTAAGTTGATCAAACATTTTGATGATTTGGTCTCTTCTTATCTGTGTTTAGGTTCTGCCTGCTCTAAGGGAGAAACATGACGAGTACATGCTGCGGGAGCTGGTTAAAAGATGGTCTAACCATAAAGTTATGGTTAGATGGCTTTCCCGATTCTTCTACTATCTGGATCGGTACTTTATCGCTCGGAGATCACTTCCACCACTGAATGAAGTTGGCCTGACATGCTTCCGTGACCTGGTTTGGCATTCATTCCTGTGATATATTGGCTTTCTATTGCATCAAAAATGTTTAAAACTCATCCTTGATTTTGTTATTTCAGGTTTATAGTGAGCTGCATTCCAAGGTCAAAGAAGCTGTAATAGCACTTGTAAGTATATGGATTCTATAATGTGCATTTATCCCCAACTCTTGTTTTTGTCTTATTCAAGGCCTAACTTAACCTTTTGTTTTTTGATTTCAGGTTGATAAAGAACGGGAGGGCGAGCAAATTGATAGGGCGTTGCTGAAAAACGTATTAGATATATATGTAGAGATTGGAATGGGGCAGATGGAAAGATACGAAGTGGATTTTGAAACCTTCATGCTTGAAGATACATCGTCTTACTATTCTCGCAAGGCCTCAAGCTGGATCCAAGAAGACTCTTGCCCTGATTACATGCTGAAGGCATGACTTGTGTATCTTTTTCTAGATTTTGTTTTCATTCCACATAAGTTAAATGTATTTGTTAACTCGTGTACTTTTATGTTGCAGTCTGAAGAATGTCTAAAGAAGGAGAGGGAAAGAGTAGCTCACTATCTTCATTCAAGCAGTGAGCCAAAGCTGGTTGAGGTTAGTTATAATACATTATGCATGTACTTACACAAACCATGATTTTGCAGCTTTATTTTTTGAGACAAACTTTTCTCAGACTTCTCAGCCAAACATATATTATTATAAAGATTGATATTTATTTGGACTTGTTCTATAATCATTTGGATGCAGAAAGTACAACATGAGTTGTTGGTCGTGTATGCAAATCAGCTTCTAGAAAAAGAGCACTCAGGGTGCCGTGCATTACTGAGAGATGACAAGGTGGAGCTTCTTTTCTTTGTTTTTATTGTTAAGTAGTTAGTCTTTTTATTTCTACCTTTGATGAAGTATTTGTATACTCTCAGGTTGATGATCTCTCCAGGATGTACAGGCTTTATCACAAAATTGCGCGAGGTTTGGAACCTGTTGCAAACATATTTAAGCAGGTTTCTTACCCATCTTTGTTATTTTGTTATTTTCTTCCTTGTCTACTCTGACTCTCTTAGATTACTGTTCAACATTAATTGTAACTTGTAATTTGTATACAGCATGTCACAGCAGAGGGTAACGCACTTGTGCAACAGGCTGAAGACACGGCTACTAATCAGGTTCATATTGTTGTACTTTTAAATGTATCCCTTTTTCTACTTCGCCTGTGGTTACTAAGATATTCTTGATTCCACAGGCTGCAAACACTGCTAACGGGCAGGAGCAGGTAAAAACCGTGTCAGGTGATTCTACTAGTGAAGATGTTGGGGAATTTAGCAATTCACTTTTTCTTTCATTGCTTTCAGGTTCTTATCAGAAAAGTCATTGAACTACATGATAAGTACATGGTGTATGTCACTGAATGTTTCCAGAACCACACCCTCTTCCACAAGGTTTGATGTGCTTTCTGTGTTCTTGACATGCGTCTTATGCATATATGTAATTGTTTTATTAACTTAATTTTTTTTTTAAAACCTGTTGTAGGCTTTGAAGGAGGCATTTGAGATTTTCTGTAACAAAACAGTGGCTGGAAGTTCAAGTGCTGAATTACTTGCTACATTCTGCGATAATATCCTCAAGAAGGGAGGAAGTGAAAAGCTGAGTGATGAAGCTATTGAAGATACGCTTGAGAAGGTACTTTTTTTCGTCAAATTGGTTTTTTCTTAAGTCGCCTTTCAATTCTCCTGAGATTGGGCTGCTGATATCTACAATGTTGTGACAGGTGGTCAAATTGCTTGCTTATATAAGCGACAAGGATCTTTTCGCCGAGTTTTACAGGTTTGTCCTGCACACTGATCTTTTCGTCCTTTGATCTTTGGATCTGGCTTTGTTTTTTGTTAATGTTTTGTTTATACTACTGGTCTTTGTTAAGACCCCTTCCAATAATATAGTACTGGAATGACAAAAACTGGAATAACATGTTGGATGTCGTTTTGCAGGAAGAAGCTGGCCCGTAGGCTCTTATTTGATCGCAGTGCTAATGATGATCATGAGAGAAGTATCCTTACGAAGCTCAAGCAACAATGTGGTGGGCAGTTTACTTCTAAGATGGAGGGCATGGTTAGTGGGAGTGTACCTATATTTATTATCTCAAAGCGGTGCCTGATCTGATGATTTATTGCGTGCTATATACTTAATCATTTGTTTACAACAGGTAACGGATTTGACATTGGCAAGAGAAAACCAGAACAATTTCGAGGAGTATCTAGGAAATAACCCCGCTGCAAACCCAGGGATTGATTTGACTGTCACTGTTCTTACCACTGGTTTCTGGCCAAGCTACAAATCATTTGACATAAATCTACCTAGTGAAATGGTAAATCCCTCTTGAACTTATAAATACCTTAAAAGGAATAAAAGGTTTGCACCAAATAAATCTAATCCGTTCGATTTCTCTTTTTCATTTCAGGTCAAGTGTGTTGAAGTTTTCAAAGGGTTTTATGAAACTAAAACGAAACATAGGAAGCTTACCTGGATCTATTCACTTGGAACTTGTAACATCAACGGAAAGTTTGATCAGAAGCCCATCGAGTTGATTGTGTCTACATACCAGGTATCATTTGTTTCTCAAGAGCTGTTGGTATATTTGATCTTTCAAATAGTCTCTGGTGCGGCGTTTCTGATTTCATTTACCTTCAGGCTGCTGTGCTACTGCTGTTCAACAATACTGACAGATTGAGCTACAATGAAATATTAACCCAACTGAATCTAAGCCATGAAGATCTGGTGAGGTTGCTTCATTCCTTGTCGTGTGCTAAGTACAAGATTCTTCTCAAGGAGCCAGTCACAAAGACTGTTGCCCAGGGCGATTATTTTGGATTCAACGCCAAATTCGCAGATAGGATGCGCAGAATAAAGGTCTGTGAGACATTATTACTCAGCAACTCTTTGTTGTATTTCTTTAATCTCTCTCTTATAAGAAACATTTTTTTTTTTTTGCGGTTTGCAACACAGATCCCTCTCCCTCCAGTTGATGAAAGGAAGAAAGTTGTTGAAGATGTGGATAAAGACAGACGCTACGCAATTGATGCTGCCATTGTTAGGATCATGAAGAGTAGGAAGGTGCTGGGACACCAGCAACTCGTTTCTGAGTGCGTCGAGCAGCTGAGCCGAATGTTCAAGGCAAGTTCTTGTATATATTATCACTTATTAATCAAATAGAGATATGTTTAGTGAAAGAGACGCTAATATTGGGTTTTGTGATATTGCAGCCTGACATTAAAGCGATTAAGAAGCGTATGGAGGATTTAATAACGAGGGATTACTTGGAGAGGGACAAGGAGAACCCTAACATGTTTAGGTACTTGGCTTAGGGCAAATCAAACTATGGAGGTGATTTGGCTCAATGAGAAAGAATGGTAATGGATCGAAGCATCTGCTTTTGTATATGAGAATCCCATTTGGATACTACCCTTAAAAAACAATTTATCGCTTTGGTTTCAATTTTTTGTTTCTTTCTTAACATTCGGCCGTGCTTTCTTTTGTCTTCTTGGGATTCAAATTGCCTTGTGGATTATTGTTTCTTGGATATGAATGGAGATGGCTTAATGAATGAATCCTTCTTGGTTTCAAATATTGTTTTGAGTTTATTGGATCTCTGTTATTTTCATACCAGGAGCTGATTGACACGTGTACTTTACCGTAATTACACTTTTTGGCTTTGAATTCCCTTATACAAAACCTTAAAAAGGCCCTTGAGATAAATAAATTCATTATAATTGATACAAGATCAGTTTTAAATTCGTGTAACTGGTCACTATTGGGTTAGGTTTTGGGTATATTAATAAATGGTACCGATATTAGTGTGTTTCTTATAGGCCCAATTTTTTAACATTAAATACCAAACTTGATGAATTTATTAGTTTCTCACCATTATAATAACTAATAAATTCATCAAGTTTGGTATTTAATGTTAAAAAATTGGGCCTATAAGAAACACACTAATATCGGTACCATTTATTAATATACCCAAAACCTAACCCAATAGTGATAGGTTAGTAGTAGTGAACTGGTATCGGGCTTAATTTAGCAGGCCCAATGAACCTGTAGTCAATCTTGCGCCAGGTGAGGATAGTGAGATACCCGAGTCTAGTTAGACTCTTTTGGTTTCTCTGGTTCTTCTTCTTCCTCGGATCAAAAAGCTTCGTGCGTCTCTCGTTTCCTCTAATTTCGCGAAAATGCTGGCTAGGCTCGCTGCTAAGCGTCTTCTCGAGATCCGTCAAGTTTTCCGCCAACCACCCTCTCAGGTATTCTCAAAGCTTCCTCTCGGTTTTTCTCTCCGGCGTTTCCCGATCTCAGCCTCGTTTTAATTTTTGTTCCCTTTCTATCTTACAGGTGTCTCGTGGCTTATCGACAGCCTTAAACTACGTGAGTGCCGGATATTTTCGTTGATCTATGCCTTTTATTCCCTTAATTTCTATTTTTTTGAAATTCAATGTAATCTGATTTTTGTTGTTGCTTTGATTACTTACTTGTAGCACCTCGATTCTCCTGATAACAAACCCGATCTTCCATGGGAGTTTTCGGAGGCAAACAAATCCAAGGTCAGTGAATAAAATCGCTTATCGATGTGATAGTGATAATGACGAAAATTTACAATGTGTTGAACGAATTGGGATTTTTTTTTTCAATATGTATTTGAACTCGTTTCGTGATGTAGATTGTTGTTACCTTAGTCACCAAATTTTCGGTATTTATATTTTATGGGAAAATGTTGGAATCTTTAGCTCTTGTTCCCTACAGATTAGATATCACAGAGCAGAAGCAGTTCCAAATATGTTTCAGATGCTTCGTATTACCCTTCTACATAGGCCATTTAAAGAGTTTATGAATGTTTCTCTGGAGTTGAGGGAACGGTTTATTTGATACTCACTAACATTAGTCCCTGGCTTCTCAAGTTCTGATTTGGCATCATTATTCCGTGAGTTAGCATTCCTATAAATAGTACTTAGTCTGGCAGAAAGACTGTTAGGGAATTAGTAAACTGGTTTATGGAGCAAGATTACTAATATACTCTTGTGCATTTGGTTCCCGTTTACTGCATATATGTCATGTTTGGCTGCAGTAATCTTGCATAGAAAGTGGATCTTTTTCCCCATGCATCCACATTTTCTGGCATTTTCTAATGTCTTGTCCAAACTCTGTGTTAGGTTAAGGAGATACTCTCTTACTATCCTTCAAACTACAAGCAGTCTGCAGTTATTCCTCTTCTAGATCTTGCCCAACAGCAGCATGGAGGCTGGCTCCCTGTTTCAGCAATGAATGCGGTATGTTTTTTATGTTTTTTTTCAGCTGTACTCTTAGTAAATGAAAGGATTGTGAAATTGAACTCTATAATTATCTTCTTTTCTTTGTTACATTTTTTGCTTTTGTTTAAGTTTCGCTATTAGACTTGATTATCTGTACTTCTTTGCTTCTTTTTTTGGAATACAACATCAGTTAATATGATATTACTACCAACATAACAGCAAAACAAATTTTACAGGTTGCTAAAGTTATAGAGGTTGCTCCTATTCGTGTGTATGAGGTCGCAACATTTTACTCAATGTTCAACAGGGCAAAGGTAAGAAGTAGCAGTTTCTACCCATAAACTCAAGTCTCTACTGTACTCGTCAAAACACAGATTCCACACTCATTTTTCATTTGCCCTTGCAGGTGGGAAAGTACCACCTGCTGGTTTGTGGCACAACACCTTGCATGATCCGTGGTTCACGAGATATCGAATCAGCTTTGCTAGACCATTTGGGAGTGAAACGCGGTGGTAAAGCTCTATAATGACCTTTCATACACAATCAGACGGTGATGCTCAGTTTTAATAATCATTGGTCCTCTGTTTTTTTTGCAGAAGTCACAAAGGATGGTTTATTCTCTGTTGGAGAGATGGAATGCATGGTACATGTTTCGCATCACCTCTATACTTTTCTGAAAATTTAAAGTCGCCAGAGACAATATAGATCTCATGTATATGGTTTTGTCACAGGGATGTTGTGTTAATGCACCCATGATCACTGTGGCAGACTATTCCAATGGATCAGAAGGATATACATATAACTATTTCGTAAGTCAAAACCTCCTCAAGAACTTTTCTTTTCTTCTGCAGTATCTTTTTGCCTTAAGATGGCAAGATTAAATTTTATTTTCAATACACAGGAAGATGTGACACCTGAGAAAGTGGTAGAGATTGTTGAAAAGCTGAGAAAAGGAGAGAAGCCACCGGTAAGACAAAAATACCATCCCATTAACGTTTTAGTACCATCGCATATGGATCAGTGTGGTAAAACCCGAAACCCAAATCCAACTTTCTCACTATGTGAAATCTTTGTTTCAGCATGGAACTCAAAACCCGAAAAGGATCAAGTGCGGACCAGAAGGAGGAAACACGACACTGCTTGGCGAGCCAAAGCCACCGCAGTTCCGTGACCTTGACGCTTGCTAAGCTAAACTTCTTTAAGCCGCCGGTTTTGTGTGGTTCAATAACGCAAAAGGCTATAGTGATGTTTGAAGCCTATAGCATCAATTTGAGTTTGCATACTCTTTGTAGTCTTCTTGGTTTCGGAATTTAGACCCCATTTTAAAACGAATGGCCAAAAGCATCCTCCTCTCTTTTTTTTGTTATGTATCTCACTTCTAAGATTTATGTGAAATTGTTGCAATAAAGACTTGTATGTGTTTTTTTAAAAAAAACAATGCATTATTATGACAAACCAATCTCAGTTTTGAGGTAATTTTTAGATGGGACAGTATTTCAAAAAAAAAACTTGATTAGTTTTGGGACGTTATTGCTACAATGTTAGCAAAAAAATGGTTAATAGATGGAACTAACAATACATTATTTGCTTTATTTTCTCACTCAAGTTCATACAAAATAAATAATAATACAAATTCAAAAACTTTTTTTCATCAATTTGTACAAAACTCAACAAGGTCCCACACCTTCCCACTACTACTAGTAAAATACCCCCTTCGAGCTTCTTCCTCAACCTCCCACTAAAGTCATGAAAACAGAAAGTTGCTTTCATCAAAGTCCACCCAAAAATAAAGGTAAAAATGATATCACATCATATTTAATCAAGTGAGCTTTTTGACAAAAACTCTCCCCTTCTACTGCAAATCCTACATTGATTCCATCTCCAAAGCCTTTATTTTTTTTTACTTTTTTACCTTTCAACTGGACCAAAAACAAGTGGGTGTGGAAGAGAGATGAACCAGCAAGAAACCAGAGTCATTAAGAGCAGTAGTAAGCAAAAGGCCATGTTGGATTGCTGTACAAACCCTCACTCTCCCACATATTCCTACGGTGGAGGATTCGTCTCAGGCTTAACCACTGAAGATGTATCCGGAGGCTGAGAATGGTAAATTGCCATAGCCAATGAGATTGGCATCATACAAAGAGCCTTTGATTGAAGAAGCTGCATCGCTGCTCCAACATTTTCTTCCATCAGTTTAGCCACTTGACGCTCAGTGCCATCGTTAGACCATTTCTCCCACGCAGGTTGCGGAGTCCTCCCACCATCACTCGTTTCATCCTGTTGAATCAAAACCCATTCCTAAAGTTTTGATCTTTTCTGCTCACTTTTTCTTTAAAAAGATCTCACTTTTTTGTTTTTTTACCTCAACTGATGATGACAAAGGCATGTCAGTAACAAGTGGAGCAACCGCACCGGCTCCACCAAGACGACTCATGCTCAAAACCTACCAAAGTTGACCAAAGAGAGATACAAATCATCATCATTCAAAGGGATAAGCTTTACCCCATGAAAAATAAAAAGCTTTTACTTTTAGATGACCATGGAAGATTTCATTTCACAAGGAACACACAAAATAAATAAAAAAAGATTTTATTTATCTTATCAGAAATCCATCATTGCATACTATTTCTTTAGTGTCTCCATTATCTTTTAAAGTAGAGAGAGAGAGAGAGAGAGAGAGAGAGACATCCTTTTTTTCGCTTACCAGAGCTTTAAGCAACCGACTGCATTATCATATTTGATCTAAGAGATTATTATATTATAATGTGAGCATGATGATTATACTTGATGTTTTAATATAGTTATATGATCCTAACCCGTGATTAGGCTTTATATGACAAAACAAAAAGGTTAAAAGAGAGACTAAATGCCAAAGAAAAACAAAAGCATTTTGGACTTGTTTATTCTTCACCACATTAAAAATCAGATTGAAATTTGGTTGAAGGGTAGGTAATGGTGGGACCATAACTAAGACCAAAAATCCATCCGGAGAATTTAACATCACTCAATAACTTCAAAGACAGATCTAATCCTATGAACAAACAGCAAAGAAAGAAAGAAAAAACGGCTAGTTCGAGATTAAAACTGGTAAAAATTACCTTAACTTGGAGTCTGAGAAACTTTACATAATCGACAATTTCATCGATCATAGCAGCTCTATCTGTCTGCAAATAAGGACGAGAGAAACAGCAAGTTGTTAAAAAGCCTTTGAGAACTCCAAAGAACAGAAATGAAAAAAAATGTTAAAAGCCTAGACTTAACCAACCTTGTTCACAGTAGGTACAAGTTCTTGCAGCGCTCTGATCCGTTCGGCTATTCTTTCCCTACGTAGCTGTGACAAAGTTATAAACTTTCAGCTTATCCCTCCATAAAACCAAGAGATCACTAACATGATCATAAAATTTGTTCACTCTTAAACAAATAAAACCTATATGTAGCTAACCAACAAGGGCCACCAACATACTAAAGAGAATTTGAAGTTAGGAGTGTATCAAAGTTTACCCTTTCAGCGATGCTATGTGGATCAGTAGCCTGACCACGCCTAGCTCGAACTCTAGGACGGATTGATGTAGGCTGATGTGGCGCCGCTGGAGCTGGCTGTTGCATCGGCTGTCCGTGGAAAACCTACCAACAACACAAAAGAGATGTAAGAATGGGTGAAAAACTAAACCATTTGCACAAGAAGTTACAGCGAAAATGATTCAACTTAGACCTTTTGAGAACACTCCTATAGCCAAGCTAGACAACAATATCAGCCACACAGCTACACGAACTAGTGCGAAATTTCACAGAGCAACATAAAATTTTCAACTTGGGTTCTACTTCTACTAAACAAAACCAAAATCAGATAGATTCAACAAGTCTTGAGGCCAAAAACAACACACAAAGCAAAATCATCAACATTGCTGAAACCTAAACTTTTATATCTATAACCCTTAAGTAATCCCAAAGACTAGTCTTTTTATTAAAAATAATAATTTCAAGTACTTACCATAGAAAACAAAAACAAAAAAAGTTGCCAAAAATGATTTGTTTTTGATTTTTTTAGAATTTAACAAACCAGGGACTTAACTTACAGGTTTCATAGAAGAACATCGATTATCAACAACATCATCTGAGAATCGTTTGCCACTTCCATGGCCTCCTTCAGGTCTAAGAAAGCCAGGTCCTTTGCCTTGATCAAGACTTAAACCTAGAGGAAACATCTGATTGTGAAATCCAGTTGGTCCACCTCCTCCTAACCCAGCCATGTGACTTCCTTCGTCGCCGGAACCCAACTGTAGCATCATCGGCGGTGCTCCACCTCCTAATCCGCCGTCCACTCCAGATAAACCGGCGGCAGAAGAGGCTGAGAAGTTTGGAAGACCAAGGATTTGCTCGAAGAAATCATCAGAAGGAGTTTGGTCAGAGAGGTTCTCATGAGGGTTGTTACTAGCCATTGGTTCGAGTAGAAAACAGAATTTTGACTCGAACGAGTCGCGGTGAGTTACGATTAACGAGTTATAGCCTTCAAAGAGCAAATCTACATGCGAAAGCTATGGTTTTTATTTATTTTTAGTTTGTTTGGTGATTGATGCTTTAAAACGAATGAGGACGAAGAAGACACAGACGAGAAAGGAGCAGAAGAAAAGTGTAAACTTTATGCTCTGTTTATAAAATTGTCTTTTTGGTTAAAGGACCTTGCTTTTTCGGATTATTTCACTTTTGCCATTGTTTTCTTTCCTTCCAGAAACAATAACCATTAACCAAGTGGGCTGGGCTTTTTTAAATGGGTCCTACTCTTATACTTTTATCTTAGAACATGGGCCTGTCTTCGGTTTTCATTTTTTTGTCAACCTTAGAAAATATCATGCTATTTTTATGAAAGCTCGAGGACGACAATTTGAAAAAAAAAATGTAAAAGTGTAGTCTTGCTTTATCTAATAAATTTATAATAATGGTGTACACTTTTTTGGAAAAAGAATTACAGATAATTTCAAAATATATCATTATATAATGCAAACTCAATTTAAAACATTAATCGCGGACATATTTTTAGCATCATCCACGCTAATTCGGACAACATTTTGATTCTCTCTGTGATTAGAGCTGAGTTGGCAATTGACAAATGCATGATTGCGATCTGACAAGTGGAATCTAATATTAGGATCGACCATGTTAATAACGGCAACATATATCAAAATTTTAATTTTAGTTCTAAAACATTATCAGCAAAATCCCTTTTAAATAAAAAAAACTATAAATTTTAGGATTGTGAGGATTTCTTTTAAATAATTGGACTGAGTTTGTTATCAAGTTTCTACCTTTTACTTTGAAATTATCTAATTCGTGGACAATAAAAACTGTATATTTTCAATCTGTAAGTTTACATTTAAAAGTTAGACCTATAGACCTAGTCACTAGTTAAAATAAAGATTGTTCATTATACAACTCACAAATTGTAAAATAATTGTAGGATGTAGAAAGAAACGACAGCGTATCATAACGTTGAGAAGGAGAGAAATGAGAAAGGAAAAAAATTAAATTAGTGATTTTTATGTTTGACAACTGAATAATTTAGTGATTACGAGTGTGAATGCAACACCCCAACACGGAATAGAAACGGGTTAAGTTGATTAACACAAAATAAAAACACGGATTTTAAACAAAATATATGTGGGAAACTGGAAAGTTGAAACGCGTTTCCTAATTTGGGGGAAAGTTTTTAATATTACGGAATTAGGAACAACTAATTTACCACTTATTTCCATGTCTGGATTTCATTTACATGGGCCTAATGATTTATTACCATCAATATTTATGATGGTTGCTGACAAACAAGAGATTATAATAACTCTGAAAAATCTTCCTACACTCGAATCATCTTCTCTTTCTCGACCCCGACTTTCCAGTGGTACAGAGGAAGAAGACTGTTCATTTGTCCCGTTTTTTGTTCTCAGATCGAAACCTCTTTTCTGAAATTCTCTTCCTTTTTTGGTAAAACTGAGAAATGGGTCACGGAGAAGAAGGTGTGTCGCTTGAATTCACTCCGACTTGGGTCGTCGCCGGAGTTTGTACCGTAATCGTAGCGATTTCTCTTGGGGTGGAGCGTTTGCTTCACCATTTCGGTACTGTTCTTAAGAAGAAGAGGCAAAAACCCCTTTACGAAGCCCTTCAAAAGGTTAAAGAAGGTAAACATTCTCTCTTTTCTTCCTTAGTGGGTTCCACGGATCTTTTTCATTCGAGATTGTTCTTCAATTTCGTTTTTTTCTTTCTGGGGTTTGGATTCGATAATCTAAACAGTGATTTTATAACTTTTGAAGTTTGTTTTTTTTCTGCAAATAAATTGTTCCTTTTAAAATTTTTGTTTTTTCTTTCTTTCGATGCCTTAATTCTTAAGTGAAATGTGACTGTATCAGATTACGAAGTTGCTTGAGTCTTTGAAGTTTAAACCTTTACTACTTTTTCTCTTACTTTTTGGTTGCCTTGGCTCAAATTTTGTGAAATCTTTTGGGGATTTTTGCAGAGTTGATGCTGTTAGGGTTCATATCGTTGTTACTGACGGTATTCCAAGGATTCATCTCCAAGTTTTGTGTGAAAGAGTATATGCTTGTGCATATGCTTCCATGCTCAGCTGAAGCAAAAGAAGAAGCTGAACATAAAAACGTAACAGCAACAGAGCATCTTCAGTCTTTCTTCCCTATCGTTGGAACCACTAGGCGTCTTCTTGCTGAACATGCAGCTGCTGCAGCTGGTTACTGTAGCCAAAAGGTTAAACTAAAACGCCTTTTTAAGGATCATTCTTGAGCTCTGTTTAGGTGTTTTCTTGCTAGTTCTTACCCCTCGTTCGTGTTCGTCTTCAGGATAAAGTGCCATTGCTTTCTCTCGAGGCGTTGCACCATCTACATATCTTCATCTTCGTCCTCGCCATATCCCATGTGACATTCTGTGCTCTTACCGTGGTTTTTGGAAGCACGAGGGTGAGTTAAACCGCATCAATTCCCACATTAATGAGAATATTTTCTCAGGTGTGGAACCGTAATTTGTTCATGTTTTCAAATGCTAATGCAGATCCACCAATGGAAGAAATGGGAGGATGCGATTGCAGACGAGAGTTTTGACCCTGAAACTGGTACTTAATTGCTCGATTTGTTCCTTCTATTAGATGCTAGTTAGAGGAATCTTGTATGTATTGTTTTGATTATTTACTTCGTGCCTTTTTCTTGCAGCTCTTCTTAAGACTAGAAGGGTCACCAATGTACAAAACCATGCTTTCATTAAAGAGCATTTTCTCGGTATTGGTAAAGATTCAGCCTTCCTCGGATGGACGGTACGGTGGTTTTATAAGTAATGTGCTTGTTTTTTATTCCGGTCACTTTGTCCCCTTTGGAACTTACCCTAATGTTGAGGTTGTATCTTTTTTTTGCATTACAGCAATCATTTTTCAAGCAGTTCTACGCATCTGTGACGAGATCAGATTACGTGACTTTGCGCCTTGGTTTCATCATGGTACATCTTTGATCGTTCCTGAAAGTTTGTAAACAAAAAAGCTTTGATTTTTGATCCATTTAGACTGACATCTATTTGGTATCTATCTCTGCAGACACATTGCAAGGCAAACCCCAAGCTTAACTTCCACAAGTACATGATGCGTGCTCTTGAGGATGATTTCAAACAAGTCGTTGGTATTAGTTGGTATCTTTGGATCTTTGTCGTCATCTTCTTGTTGCTGAATGTTAACGGTATGCTTCACGAAACTTTAGGCTTTCTGTATGTTCAGTTTCGATCTAAATGAAAAAGAAACTAATGGCTTTCTTTTATATTTCAGGATGGCACACATATTTCTGGATAGCATTCATTCCCTTTATTGTGAGTCATTTGCTTTCTCTCAGATTGTGCTTAATCTTTATTTTGATGAAACTAAACTTTGTCCTGTTCTTTTGATACTTTGAAAAATTGAAGCTGCTTCTTGCTGTGGGAACAAAGTTGGAGCATGTGATATCACAGTTAGCTCACGAAGTTGCAGAGAAACATGTAGCCATCGAAGGAGAGTTAGTGGTGAAACCATCAGATGAGCATTTCTGGTTCAGCAAACCTCAGTTTGTTCTCTACTTGATTCATTTTATCCTCTTCCAGAATGCTTTCGAGATTGCGTTTTTCTTTTGGATTTGGGTAAGAGTCCAGACAGATTCTTCTAACAAACACACAAATTTCCAAGATTCACCTGAAAATGGTTAAGACTGAAAAAAAAGTATATATCTTGTAGGTTACATACGGCTTCGACTCGTGCATTATGGGACAAGTGAGGTACATTGTTCCAAGACTGGTTATTGGGTAAGCGAAAAGATTCGATCTTGTTTTTGCTAATGAACGCATCTCCGCATTTTCTGATGTCTTTCTTCTTTTCTGTAGGGTCTTCATTCAAGTGCTTTGTAGTTACAGTACACTGCCTCTTTACGCCATTGTCTCACAGGTAAAAAGCTGATTTCTACTAGAGGATCTTCTGGTTTGGGTTTTTTTCGAAGTCTGTCTTGAGAAATTGATCCTCTGCTTATAATGTCAAAAACAACAGATGGGAAGTAACTTCAAGAAAGCGATATTCGAGGAGAATGTGCAGGTTGGTCTTGTTGGTTGGGCAAAGAAAGTGAAGAACAAGAGAGCAGCAGGTAGTAACGGGAACGAAGGAAGCTCTCAGGCTGGTTCTGGTTCTAGTCCTCCTGGTGCTGCTGGTTCAAGTCCTGGTCCTGGTCCTGGTCCTGCTCCTGGTCCTGGTCCTGGTGCAGGTTTTGCAGGAATTCAACTCAGCCGATTAACAAGAAACAACGCAGCAGGAGGGGGCACACAGAGTGAGATTACACCTGATCGTAACAACTGAGTAGAGATTAATGGTTATACATATAAGCTATAGTGACTTGATTTCTTCGGATTAAAATTTGGGAATTTAACCTGGCTGTATATGTATTATTAATAAACGTTGTAGCGAGGGGTGTAATGTAGTGTTTATCAGTTCTATTTTGGTTCGGTTATGCTGGTTTTGGATATCAACCAATTATTTTTCTGTTCAGGTTTGGTTTCTTACATTTTGGAATAATTTTTTTTATCACAAAATGACATTTTTCTAATTTTAATCGCAAGATAAAAAGTGATATTTGAAAAGGTTTATCTTTTTCTGTATGATTCGGTTTTTGTTTACGGTTTGTTTGAATATAAAAGAAAACCAAAACAATCTGCAGATCGGTTTATTATGTGGTTCGGTTTGGAAAGCTAAACCGGATTAAAATCGAATTTCTACACACACTACTGGCGCTAGTGGCGACATTTTCATCTTCTTCTTCGAATGCTCGCAATGGATCTTCTCAAGAACCCTCCCGCCACAGTGGGTTTATCAGAGACTTTCGCTAGGTTAAAATCACAAGGAAAAGTATGCAATATCTCTTCAAATCCCTAAAATCAAAACTCTTTTTTGTTTTCACTCGTTGTGCTAATTTCTGATCTGTTTTTTTTTTCGATCAAATTCAACTGTTGTGGAAACTGAAACACAAAGTGTTTTGTAGGTGGCTCTGATTCCATATATCACAGCTGGTGATCCAGATCTTTCGACAACAGCAAAAGCTCTCAAAGTACTTGACTCGTGTGGCTCCGACATAATCGAACTCGGTGTTCCGTACTCTGATCCATTAGCTGATGGTCCAGCAATCCAGGTTCGATCCCACCAAAGCCCTCACAATGCAGTCATCTTCTTCTAAACCTCTAAAACCTTACCTTTTTCTTTGTTTTAGGCTGCTGCGAGACGTTCTTTGCTTAAAGGAACCAACTTTAACTCCATTATCACTATGCTTAAAGAGGTGTGTTTCTGTGTGGTCTCCACTTACCAGAACTCTCCGTGTTGAGTAAATAGTGAAATTAGATACTCAGTTTTCTTAAAAATGAATCCTTTTCTGTCAAAATTTCTCAGGTTATTCCTCAGCTATCTTGTCCAATTGCATTGTTTACGTATTACAACCCGATCCTGCGGAGAGGAATTGAGAACTACATGACTATTATAAAGAATGCTGGAGTTCATGGTACATTCACATTTGCAAGTTTTTCTCTTTCAGTAGAACGCATATGCTTAAGTGTTTCAGGGATCAATTTCGACACACAGATTCTTATGTTTATGTATTATTTACATCTAACAGTTTATTACATCACATGGTGTCTCACCTTGCAGGGCTTCTTGTTCCTGATGTTCCACTCGAAGAGACTGAGACTCTGCGGAACGAAGCTCAAAAGCATCAGATTGAACTTGTATGGTGTTCTTCTCTCTAAGATCACATCTTTCATATCAAACTGTGTCCTTCCCTTTTATCATATTTACTATGTTTGTTCTCAAGGTGTTGCTCACAACACCCACAACCCCGAAAGAGCGAATGAATGCCATTGTTGAAGCATCTGAAGGATTCATTTATCTCGTAAGAATCAAAGTTTTTGCGACTTTTTATATCAGTAAAACGATGATTGAGTTTCGTATTCGAGCTCTTTTCAGGTAAGTTCAGTAGGAGTTACTGGTACAAGAGACTCTGTTAACGAAAAAGTTCAATCTCTTCTACAACAAATCAAAGAGGCAACAAGCAAGCCAGTCGCAGTTGGATTTGGCATATCAAAACCTGAGCATGTGAAACAGGTCTTTGGCTGCACACTTAAACACTGAACTAGCTTATATCTTGACAATGGGATGTGTTTGTTGATTCAACTCGATTTGTTTTAACATTACAGGTAGCTGAATGGGGAGCAGACGGAGTCATTGTTGGTAGCGCGATGGTTAAGATATTGGGAGAGGCTGAATCACCTGAGAAAGGACTCAAGGAGCTCGAAGTCTTCACTAAATCTTTGAAGTCTGCTCTTGTTTCTTGAATACACAATGGTTCTCTTGATTGAATGCAAAAGAACCAAATGGTGTTGACATTGCTTCATAATAAATATAACATCCATCTCCAAATAAAAATCAAGAGTTATACATTATTGAAAATTTATGGGGGTTGGTTCTGAAAGAGAAATACAAGAATGTCAAAAACAAACAAATGGTACAGGCTCAGCGAGCTTGCAGAATGTATGTATATATGTTTAACGCTGTGACACAGATTCCGCAGAGAAGAGGTACTTGACACGGGAGAGAACTGAATCATGAGCTGGATCATAGGGATGGTCCTTGGAAGGGATCTCCAGGATTGCAGGAACCGGCTTGTTGTAGCTGTCCACCAAGAACCGGATCATATTGGCAACCTACAAGCATGACATGTTCTCATTATTTAGTTGACACTGTAGAAGAAAACATAATGTCTCAAAGGCTGATGCAAAAGCGGTCTCATCTTATGTTTCTTCACACATTTGGATCCAATAATACTAAATGCTGGGAACAAGAATGCAAAAAACTACCCTACAATAACAGTAACTCTGAACCATGATTAAATGGGTGCAAGCAAGGAAGGATATTCATTAATGGCAGTAAACATAAAGGGGCTCACTAAAGTGTAGTAGTACAAGACTACAAGCCAATGACCTCTTTGATAACGACACAAATAACAACGCACAGAGACAGCAGCTAATATTTGTTAATACAAACCGTACAAGTATACTGAACTTGGAAGAAAGCACTTACGTATTGGCTGATAAGGACGATGGCAACATCATCCCTCGTTGAGAATTCCTTGAAAGCTTCCTCAATTTGTCTCACAGTAGTCTCTAAAATACAAAACAACCAAAAGAAGGAAAAAGATCAATTAATTTAGAAGACTAGACGGTAATTCCAGAATTCTACAGAAATAGAAGTTAGGAAAGTCATCTCCTAACAAGACCACATAACAACTGATTTGATGGAAGAATTTTCAACGAACTTGATGTTATCAAAAGGGATATACCACTTCGAGATAAACAACATAACTTGATACATGACTGAAAGATTATCTTCTCTAAAGATCATTATGAGTTCAAAAGCATACTCGAATCCACGATGAGGTAGTTTGTCTTCCTCCTTATGTCAACATTACCAACTCCAGCCATCAAAAATCCAACTACAGTGTCCTGTACACAGCATTTTAGACAAGTAAGAGACGTTGGAGATTGCTAAAGGTTATGCCAACGGATAGTTTCAAACAATTCTGCCACCATTTGCGTAAAAAATGTCACCAATAACAACCAGTGTACAAGAAAGAACTTGTAACAGTCTAAATTAAGAGACTGGACATAGTTTTCTGGTAACTCGATAGATTATCTTTGAGCAGATCTCATTCTTAAGCCATTGTAATATAATGACAACACAGTTTCTAGGAAGATTTTTCTACTCCTCTAGTTCCTGATACGTGCATCAGGTGGAATCAACATTCCGTGATAATAGATCAAATCATCTGCAGATTTTTGGTCTGATCCAAAATCTAGAAAACACAGAGAAAGACGATAATGCTATCTGGGGCATTTGAACACGAACACCAAAAAGATTACAAATTTCACAAACAAATCCAAGGTCAAGCAATTTACGGATGAACAAATCTGTTACCACAACGCATGAATATAGTTCAGATCACATCTCAGTGATTCAATGCTTTTAACTAGATGATCCGCACGAAATCAACAGTTTCCGAATGAATCAAACCACCGAAACTAAATCTCTCATCAACAGAAATATTTAAAAAGACGAGTTTTTTGGGCAGACGATTTTACCTCATCGGCGATCATTGCGATGAGGGCAGAGTTGCGAGCAGGGATCGAAACTCTCCCAGCCATATTGATTCAACTACGCACAAACAAAAGAAAAGAAGAACCCAGAAAAAATCAATCCAGCGATGACAATTATCGAAATTGGGTAAAAACCCTGATCTCAGATCGGAAAAGCAAGCTTTGAAGATGGAGAGAAAGCTCCTAGATTTCACTCATTACCTCTTTTCTCTGTTTCGCCTCGTTCTTCGATTTGATTGATAGATTCGTAATCAGTACCAAAGACCCACGCGCAAAAAAAAAAAACTTGAAGTCAGAACGCGATTTAATTGACTATATTACCCCTCCTTTTTGCACGTAATGACGGTACTACCCTCTGATAATAATTTCTCTTTAATAGTAGAAAGTGGCAAAAGTGTAAATAGTGGTGAGGGGTAAACGATATGAGTGCGAGTCGCATCAAAGCCAGCTTGCCTTCTCAAGGACAATTTTGTCTTTTCAATGTCTCCTTCTTTGTCTCTACTTCAGAGAAACCTCTGTGTGATATGTGAAGCAGAACAAAGCAAAAATCTAGAGAGAAGAGAGGAGTGAGCTGCAATGGCGGATTCTCACTCTCTCAACAATCAGCTCTCGAGACGTACTTCTATTTTCGATTTACGTTTATGGGTCGTTCTCGGCGTTTGCGTAGGAGCAGGAATCGTTCTTTTACTCTTTCTCATCTCTCTCTGGTTCATTTACAGACGAAGCAACAACAAATCTCTCGAGTCGTCCTCGAGATCAAACCATACAATCGTCCCTGTAGTTTCAAAGGAGATTCAGGAGATTCGGGTCGACCCATCTCGACCCAATTTCAACCCAAATCAACCCGACCCAACCTTTGAGACAAACCAACACCAAGCTACGGGTAACCACCGAGAAGAGGATAACAAAATCCACATCGAAATCGGAAAGGATCATCGGATTTCGTATCCGGAGCGAGGCGGTTGGACTGGTTCCGGGTCCGGGTCCGGGTCGGGTGATCAGGGTTTACCTTCGTCGGGTCCTGAGGTTTCTCATTTGGGCTGGGGCCATTGGTACACGTTGAGAGAGCTTGAAGTCTCTACGAATGGATTCTCCGACGAGAATGTGATCGGACAAGGAGGGTACGGGATTGTGTACAGAGGTGTTCTTGAGGACAAATCAATGGTGGCTGTAAAGAATCTGCTCAACAACAGAGGACAAGCTGAGAAAGAATTCAAAGTCGAAGTCGAAGCGATTGGACGAGTGAGACACAAGAATCTGGTGAGGTTGCTTGGCTATTGCGTTGAAGGAGCTCATAGGATGTTAGTTTACGAGTATGTCGATAATGGGAACTTAGAACAATGGCTTCACGGTGAGGGACTGGGATTAAAGAGTCCTCTTACTTGGGAGATAAGGATGAACATTGTTCTTGGAACAGCTAAAGGGTTAATGTATTTACACGAAGGTCTCGAGCCTAAAGTTGTTCACCGGGATATCAAATCGAGCAATATCTTGCTTGACAAGCAATGGAACGCCAAAGTTTCAGACTTTGGGCTAGCTAAGCTCTTGGGTTCAGAGATGAGCTATGTGACTACTCGTGTGATGGGTACATTCGGGTACGTGGCTCCTGAGTACGCGAGTACAGGGATGTTGAACGAGAGGAGCGATGTTTATAGCTTTGGTGTTCTTGTCATGGAGGTGATTTCAGGGAGGACTCCTGTGGATTATAGCCGGCCTCCGGGAGAAGTGAATCTTGTGGAATGGTTAAAGAGAATGGTGTCGAACCGAGAACCGGAAGGAGTTTTGGATCCGAGGCTGATGGAGAAACCGTCGCTGAGGTCATTGAAGCGTACCCTTTTGGTAGCCTTAAGATGTGTTGATCCTAATGCTCAAAAGAGACCAAAGATGGGTCATATCATTCACATGCTTGAAGCCGAGGACTTAGTCACAAGAGACGATCGGAGAAACTCCGGCGGGGGAGGAGGCGAGCCGGCAAGGTCACCGCGGAAGTCGAAGGTGGCCGAATCAGAGGATGAGAGTGTTAAGACCGTTCTGATCAACAATGACCAGTTAGCTTTGGAGAATGAGGAGAGAATCAGTAAAAGAGAGGAAGCTTTGGCATTATAGTTTTGTCAACTATTTTTAGAAGTTTTTTTGTGTGTATGTGTGTAGATTCTTGTAATCTTGCAACAATTATAAATGTGGCTTGAAAAAAAAGTTTATATATATATATATATATGTATTGTTTTTTATTTTCTCAGTTGTAAACTTGTATAATATAGCCTAAATACTGATTTGTTTGTTGTATTTGTGTTGATATATTTATTATTTATTTCAAGGTCTTAATTTTATGTTTATGAAAATAACGAGTGAATTTCATAAGTTCTTTATGGTAACTCTTTTTTTTTTTCCCTTTAGGTGGGGACTCTATTGTCACTCTGTATAGCCCAAAATAGTGATTTGTTTGTTATGTTTGGTTTATGTTTACAAGGAAAAAATAGAGATCGAATTTCATAGGTTAAGTGATCATTGTATGTTTGGTTACCTTTTAATGGTAAGGTTGATCATTGATGGACGTTATACGAATATCTGCCGACCAAAAAAAAAAAAAATACGAACATATAATTTTTGAACACTATTCAAAATCAGAATATATAAAGAAATGAAACGGGAATTATTTTTTTTTAAAATGTATTTTGTACGTATGTTATATATACAGAATATTCTTTTGTAAGTGGACCTAATGCAAATGGGCAAGACCCGACAAAAGAATCAGAAAGTTAAAACACACAAAGTGAAGAATAAGAGAGCGAGAGAGAGTCAGATGAACAGTATCTTCTCGATTGACGATTTCTCCGATCCCTTTTGGGAAGCACCTCCGCCTCTTAATTCGGACTCGGCGAAGGTTGTTCCGGCGGAGGAAGCTAGTCAGAGTCAGCCGGAATGGACTTTCGAGATGTTTCTGGAAGAGATTTCTTCGTCGGTGAGCTCGGAGCCAGTGGGAAACAACAACAACAACAACGCGATCGTCGGAGTTTCTTCGGCGCAGTCTCTTCCTTCTGTTTCGGGACAGAATGATTTCGAGGACGACAGTCGATTCCGCCGCGATCACCACGATCGTGATTCGGGAAGCTGGGATTGCGCTGCTCCGCCTCCGCCAAAGACGGTGATTGTTGATTCCGATGATGATTACCATCGCGTTCTCAAGAACAAGCTTGAGACCGAGTGCGCTACTGCTGTGGCTCTTAGGGTTTATCTTCTATTTCCCTCTTTTTAGTTATCTGTATGTGTAATTTGTGCTTTTCGTTTGCAGTAAGAGGATCTGAATCTCAAGCTCTGTTGTTCTCTCCTTTGTGTTGCGCAGGCTGGCTCTGTGAAGCCTGAGGATTCGAGTAGCTCTCCTGAAACTCAATTTCAACCAGCTCAATCCAGTCCTCTTCCTCAAGGTAAAGAGCCTTATCTTGTAAATTCCTTGTGATCATCTTACTCTGTAGTTTGTCTCTGAAAGATAAACCTGCAGATTCGTTACTTTGTTCTCTTCTCTGCTATGAACGTTTCTATGTTTGTAAATTTTGATGCCAAATCATACTGTTAATAGAATCACGTAATTTAGAGAAATGTACTGTAGAAATGGAGAATAGTTCTTTAGAGAAACCCTTCCAAGTCTCTCCTTGAGGTTGCTTAATTTGATCCCTCAAGCTCCTCTCCTTGAAATTAATCTGCTTTCTGGAAGAACAATAAGATTGGGATTGAGATGGTTTATGGTTATCAGTTCAACATGAAGACAAAGCTTGCTGTTAATAGAGTCACTCATTCGTAGTTCTTGATGGTGCTTAGTTCAATATTTCTTTATAACAGGAGTGTGGCTTAACATGGCAAATCAGTATATTCGACGCTACTACTTCTCTATCAGATACCTCTTTTGAGTCTTACACATGGTATGCTTAATCATGGTAGGTTCTTTGATGAGCCCTGGAGAATTTGGTGTGTCTTCTTCAGTACCGTCTGAGCTGAAAAAATCTGGTGGACCAACGAAGCAGGTTACGAGTGGATCATCGAGAGAATATTCTGATGATGATGACCTTGATGAAGAGAATGAAACCAGTGGTTCATTGAAACCAGAGGACGTAAAAAAATCTAGAAGGTAAAGATTCCTCTTTTCTCCAGTTTCTTGTCTTTTGATGTTATCGTCTTCACAGTTTTGGAAACCTTGTTTCTTTGTAGGATGCTGTCAAATCGAGAGTCAGCTAGGCGATCTAGAAGGAGAAAGCAGGAGCAAACAAGTGATCTCGAAACACAGGTTTCATACCTATATTCTCTTATTTTTGTGTCGGAGAAGGATATTAAAAGATACCTAATTTATATGTTGATAGGTTAATGAGCTTAAAGGTGAACATTCATCACTATTGAAGCAACTGAGCAACATGAATCACAAGTATGATGACGCTGCTGTTGGCAACAGAATACTAAAAGCTGACATTGAGACATTAAGAGCAAAGGTAACAAGACCTCAGTACACTTTCCTCTCTCATTTTTCAATACGACCCCTATGCTTCTTCTTAGTATAATAGTAGTAACTCCATGTATTGTTAAGGTGAAAATGGCGGAAGAAACCGTGAAGAGAGTAACAGGAATGAATCCACTGCTTCTCGGGAGATCAAACGGATATAGCAATAACAACAGAATGCCATTAACTGGTAACAACAGGATGGATTCTTCTTGCATTCCAGCTTTTCAACTACAATCAAACCTAAACCATTTGGCAAACCCCAACATCGGAATCCCAACCGTTCGATCTCCAAGAGTGGATAACAATTTCGCACATCCTCCATCCTTAAACTCCCAAACTAACTCTCACCTGCAGAGAATAAGGAATGGGCAAAATCACCACGTTGCTCCGAGCACTAGCCCGTATGCCTGGAATACCGAAGCTCAGAACGATTCAGCATGGTAAGCCAAAAAAATGGCTCTTTTTAAGACCATTGAACAAATTTAAAGCATTTTGAGTTCTTTGATCCATGTTTATGCATATTCGATTCCTGTTTCTCCTTTTTCCCTCGTTTTACAGGCCGAAAAAATGCGTGGACTGATGAAACAAGAAGCGGGTTTCGGGCTTATATGGATCTCTTTTATCTCAGATTGTAAGTGTTGTAAGTCATTTAACCACGAGAATACATTTGTGGAACACAGTCTCTCATGGCTTTATACAGTATGTCTTGTAAAATTACAAGATTCTTAAATGAGAATCGTCTTTCTATTTATAGCAGCTAATAACAGAGTATCGATAGATCTGTTTTTATCCAATTAAAAAAAAAGAAAGGTCAACTTATATCCCACGTTACTTTTTTCTAATTTCTCCTCTCATTAAATCCCGACAACCTCGGCGATTTCCATGGTAGATCGATCAAAGCATCGACATTTTCATTCTCAGAGAAAAAGAAAGAGAAAACAGAGGAGAAAAGGAGAAGACGACGACGACAAACAAGTAAAAGAAAAAAAAGCCGTCGTTCTTCCTTTTTCTCTCTCTCTCTTTCTCTTCCTCTGTTTTTCTTATTTTCTTCAGGGCGTACGTTAGTCAAAAATGGGTACGAGTAAACTACAACGCGCAATAGGAGCCGTGAAAGATCAGACAAGCGTAGGATTAGCCAAAGTCGGAGGTCGAAGCAGTTCTGTAAAGGAACTCGAAGTAGCCATCGTGAAAGCCACGCGACACGACGAATATCCAGCGGAGGAGAAATACGTCAGAGAGATCTTAAGCCTAACCTCTTACTCACGCAACTACGTAAGCGCTTGCGTGATAATCCTCTCCAGACGTCTCAACAAGACCAAGAACTGGTCGGTTGCTCTCAAAACCCTGATTTTGATCCAACGGCTGCTAAGAGACGGTGATCGAGCCTACGAGCAAGAGATCTTCTTCGCGACCAGGCGAGGAACGAGATTGCTTAACATGTCTGATTTCAGAGATGCGAATCGGTCTGATTCCTGGGATTACTCTGCTTTTGTTCGGACTTATGCTCTGTATTTGGACGAACGGCTTGATTTTCGGATGCAAGGAAGGAGAGGGAAAAACGGTGATGGTGGTGATTCCGGTGAGGAAGAGGATCACCGAGAGAGCAATGCCGATAATCGGTCGAGAGCTCTTGTGGTGAAGTCTAAACCGGTCACAGAGTTGAAAACAGAGAAAATCTTTACCAGAGTACAACATTTACAACAGCTTCTTGATCGGTTCTTGGCTTGTCGTCCTACAGGTAATAGTTAGGGTTTTTTTTTAACTACTTTCAATTAGGAATTTTGTGGTGAGCTTAGAAAAGTTTAAAAAAAATATCAGTAAAATCGATATAAGATTTGATCCGGTTCGCCGCAGATCATATCGGTTTACCTAGAGTGAATTAGATCCGGGCAGTCTAAATCAGGGACTCTGCTTAATAGTCTCCATCCTACTTTGTTTACTTGAAGATCACGTTTTGTTTACCACACTTTAAATTTCTTGTCTAACAAGTTAGGTCTCTGCAACAGGCAATGCGAAGAACGACAGAGTGGTGATTGTGGCTCTGTATCCGATAGTAAAAGAGAGTTTTCAGATATATTACAACATAACAGAGATCATGGGAGTATTAATAGATCGATTCATGGAATTAGACATTCACGATTCGATCAAAGTCTACGATATCTTCTGCCGAGTTTCTAAACAGCTCGACGAGTTAGATCCGTTTTACGGATGGTGCAAGAACATGGGAGTTGCAAGGTCTTCAGAGTATCCAGAATTGGAGAAGATTACACAGAAGAAACTTGATCTCATGGATGAGTTTATAAGAGATAAATCTGCCTTAGCTGCACAAACACAAAGGTCATCATCGAAAAAGTCTAACAAATCTGAGGAGGAGGAGAGAAAAACAGAGGAAATTCAAGAAGAAGATCCAAACTCCATGAAAGCATTACCAGCACCACCGGAACACGAAGAAGAAGAAGAAGAAGAAGAAGAGGAAAAAGAAGAAATCGAAGCAAACAAAGATAATCAAGAAGTGGTTTCAAGACAAGATCAAGAAGGTGATTTGCTGGATCTATCAGGTGACGCAGGTGAAACGGCGGGATCGGTTGGTGATAGTTTGGCGTTAGCGTTATTCGATGGAGCGGCTGCGACTGAAACAGCGTCTGGACCGGGGTGGGAAGCGTTTAACGATGATTCGGCGGATTGGGAGACGGCTCTGGTGACATCGGCGACGAGATTGTCGGGACAAAAGAGTGAACTTGGAGGAGGGTTTGATAAGTTGTTGCTCGATGGAATGTATCAGTACGGTGCGGTTAATGCGGCTGTAAAAGTATCTACAGCTTATGGAAATAGTGGAAGTGCGAGTAGCGTTGCGTTTGGTTCTGCAGGAAGACCAACAGGTATGTATAAAACCAAAATGAACACTTTGCATGTAGATAGTCTGATCTGATTTTAGGTTATATAGTCTGATCTGATTATGATGTTTGCAATATGGTGATGCAGCTTCAATGTTGGCGCTTACCGCACCGCCACCGATGGCCAACGGAAATAGAATCGGAAGCCAAAGTCCGGTGACGTTGGACCCATTCGCGGCGTCACTAGAGGTGGCTCCACCACCGTACGTGCAAATGAATGATATGGAGAAAAAACAGAGATTATTAATGGAAGAACAAATGATGTGGGATCAATACAACAGAAATGGAAGACTAGGTTACATGAATCTCAGACAAAACCAACAACAACAACAACATTATCAAGTTCCATACTCCATGGGAGCTTATTCTTACACACCTCGCTACTAATGTTTTTTTTATTTCTTTAAAATATCACCATTGAAGATGAAGAATTCTCTTGATTTTTTTTTTACTTTATATAAAAAATTTATATAAAAAAAGGGAACATGACCCTACGTCAACCATTTCAATGGACCATTAAATTTTACTATTTTTTAATACTTAATCTTCAATCTATTATTATGGAGAAGGAAAGTTTGGAAATGGATCTCACGTCTCAAGGCAGATATATATTAAAATATATCTGAATATACTTTTTTAGACGAGCATTTTGATCATTGGAGATCTGAGATGAACAAAGACTTTAGAGCTTTGAGATTTGAGAACCAACTTTTGTTCTTCTTCCCACCATGATTTCTGATGAGGGATTGTCAGTAGCAGAGATCCACAAGCATCTTATGGTGCCTTGGAATGATCTGAGGAAAGGTGATTGCTGTGGACGCTTCGAAGCTATCAGCGATGGCTACTATTGCAAGAGCTGTGATTTTTTCGTCCACAAGAAATGTGGCGAGTCCTCTACACGTATCCAACACCCATCTCACCCCAACCACACTCTCTTTCTTGATTATAGATCTATAGTACCGCATAGAAGTTGTAACTATTGTGATTTATGTGGAAAAGATATCGAGAAACTATGCTATCGTTGTGGCCAGTGTGACTTCGACGTACATCTACACTGTACCAAGTACCCACCACTAGATGTTATCGACGTTTCCGAGATGCATCCTCACAAGCTCACACTTTTCAAGGAACTGATCGAGTTCGAGTGTTCTGCTACATGCGGCAAGACTGGTCCTAGCAACCATGGTTTCCCTTACAAATGCCATGAATGTGACTCAACCTTCCATGTGGATTGCTTGTCGTATCCGTCGGAGGTAAACCACTCGTACCACTCCTTACACCCTCTTAAGCTCCTAACAAGTCCACCAGGGAATTATTTTGATGGTAGATGTCGTCTTTGCGGGAAGGAGATCTATGATAAGTTATTTTATCATTGCTCTTCATGTAACTTCAGCTTGGATGTGTATTGTGTGTCAACCCCACCACCACAGTCTCTTGTGGATTTGAAAGTCCATCATCACAAACTCTTGCTTCTCCCAAGACTCGATTCTTTTACATGTAATGCTTGTGGGCTGAAGGGAGACCGAAGCCCTTATGTATGTGTTGAATGTGGTTTCATGATCCATCAAGACTGTCTTTCCCTGCCACGCCTCATAAACATCAATCGCCATGAGCATCGTGTCTCTCGCACTTCTGTGATTGGTGTTGTGAACTCTGTGTGTGGAGTATGTCGCAAGAAAGTGGATTGGACTTGTGGGGGTTATTCTTGTCACAAGTGTCACGGGTATGTCGTTCACTCGAAATGCGCTACAAGAAGAGATGTGTGGAACGGGAAAGAACTCGAAGGAGAACCCGAAGAACCAGAAGACGAAAAGCCATATGTGGTAATAGATGCCAACACAAACACAATACAACATTTCAGCCACAAAGAGCATTACCTAAGACTCAAGGACGCTAATGATGATGCTCTACGCGACGACAACAAGCATTGCAACGCATGTACACACCCCATCTCTCTCGAGTCCTTCTATGGCTGTATGGATTGTGATTTTGTTATCCACCAAAACTGCGCTGGATTTCCGACAAGGAAACGGCATGTGTTACACAACGACCGGCTTACTTTAGTTACAGACGAGGACAGTTGGTTCTGTTGTGATGCTTGTTATGAAGTTTCCAATGGTTTCAGGTACCGTCATAGAGGTGTGAGGTTTGATGTCCTGTGTGGTTCGATCTCTGAGCCATTTGCCCATCCAAGTCATCCACTTCATCCTTTATATTACATTCCACACGACGAAAGAGAAATCTGCAATGGTTGCAACTTGGAGAAGTCGGATGTGCTCAGGTGCATTGAAGATGGTTGTGTGTTCATCTTGTGCTTCAAATGCGCCACTTTACCCCAAACGGTAAACCATAGAGTTGATGATGATCCTCTCTCGTTGTGCTACGGAGAAGAGGCAAGCGGCGGTAAAAACTGGTGTGACATTTGTGAGAAAGAAGCCAACCCAAAGACGTGGTTCTACACGTGTAAGGACCAAAGGGCTTGTTTGCATACAAAATGTGTGCTTGGAGACACTGCAGGGCTCATGCCAAGGAGCACAATAAATTTTGTTATCGGATCATATGAGGTGGTGCTCAATAACAGTATAACTCGCCCATTTTGTCGCAGGTGTTACACGCGCACGCGCTGCATATACCCTATCTACTTGAAGTGTGTTGATTATGATGGCTCAGATAGAATCCATTGCTCTATTATATGCGATTATAACTGATGTAACAAAATCGTTAAAATACGAGCAAGGCCTCGTCTTCTGGAAGCTAACATCAGCTCCAAATCTCTCTTAAGTCCCAGTTTTTGCATTTAATCTTTCTTTTTTATCAAAAACTTCTAAAGATGAAGCACTCGTTGTTTGAATAATTTTACATCTGTGAAGCCCAGATGGTGTATATTCTTCTTCCTTGGACAAGTTTGTTTCCAATATGATTTATGAGTTTATTTCCCTAATGTTTATTTTAACAAAAGGCGAGCTGTTTTTATTTTTTTAAATATTTGTTGGTATATTACTTAAACAACAGATTCTTGAGCACTAAAGATATACTCACTATAAAACTCTTGTGTCCATCTATGTAATTTGGGGTTTCTGCAAAGAAACCATGTAATTTATATGCCTTTCATGTCACAAGTGAGCGGATAAGTCTTTCATTAGCTCAAGTTAATTACCATTGGAAATTGGAAAATACTGTAGTAACAGCTTTTCATTACCTTCTGAATCTCTCTTTCTCTTTCCGCTGAGACATTTCTTCAGCTTGATTATCTGGTCTTCATCAAATCTCGTCATCTTTTTGTCTGAACAATGTCTTTACAATATTTTAAGAAGATCTAACGCATATATCATTAAGAAGCAGAGGAAGTATAATAATCCCATCTGAGAGTATACAGATGGGACAGCAATACTAATTTACACAATTCCTTAGTTCTATTTACACAAACCCTCAATACAAACCTGTTAGTTATTGACATCGACGGGCTTCTCCCTCGCTTTGCTACTGCATCATTCCGTAACAACATTTTACCTGCAGTTTGTCCTGACGTCTTGTTACATTCTGATTTTGTTTTACCATCATGGATTGCTTTAGATTCTACTACTAGTTGTAGATGCTGCTTTAGATTCTAAACTATGAAGCCTTTTTTAGTGAAGCTTTAAATATCTGGTCTGATACTGTCCACGAAATCAAATGCCCAGCTGAATCGCCGCTAAGTAATTGCTTCAGGTCGGTCGTGAGATGCAGCGCTGTGACCGGTTGCTTATGGAAATTCAACTCCTTGTGAAGAAGCAACTTGTACTCTGGCACCTGATCCCTCAAATTAAAACCTCCTGTTATGTTGCTAGCAGTTTTGCTCTCAGCACCATCCGGATCGGTGCAATGTATCATCTGCCACACTTTAAGTGCTCCGCTTTGATGACCAGTCACGTACCAGGTTGTTTCCAGCCAGTCAGAAAACGTTGAGCCTGTTACTGATACTATCAAATCATATGGTAATAACTGTGATGTGTTAACCACAGCAAGACAATCACCATTGATGCTCCATACTGCGAGTAAAGTTCCAGCCGCAGTTACGATTTCCCCTGAAAGATCATTTATGTAGATTGCGGAAACGGGAACCGGGAAATCCGGTAGCTGCCTCACGAACCTTAAAGAACTGAGATCCCAGATGATAACTGTACAGTCATCTGAACCGCTTGCGATCATCATGTAAGGCTGGCTTACACGCAGACAAGTGACGTTGGCTGTGTGTGCACAAAGGGCTTTCTCTAACCGTAAACGTCGCGAGCCACGCGGACCATCCTTGTTGACTCTCCACACAGAGACTAGACCATCGTCTGCTCCAGTGACAACAATGCGCCCATCGTGACTGACACCAGCACACTGGATCTGGTTGCCTTCATGGAGATTTTCATGGGTAGACAAGAGCTTGTCCTGATCATAGCTCATAAATCTCAAGCTCCTGTCTGGGAAACCCCATCTTATGTATTTCCTATGGCCTCTCGGTTTCAGAAAACAGTTCGAGGCGGCAACAAGCAACTTGTCATGGAAAGTGATGATCTGGCTTATAGATGATGAGCATTTGCGTATTTCGCGAGGAACAAGATGCGTCGAGTGTTTCAGAGGGTGCGGAGGGATTTTTCTGTCTGTCCTTCTTTTAACGTGAGGTTTCTGGAATAGTTGCTTCGGCGTTTGTCCAAAATGATTAATCTGCGCTAGTATGGATGCTTTCATGGTAGGATCCGTAACTGCATCTACATCCACATTCCCCTCATAGGTATAATGATAGAAAACATTCACAGCTTTTTCTGCAGCCTGAAAAAATATTCAATATTTTAGAAAGCAACATCTCTAAGACATGATAGTTAGATTCTCTGTTGACTCTACCAAAAGGAGAACGTGTAATGTACCTTTCCTCTCTGTTTGTACCCAAAGATAAGATCTATCCAATGATGCAGATTCTCTGAAACATAATCAGACTCCAAAGCTTCTCTTTGCTTGCTGATGAATTCACGAACACTACCTCTAGCCCAAGGAGGTAAAATTACATCATCCACCTGAAATTACACAAAGAACTTGCTCGTGAAAGGAAAAACGGAGATGTAAAAGGTACATTCAAGCACCATTAGAACAACTAAAACTACCTTTTCTCCAGACTGTTTTTCACCCAAATCAAGTTTAAATCTGTTTTCTAAAAATTCTGGCATGTAGAAGAATTCAGGAACTAGTTCTTTCACATCTGATGTATTTCCTTTGCCAGCTGCACTTAGCCAAGTATCTCTAATACTATTGAAAAGTCGATCAGCATGATCAAATTGACCACCCTGAAGCTTCTGATTTTCAGCACTGAAGGGTGGGAGGCGAATAAGGTAAAACAGAACAATGCCAGCACTTGAATAGTGAGAACCATAATGAAATTTTGGAACCTCTGGATCATCCCAGCTCTCATATCTGCAATAAGAAAAGGAAAGCATGTTAAGCAATTACTGGAATATATAATTAATCAAAAAGGAAGAACATAAAAGAAAAGAGCAGTAGACAAAGTTTAAGATGCGCATCACAAACCGTTTCCTAAATTCTTCTTCTCCTTCAGGCGTCTGGCAACCCATTGGTTTGTCAAGCTTTCGAAAACTCTTTGGATCTGACAAATCCAGACTCTCGCTGTCATAATCTGCTAGAACCCACGGAAACACGGGATACTGTGTGAGATCACTGTATCCACGTCCTGCTAGGGTGTTGAGATGCATTAAGTATTGGAAATTGCTGATCTCCCCATTTTGCCATCTTTTCATGAAAGACTTTGCCATTAATTTGAAAATACGACTACCCTCTTTACTTTCCTGCTTCGCTGATCCTGAAATGGTTGTATCGAGCCTGAAAAAAAAACAGCTTCATAGATTAAGGAAGGGTCTAGTGGAAAAGCTATATAGTCAGTTCTTGAGCTTAGGTTAACATTTTGATTCACAATTATGAGAAGAATGAGAAGAATAAAAACGAAAATAAAAAGCAGCAAGATGCCATACATGCGGTTCCTTGGAAGATTCATGGCAAGCAGATTTCTAAAGACTTCTTCCCTCTCTTTCTTATGGAACACAAGGAGATCATTACATCCATCCATGCTAAATACCTCAACAGCAACTGGGCGCAGCTCGTAATCGCGTTTTAAAATCTCATGAACGCTATCCAGCTTCCATCTACGCCAAGGATGTGGCAAGTTTCCAGTCAAACGCACTTTTTCCTTCCCCCAAGCCCCACCACCATATGCCCATGCTCTTCCCCCTACAGCTCCGGTTTTCATCGTTGTACTCCATAATGGGCTAGACTTTGACTGGGAATCCAACCTTTCGGTGGAATGTTTTTTCACACCCAAAGCCTGATCGATAATGGATAACTCGTCTTCACATTCCTTCTCACAAATACACCCATCATCGTTAATGTAAAAATTCTCTATCGCATACAGGCAGAGTTCCCCTATTAAGAATATCCCATCATGTTTGTCCAAACCAACAACTCTCTCGCAGTTATATCGGAACCTAATCTTTTCAAGATGTTCCAGATATGGTCTGATCAAATACTCACCATCATCGTTCAGTTCCTTCTCTGATTCTTCCTCCATGCCTTCGGATTCATCCATATTACCAGAAGATGACTGTCTTGGAGATCCAGTCTCAGATTTTTCATATGTGTTGTCGCTGATCGGAACAGATGTTGTACCACTAGACTTACCACCAAAATCAAGGGCGTTCTGAAGACTCTCCTCACTTGAACTACTAGCTCTATCACTATCCCATCCATTTCTAGCAGAAGGAGCACCATTAAGATCATCAGCTTCTTCGAAAAAGGACTCGCTGTAAAGTTCACTTAGCAGAAAAGCTGTCTCACAATCCGTATCAGAGATAACTAACCCATCTTCATTTTTCGATTTGTGTACCTCAATTTTTCCAAGTTCCAGCTTCCGTTCTAAAAAATTCCGGATGCTATCAATTTTCAGTCTACATCGTTCAAGCTTTTTCCTCATTCTGTATGGACCTTCAATAGGACAGAGTTGCCATTCAAGATCTTCAGATCCTTGGGAAATATGCAATGGGAATATACCACGCTCGTGTACAAGCTGTTGGAGATGAGTTTGCCACTCACTCTCGGCATAAAGTATCGAACCATATTTGTTTTGCCGGACAATTCTAAGCTCAGTAGACATTGCATCACGCACTATTTCAAGTGCATATCTTCGCTCATATACCTGCTCGCAGCGTTTCATGTCTGCCTTTGGCATGTCTTTTGATTTTCTACCCATCTCTCTCGTACGTCGACCATCCATGCCTTTCATCCTAACATCAGGAAATTTTGCCGAGCCAGCTATGTACTGTGTCCACATAACTGCAGCACCCTGCTCCAGTACTTTGTTTACCGTTTGTTCGGAGCTCTCAAGCCACTTAGAGAATTCTGGAAGATTTCCAGTCAACAATCTATCAAATCCCCCATGTAGTACATCAAAGTTCTGTCCTCGGTGTGGTTTTTTGACAAGCAAATCCTCAAAGGCAGATTTTCGGTGAACCAGCAAATATTTGACAATAATAGATGCCATGTTTTCCACATTCTTTCTCTGGTCATGGAGTAGAGAGATCATATTCACACACAGGCAGCAGTTCAAGTCCGTATCAAGA